TACTCTTATTATTTTTTAAAAAACATTGTCGTTTTCATAGAAAACTCAAATAACTAAAGACACGTATTTCGTTAATGCTACTAGGTTATAAAACCTTGTTGTCAAATAATTTTATAACCTATTTGTCAAGTTTGACGTACAATTTCATAGCCGACTACTGAATTTTCGCATATTTTAAGTAACATTACGATATAAGTGTCTTTAGTTATTTAAGTTTTTTTATGAAAACGACAAAGTTTTTTAAAAACTAATAAGAGTAAAAAAGTTTTAGAATTAAATTCCACATGAAATGAAGTAGTAATGTATAAAATCCGTCAACAGGTTAAAAAGATCTGTCAAAATTTAAGGTACCATCACATAATTGGTCTCAATTTGCTACCAATTAATACCTTCAGTACACTCATAACGTATACCAAATTTGGTTTTTCTAGCTTAATGTATTATGAAGATATTCACTGATTTAAAAATTTAAGACCCAACTTTGAAGGCCTATAACTCCTCAGGAGTACAACTTAGTATAGAGATAAATTGCGTTAAATCATCTTAATTTATTGTCCTCTACATGTCCCTGCTCTGTGTCGGTTCTTATGTGAATCACCCTGTATATTGCTATGTCTTAAATCTTTGTGAGATTTACTCATACCCAAAAATCCCAAATTACTCCTTTACCTTCTCAACCTATTTCCTTAACCATCTCCATTTCTGGCCCCACTTTCTCCCTCTCTTGCAGAACTTCATTATTTTCTTTTTTTTTACATTCAGCTTCACACTATCATTTCTCTTGTTAGCACCCTCTCCACTACAGTTATGTCATTCACGCAATCCAGTATACATGCCTCTCTTATTCCATCACACTCCCCCTCTGTTATTCGGCCAATATCCGCCATGTATATATTACCGGAACTGTATAGAATTTAGGAAGTGTGAAAACACACATTAACGATTTTCTTTTGCCACCTCACTCCACTAACGTGGACTTTTTAATATTGACTTAATTAATTTATCTATTCTTATTAATTATATTAATCTGATGGTGTATAACTAGATACAGTAAAAATCAAAATTGATGAAGAGTTAACTGCGATATTTCCTTATCTATAAGTTCTATGAACAAGAAGTAAGAAGATGGTTAATTAACCACCCAATTCGTGTTGAAATTATTGGACGAGTGGGCACGAGAGAGTTTATGATAAAGCGGTTTCAGTTCAAACTACAGTTAGAGTGATAATTCACTCCAACGTGAATTACTAAACTTAATTTCTTAAAAGTAAAAAATTAAATCTTCTTTGAATATGCTTGAAAATATAAAATCAAATGAAATTGATCCTTATAACTCCCAACATTCTTTTTTCATCATATGAATGATTGAAAGCTTGACTTTATCATAACCCCAGGGGTAGCAAAGAGAAACTAGAACGAAGCTCGTTACAATCAAATCATTTATCACACCGACGTCCAATCAATAGTCGACGTCGAACGTCGCCATTGGAATGTTGGTTTGTCTGAATTTCTAAATATCCTTTTGGGACTCGAGTTCCAACTACGAATAGAAACGATATAAAGCCGAAAGTCGAAACTGGACCATTTCAACAACAGCTAGTCATCAAGTGTCGGAAAAATATACGTATATCTCGGCTTTCGCAACTTTTTATAACCGAGCATCCGTGGAATGAAGAAGATTAATGCTTTTCGGCCCCCACGTGAAGTTACGTAACAACGAAATTTATGGTAGCGTATAATTTTAAGGGGGAAAGTAAAAAGGTTATAATGAGGTTTTAATGTAGAAGAATCATTTTTTTTAAATTAATAAATTAGCAAAATATAAAAAACATATTGACAGAAACAGTTTTAAATGTAATTTTAATGCGTGTTAGGTTCAAAGCAATACAATTTACATTATTAGAACAAGCGCAACCGCAAATTATGCTACAATTTCCATACATAATTACTATTCATGTAGGGTATTATTAAAATTACGGTATCACGTTTCGGCTGTCCTAATAATTCGACTTTAGCAAAATAAATTTATTAAATTGATTTTCTAGAAATAAACGTGACACTTGTGTAATCAGGTACTTTCTGTATGAAGCTATTTCTATAAAGCTTTATTCCCGGAAAAGCTTAACGCCTTTAGAAAATCGATTTCTGTTTCGTGTTCCAGGAAACTTGTAATCAAGACTCTTTTGATGCTGGGTAAGTGTAATGGGAGTTTGAATGGGGAATAATTTTAGAAATACTTTATTTTAATTTAAAATGGGAAAAAATCGAGAATTAAAAAGTTCCCTTAACAAACCTTATCTGTTCGAGAACTCCTCGAAAACTATACTCGAAAACCAACGTGCCTAGTTGTCTTTGTTAAATTTACGTCGCGTCATCAAGCAAAATATGCAAGAGTACTCTCGTCCGGTCTCTCACATAAAAGAGGAATGTTTATCGTTTTGCGGCACTTCCCGAGTCAAACGTAGAGTTCCACGTTCGTCTCCCGCGCGAATATTACAATTGCAAATTGTTCTCGAGGACGACGACGACCGGAACTTAATGCAATACATTAAGTCCGCACGCTCGACCGGATTTTAGTATCGTTATTATGGGGGCCACTTTTTGCCTTTACATTAAGTTAGTGGGGACAATTGTGGTTCCGATTATTGTAAAGTTAGAGGATGTAATTTGTAATTAGAAAAAAAGACAAATACTACTTAAAAACTTCTTTCTTTTCATACACTCATATATTATCTTTCATGACCTAGTTTTTATTTTAAAACTAGGTTAAGCTTAAGGACATCCCCTTTACCCATTTTCCACCCACAATCTTTTGTCCTATTTATAATGACCTTCAGAATAGTTTGAGATTCTACATTAAGTGGAGTCTTGTCGTGTACTCACAAACGTGATTCGTATCGTTCCAGAATCTATCAGATCGTAAGATCTGATGTCGGCATCGAGAGTGCTTCTGAAGTGAATTTCCCCCCGAGTCGTTTTGCAAACCGCACCGATCTTACTAACATGTAGAAGCAAGAGTAGAATAGCTTCGAAATGGAAGCGTACCTGCATAAAGCGGGGAAGGACAAAGGCGAATTTCATTCCGGTTCAAAGTAGATTTATTATCTTCGGTTAGTTCCGTTTGGTCGGTTTGAGTTAGGACATTGTTCGAAGGGAACAACCCGGAGAAAGGATTCTTCCTGGTTATCCCGTGTCCTGTCCAGTCATCATAATGGATATATATGTATAGTAACGGACGGAAGAAATAATACTACGACTATATCCGGGCGAAAGGATATCTTGCGTATCTGAATTGATTTATTACGTGTGTTCCAAATTTTATTTAGGCACTGTATTTATATAACTTCATATAGAGGTGTTTCAAAATTTCGTGGACATGATAGTACAACATGGTTTTGTTAATTGTGTAAAAAACATGTATATTAATTTATTTTTCAAATGTACAAAGTGATCTTGTGATGTCTAGTCTAATATTAGCAGTATCTGGGCTTCCGTTACCAGTATTTACTCGTACGGCAGCAGTATATAGTCATCTACAAGCAATATCTAGTCCTTTGTAAGCAGTATCTAGTCTTCTGCCAGCAGTATTAGTCTTCTGTAAGCAGTGTCTAGTCTTATGTCAACAATATCTAGTCTTGTAGTAGCAGTATCTGGTGTTCCATTACCAGTATCTACTTCCACAGTAGCAGCGCCAAGTATTCTACCAGCAGAATATAGTCATCTACAAGCAATATCAAGCAGTATCTAGTCTTCTTCCAGCAGACTTTGGTCTTCTATAAGCTGTATCTAGTTATCTATATAAGCACTCTCAGTAGTACCTTCTCTTCTGCCAATCTCAAATATTACATAGAATTGAGAAAGGCCAGTTTCTTTTTCTAATGTCAATTATACCATGAAGAAATGTCAAAGTAGCTCAAAGTTAAATGACCCTTAATTTTTATAATTTACAAAATGATTTCTATATCCACACCCAATAAAGGTGTGAACAGGTGAATGAACACCACCGCGGAGAATAACCACAACATAAATAAATATATCAGCACGCACTACATAAAAAAATGGTTAAAATGGCATTATCGATTATTGAAGATTACGAAGGTGCTACGTTTATTATTTGAACGATCTCTCGAGGACCAGAGAAAATCCGATTATCGACAGGAAATTGGATACCTGCAATGAATATAGAGGGATGAACTTGAGCGGTCAACGATTTACGGCCAATTTCCATTTCCAGTATAAAAACATCTCGGAGATATCTAGGGAAAGGATTAAGTCGTCGAAACATAACAATATGTTTTAATTGGATTTGTTTTAATGGATAAAAAAAGATATAAGACCAAATTTAATTAAATTCATACTTGAAATACTCTTTAGATTACCACTAATCCAAGCATTTTGCAAAATCAATTTTCACTTGTTAGAATGAAGAGAAAGTCCGGTCACGCAACGTATTACCATAGCACGTAATATCATTAACAAGGGCATTAGAACGACGCAATTACCCCTATATGTGCCGAACTAGCAGCAAAAGACCTCACTCAGCTCAGATCCAATTGGCTTATACAGGATAATTCAAAAGTTATTTCCTGAAGGGAAAATCGAAATAAAATTGTTTTTGGTTATGTTAAAAAAGATATCAAGAAACATTCTTATATATAATATAATTTGAAATTTGTAATTGATGTGTAACTATTTCTTTGTGCTTTTTTTGTCTTATACTACAATCACCCTGTATATAGCACCTACGTCTATGTATCGTGTTGTGTGTACATTAATAAACTTTCCCGGTTTTATTACAATACCACCCGGCAGGTCGTAACTTTTTCCGAAACGGTCTGTTAACAACTCCCGATATTTCATTTACCACGTCCAACATCCGTTTGTAACCCGAAAAAGGAATTGTTTTAAAGCTAAAAATATCAAACTCTTTTTAATAGTAATATTTGTTAAAATACAGGTTGTACTAAAAGGAAATAATAAATTATGTGTTATTTACTTACCTTGAGAGCTTCTTCGTGTGATATCCCAGTAAAAGGAGTCCCATTTACTTCCAGTATCGAATCTCCAGGTCGGAGCCCGGCCCTTTCAGCAACACTACCCTCTTCAACCCTCGAGATGTAAACGCCCACACCTGCGGCAAAAGTTAACTCTCAAAAAAAGCGGGTGAGGAAAAAAAGTAGACCAGATGTGATCGATATGACGAAACTGAATTGACAAAACGAACAATACAAAAAAGGTGGAACGACTAGAGAGGGAACCTTTTTCAACTGTCCCAATCGTTTTAGATACCACATTCTCCCCCCCTCTCTCTCTCACGATTTCTCGTCACATCTATACGTAAAATATGGTCCTTCTTATCGCGATTTTATTCCTGAAATGCTGCCAAGAGTCGCAAGATCAACAGTTGAGAATTGGATGGCATTCGCCATGGGCGTTTAAGTTTTTGTGGTATGCTCTTTTCCAGTTCGAAAAGTGAAAATGGTTTCGAAAACAATCTTACAGGTGATGAAATATACTTTAAAGTAGGAACTTATGAAGAGGAGATTTTTATTGTTATATATTTTTTTTTAATTTTATCCCTTTTATGTTACAATCTATTTTAGTCGCGTTCATTGTGTACATTAAATACTAAAACAACCGTGACAAAACCTGATTGATATCATCATTGACGCAGAAATCAATTTCCCGCGTGTTATTTATAGACTCGAAATAGAAAATAGAATATCTGATTTGTACTACATTTCTATTTACCGGCTTCTTTACCACCTTTCACGCATATCCCGAAACCGTGTGTTCCATCCGCTGGATCTCGCACCATCGTAATCGTTCTTGTGGACAATTCATGTAAACTGGGTCCATATGGAACGCGATAGTTGCTTTGATGAGTTGTAGAAGGCGGACTGCTAGCCGGTGATCTTCGAGGACGCTCCGAATTCAACTTGGCGTTCGATTGAGTGTTACCGAAGAGTCTCAATACTTGTTCGGGCGAAATTGGACGCTTTTTGTTGTTGTTACCCGGGGTGCTACGAAAATTCGGATTCGAACCCAAATATGTACCTAGAAGGAAAGAAAAATAAAAAAAAATGTAATTGTTATGTAGCGCTAGATTGCTAGATGGCTAAACCTGAATGTTTCTAATTCTACGTCTAGTGTTAGATCTAGTTTAGTTCTGACATCAAAAGTAATACTAGACCTAGAAAAATTCGGATTTAGTTGTATATCTCTTAACTAGTCTTTAGAGATGTACGGCTAAACCCAAATGTTTCTAGTTCTAGCTCAGTTCTAGTGGCAGTGCAAGTGCAAAACTAGAACTAACACTATACCTAGAACTAGAATCATTTGGGTTACATATAGGCAATACATATAGTATTCTACATAATAACACTAAGTTATTATGCTAGTGTAAAACTAGAACTAACACTAGACCTAGAACTAGAAACATTCGGATTTACCCGTCTAAAGAGACGTACGGCTAAACCCAAATGATTCTAATTTTAGGTCTAATGTTAGTTCTAGTGACAGTGCAAGTGTAAAACTAGAACTAACACTATACCTAGAACTAGAATCATTCGGGTTTAGCCGTCTTTAGAGACGTGCGGCTAAACCCAAATGATTCTAGTTCTAGGTATAGTGTTAGTTCTACATAGTAACAGTGCTAGTGTAAAACTAGAACTAACACTAGACCTAGAACTAGAAACATTCGGGTTTAGCCGTCTAAAGAGACGTACGGCTAAATCCGAATGTTTCTAGTTCTAGGTCTAGTATTAGTTTTGATGTCAGAACTAAAACTAGAACTAACACTAGATCTAGAACTAGGAACATTCAGGTTTAGCAGTCGGAAGAGACGTACGGCTAAATCGGAATGTTTCTAGTTCTAGGTCTAGTGTTAGTTTTAATGTCAGAACGAAAACTAGAACTAACACTAGATCTAGAACTAGGAACATTCAGGTTTAGCCGTCTAAAGAGACGTACGGCTAAATCCGAATGTTTCTACTTCTAGGTCTAGTGTTAGTTTTAATGTCAGAACGAAAACTAGCACTAACACTAGATCTAGAACTAGAAACATTCGGGTTTAGCCGTCTAAAGAGACGTACGGCTAAATCCGAATGTTTCTAGTTCTAGGTCTAGTATTAGTTTTGATGTCAGAACTAAAACTAGAACTAACACTAGATCTAGAACTAGAAACATTCGAGTTTAGCCGTCTAAAGAGACGTACGGCTAAATCCGAATGTTTCTAGTTCTAGGTCTAGTGTTAGTTCTAGTTTTAACTGTGATTCGGTGCTAGGTTGTAAATTTTTATAGAATTAAGCCGTGCGTCTCTTAAGACGGCTAAACCCAAATGTTTCTAGTTCTAGTTTTAGTGTTAGTTCCAATGGTAGTGTTAATTCTAGTTTTAGTTGTTTCGCAAACATCTGAACCTATGATGCAAATGTAACTTTAATAACTTCTAACTAACGCTATCTTTTGCCAGACGATTGTTTCAATCTTTAATAAGAAGAAAACTTCAATATTATTCAACAATGACTTAAGTTTTAACATGAAATAATTTAATATTCCTTGTAGTTCGCTCGTAAAATATTTAACATTTCCATAAAACTCAACGGTTTTATGTAGGTTTAAAAAAAAGATATTAAAGAAAGAAACTCTTTAAAACGTAAAAGTAGTAGAATAAAAATTTTAATAATCCAACGAAAAATTAAAAAATATATTAAGTATTGAATTTTCGTTCCCACGAGCAATCTGCAGTTTAACTTTAGTGTTAATATTTAAACTACCCCTATTTATTTTTACTTTTTAATAATCTTTGTGTTTTTAGTCCATCGTAAAATCTTTATTACTTCCTTACGGTTTTTCCGCTTTGTTAATCTCTAAGCCAAACGACACGAAACTTTGCTTTTAAAGTTACAAGTCTTAATAAGCCAACAAACATAATCCTCCTAACGGAAAGAAGGTATTATTTATTGCTTGTTACCTCTAGGACTCATCGTGCTAAAATGTTGCATTCCATAATCTCGACCCTGTGAATGATGATGCATTGCCGAAGAAGGTCTTTCGATGATCGTATAAGAAGTGCCCGGTGGCGAATAATAAAGTCCGGGTCGTCCACCACCCCCGCCTCCAGGGACAACTCCAGGTCCTCTTGAATGTGTCGTCGTCCTGGGGCTTCCGTTTGGCCCGAGAGGGTCGTCGGTGACTTCGGCTGGTGTTCGACTTCGGCTACCAGCCGGTGTAGCCCGCGCCGACGACGACCACGCCGCGGGTCCTCCTCCAGGAGCCCCCGGACCATATCTACCACTGCTACCTCCACCTCCACCACCAGGATCACCTCCGAGCTCTGAGAACTCATCGCCGGAACGCATGCTCCGGCCGATCACCACTACCGTCACGATAACGACAAGAAGAAAATCTGAAACAAGAAAAAAAAAACGTGTTTAATAAAAAATTTTTGATAAATAAGAAGCTGGATATAGAAGCTGTGGATGTCAGATCGAGATTGGAATATAGAGAAGAGAAAAATAAAAAGATGAAAAAGAGACGCTTTTCGTTTAGCTTTTCGTTCGTCTTTCTTCGTCCTCCTGAACATCACCGCCGGTAATACTATGCTAATGTCATTCGAGAAAAATGTAAATTTCAGCTCCCGGAATTGAACGATTCGCAGCTAATCTCCGGGAGTCCTCGTTTCTCAATGGCGAAGGTATTATAATTTCTGCTGACTTCAAACGAAAGGTAGAAGTTTTCAAGCAAATAGATTCGGAAATATGTTTCAAAAATACGGCTTATTAATTTCACACTTTTTTTTTCTTTTTTGAACTTGACAAAATACAAAGACCTGTGAAGAGTATGTAACAGGAGTCCTTCAAGTTTCAGTTCACGCTCGAAACGGCTCCTACTAATCTCCGCGACATCAAAAGTTCTCGATAACTTCCAAGTTCGTCGCGCGTCGTGGTGTTCACTTCCCATTTCCCGCCTCCTCATATTCCTTTGCTGGCAAAGGGTGCCGCCGAACGTCAGCCAAGAGTGGGTGGAAGGAACGACCCCCGGATTAAATCCGGGCCCATTGTCTCGGTGGTCTCAAGCTGTAAAATACGCCTTGGTAAGCCTTGCCGCAATAAACCGGCTTGGAAATGGTGGTACTTTGGGTGCACTGGCGTTTTCATTATTATTACCCAGAATTATAGAGAGCACGGAAGCTTTTGATTAAAATTAATATGCTTTACTAAACTTGTTATCGAATCGATTTGATGTTAAATTATGCAGTTATAATTTAAAATTACCTGAGAGAAAAAAAATACTCAACCCGATTGATTTAATTCCTTTTTCCTTCATAAAGTTTCTTTTTTGAACTGAAAACGAATGGAGTGATTGAATGAATAGGCCCTTTTATAAAGTGGAAGATATTTCGTTTTAAAGTGATAAAAAAGTGTAAACGTTTCAGAAAAATCTAGCACACCAATTATAGACAAGAGACGCTTTATCAATATGATGTTTTTGTTACTTACCATATTTACGCCAAAACTCATTATATAAAAGAAAGGTGAAAAACATAAATGTGAGAAAAACTCCAAATGTATCCATTACCTGGGATGTATTGAAATAGAACAAATTTTTATACTAAAGCTACAAGAACACACAACAAGCCCACAAGAATCAAGACGACTAAAAACCTGCTTCTATAAAAAGCAGAATGGTAGAAACAGAAAAATATAAACAAAGAGGTAAAATAAATACAAACCTAAACACTTTTGAACTTGAAATGTTATGAATTATAATATTGAACGATTAAAAGATGAATTTCTCCGATAAACGTCTTTATTTATAAAGTTGTTGTATCGACCAAATAATAAGGGAGCACCTCGTCGGAATTTTCGCCATCCATCTTGTCACATTAAAGCGTTTAACTGCGCGGTGTACCGCACGATAATCCCCACATCCTGGATTATATTAATTTGAACGGGCGCAAATAAATTCAAAAACACCGGCGCCGCTATCGGCGTGGTGAGCTTAACTCACGCAATGCGTATTCCAATGCTGTAACCCATTATGTCGCAATAATTTAACCTAAGCAGTTTATTTTTAGAAATTTCTTGCTACGTTTTAAATAAATAGAAATAAATTACAGCAAAATCTCGATATAACGGATAGATAAGGGGAAGGGTGTGTCCGTTATAACCAAAAGTTCGTGATATGAACAAAATTTTAATGTATACTTGAAATTTTCTAGTTCTAGGTCAAAATATACAAGAATCTAATGCTGTATAACAACTAAAACTAGAACTAACACTAGCATTAGAACTAACACTAGACCTAGAACTAGAAACATTCGGGTTTAGCCGCCTTATGATCTAGTATTAGTTCAATGAAAATATACAACAATCTAATGCTAAATAACAATTAAAACTAGAACTAACACTACACCTAGAACTAGAAAGTTTCGGGTTAAACCCAAATATTTCTACTTCTAGGTCTAGTGTTAGTTCTAGTTTTACACTAACAGTATTACTATGTAGAACTAACACTATACCTAGAACCAGAATCACTTGGGTTTAGCCGCACGTCTCTAAAGACGACTAAACGTTAATGATTCTAGTTCTAGGAATAATGTTAGTTCTAGTTTTACAGTTGCACTGGCACTAGAACTAACATTCGGGTTTAGCCGCACGTCTCTAAAGACGGCTAAACCCGAATATCTCTAGTTCTAGGTCAAGTGTTAGCTCTAGTTTTACTTCAATGAAAAATATACAACAATCTAACGCTGAATAACAACTAAAACTAGAACTAACACTAGCATTAGAACTAACACTATACCTAGAACAAGAATCATTCGCGTTTAGCCGTCTTAAGAGGCGTACAGCTAAACCCGAATGATTCTACTTCTAGGTCTAGTGCTAGTTCTAGTTTTACACTAACGGTGTTACTATGTAGAACTAACAGTATACTTAGAACTAGAATCATTTGGGTTTAGCCGCACGTCTCTAAAGACGGCTAAACCCTAATGATTCTAGTTGTATGTATACTGGTAGAACTAGTTTTACAGTTGCACTGGCACTAGAACTAACATTAGACCTAGAACTAGAAACATTCGGGTTTAGCTGCACGTCTCTAAAGACGGCTAAACCCGAATATCTCTAGTTCTAGGTCAAATGTTGGTTCTAGTTTTACTTCAATGAAAAATATACAACAATCTAACGCTGAACAACAACTAAAACTAGAACTAACACTAGCATTAGAACTAACACTATACCTAGAACAAGAATCATTCGCGTTTAGCCGTCTTATGATCTAGTATTAGTTCAATGAAAATATACAACAATCTAATGCTAAATAATAATTAAAACTAGAACTAACACTACACCTAGAACTAGAAAGTTTCGGGTTAAACCCAAATATTTCTACTTCTAGGTCTAGTGTTAGTTCTAGTTTTACACTAACGGTGTTACTATGTAGAACTAACAGTATACTTAGAACTAGAATCATTTGGGTTTAGCCGCACGTCTCTAAAGACGGCTAAACCCTAATGATTCTAGTTCTAGGTATACTGTTAGTTCTAGTTTTACAGTTGTACTGGCACTAGAACTAACATTAGACCTAGAACTAGAAATATTCCGGTTTAGCCGCACGTCTCTAAAAACGGCTAAATCCGAATATCTCTAGTTCTAGGTCAAATGTTAGTTCTAGTTTTACTTCAATGAAAAATATACAACAATCTAACGCTGAACAACAGATAAAACTAGAACTAACACTAGCATTAGAACTAACACTATACCTAGAACAAGAATCATTCGCGTTTAGCCGTCTTAAGAGGCATACAGCTAAACCCGAATGATTCTACTTCTAGGCCTAGTGTTAGTTCTACTTTTACACTAACAGTGTTACTATGTAGAACTAACAGTATATTTAGAACTAGAATCATTTGGGTTTAGCCGCACGTCTCTAAAGACGGCTAAACCCTAATGATTCTAGTTCTAGGTCAAATGTTAGTTCTAGTTTTACTTCAATGAAAAATATACAACAGCCTAACGCCGAACAACAGCTAAAACTAGAACTAACACTAGCATTAGAACTAACACTATACCTAGAAACTAGTTAGAAACTAGCTAGAAATTAGTTGTTAACATTATTATCGAAATTTGAAGTTTTATTATTATTTATATCACTCTATGCTGCTTTTAGGGATTCCTTTTTATTTGTTACGACTGTGGATTTCGTTTTGGTTGTGATTAAAAAGCGTAATACCGATATGATGTCCCAAAATTATAGGCAAGAAAGGATTTTTGAGGAAAACGAACTTACCATCAATTAGTACCACGGTCGCATGTTACCTTGGCTTGTATTTTTGCTCGTCGTTAAAGAATTTAGCCATTATAAATAAAGTGCAATCAAGGTTCGGCTGCAAACGAAATCATCTTGTACAAAGTGAGTCATGGAAAACGGATTTTGCAGACTTTTTAAAAGAAAAAAAATATTTCCACAGAAACGATCACTAAACTATTCTGCTATGGCATTCATTCTAGCCGAAGTTTCGGCAATACGTTTACAATTTCGTCGTTATGTGATATGAGCTTTCCTCAAGTATCAAGAAGTGTGCTTTATCCAATTGTGATAGAACGTTTAAATTATCGAAAGTTATGCTCACGCTGCGTACCAAAAATACTGACCGAGGAGCACAAAAGCAAACGTTTATCCAGTTCTTTGACTTTCCTAGAGCGGTACTTAAGAGCTGATAGGATCATTTACATAGGCTGGGAACAATTTGAACACACTTCGTACAGCTCTAATCTAGTGCAAAGTGACTACCACGTATTCCTGCATTTGAAGAAGCATTTGGGTGATCAGCGCCTTGACCATGATGACGATGTCAAAATGACCGTGTTGAGGACGATATTCAAAAGCTGGTTTTCTTTCTTACACGCATCAATTCTAGCTAAAATTATAAGCGTTGTCAAAACAACCTCATATTCAACCAACCTCAAACAAGGTCATTTTGTCCATCATGTCCCTCCTGGTTTATACCAGGTTTACCAATTTTCTGGGTAGTAATTTTATGACACATCTATTATCCTCAATTAGTTAGATTGATTAATAGGAATATGCTTCTAATTAACATTATGTATGCCTTATCCTTTAACTTCCTTTTCTACATCCACATTCTTTTAAAAAGTTATAATAACGTTGTTCAAGAAAATTCTGTATTCTAATTTATAATATTATATTACAGCGTGATTACATATTAAGAAAACATTCTTTTATCTAAAGAAACACAATACCCAAACTCATTATTGTTATGTAGCATAATGTTACGTGTGAGCAAACACGTGCGGTGGCATTTCCCCAGCCTTTCTTCCACAGTTACTCCGGTGGTATTTCGTTATTGTATATGGGTCAATACCGTACAAAACGTGCATGCTGTCTCAGTTCTGCCTCGCAAAATCGACGTTTGTGGTAAATTTTCCATTATTTTACTGGTGAAATAACGAAAACGTTTCCAAGACGGACTAAGATAATTTATTAAGAATACAAGTTTTTATGATATTGAATTTCAAAACAGCGAACTGTGAACGATTTTTTTAACTCTTTATGTAGTTAAAATTTTGAAAACACATGTAAAAGCTGTGTCGAACTGTCACCCGAATCGAGGTTTAATTTGCAATTGAAATCAATTCCACATCACTGACTAGTTTACAAACGCACGTGTGCATTGACGTTCGTGTCATCGTTTTTTCACATCTTTGATGTTCCATTTTATCGAAATGAAAAGACTATTTAAACATTTAAAATATTACATTATTTTTGATGTTTTCGATTTTGTGTTTGAATTTCCTAAAATGACGAATGGACGGCGAAGCATTTGTAATTCAGATTATCCGGTTCTCTATCTGCATAACGTAGGTTTATTATAGTACATCTGAAGAGGCATTCCAGCTGCTGAATTAATCCGAAATCACACAATCCGCTTTCGCAGTATATGATGTACGAATTTCATTAATGCGTAATCAGTAAAATTTCATTAACATTTATACAGTGTGTATTTGAATAACGTTACTAAACTACAAACGTTGATTTTTTAGAAAATATTAATAGTAGTTAAAAATGGCGAAATGTAAAATTTTAAATACGAACAAATTTAAGGGCCATATCAAAAAACGATGGTCAAGCAGCACAGAACATGGTTCCTGTTTGGTTCAGCTCTATTCAATTATTTAACATCGGGGTGAATAACGATGTATTCTTAGACTCAGTCGTAGAAAAATAAAATCTACTTAACACTCATTTAATGTTGTTGACCACCAACGAAATGTTGTTTGCCAGGTACGAAAGAAAGAGATCATGGGTAACTCCAGGACATTGACTGTAAAGCCAAATCGCTATGGATTAAAGATACTGCTTAGTATTTGGTGGAATGAGCAGGGTGTGATCTATTATAAACTGTTAAAATCTGGCAAAACCCTTAATACTAAACACTACCGACAACAAATGATCCATTTGAATAAAATTTTGCGTCAAAAGCGACCATAATAAGCAACATAAAAAGATTTTTCTTCATGAGAATGCAGCATCACTCACAGCAAAACTGGTCCATGAAACGATTTAGATGTTTAGTTGGGAAATACTTTCGTGTAATTCATCAGACTTGGCTAAGTCCGATTACTAGTTATTTGCTCAAATCAATATTGCTCAGGTAAAGCGTGCATTTCAGTTAATGTACACATTATTCAGTCAATGTACAGGGTGTCCAAATTTCGATGGGTTTGCAGGGTATCTCAGTTATTATGAAGGATAGAAAGTTGCGACTTTCGCGAACCTGAGCTACTTTTTTGTGAAACTTACAATGGCGCAAACCAAATTTTCATAGCCCTTTTCGTTTTTGATATACGGGAGTGTTTCAAAATTTACGATTTTCAGAAATCCCTGTATCTCGGCTACCCGGAAATGTAAAAACAGGTTCTAATAGATTTTTTCACGTAGAATTTTTCTAGTCATCACGGTTTTTGAGTTATAAAGAGTTAAGTATTTTAGAAGTTGAGTATTCAGTATTTGAGTTGTGTTTATAACTCAAACACCGTGATGACTAGAAAATTCTACGTGCACCATTGGATTCCACGTGAAATAATCTATTAGAACCCGTTTTTACTTTCTTATTAAGTTTCCGGGTAGCCGAGATACAGGAGGTGTCTGAAAATTGCAAATTTCAAACACTCCCTTTATATCAAAAACGAAGAGGACTATGAAAATTTGGTTTGCGCCATTGTAAGTTTCACAAAAAAGTAGCTCAGGTTCGCGAAAGCCGCAACTTTCTATCTTTCATAATAACTGAGATACCCTGCAAACCCATCGAAATTTGGACACCCTGTACACATTAGCCAGTCAATGTATACATTAACGTTTTAGTGAAAGTATTTATCAGTCATAAAGTGTATACATTTACTAGTGGATGTGTACATAAACTAGGCAGTGTATGCATTTGCTAATAGATGTTAGTAAATGTTATAACAAAGAAAATTTACGGTATAATTTTTTTAATGGAATGCAAGCAGTAAGTATAGTAGTAACCATTTTTTGGGTTGGGTTGGGTTGGGTTGGGTGGGTTTCGTTATGTAATATACTAGTAAACGTACTTTAAGCTTTAACTGGGCGTCATTAGTAATTGTATACATCAACTAGTAAAAGTTTACATTTCGTATTTTATGTACACATTAACTAGATAAATTACTTAATGTATGCATTGACAAGACAATGTGTAAACATTCTGTAACATAATATATATAAAATTAATTTCATTTAACTCATTTTGATAAACGCGTTACTTAACAGTGTAACTATTCATGATGATTTTGCCGACTTTAATCTCTACAGCTAAAAGAAATTAGAACACTGCATGAATGGCTACATTTTCCGATAATCTCAGTAATTACAACGAACCAGAAGAATAGTTTCATTAAAGAGTCAAACAGTAATCTGTACTAATCTAATATGTTTCAGCTATTCAGAATGTACTAGAAACTCTTTTCATATAATTTGAGCTTTATCAGTAATTAACAGATTTTAGTTTCTAGTTCTAGGTCTAGTGTAAGTTCTAATTTTAATTATTACTCAGCGTTGACGTCACGAACGGGCCTTATAACGGATTTTTGATTATAACAGACACATCCCTCCCCGTATTAACCCTTTATATCAAGGTTTTCCTGTAATATTAATATTTAAACATTTTCGTCCTCAATTCGCCTTAAATAAGCAAAATTCTGCATTCCGCTTGATTTCATTCCGCTTTCATAGATACTTTGGTGAGGGTTGGGCAAATTACGAAATATACTTTATGTAATATTCCGAGCCAACCCTAAAAACAGACAAACTGAACAATTAGAAACTACATCTCTGTTCTCCGCATTCTCTTTATGTCTTTGTATTTACTTATTTATCTTTCTATTATAAATTCATGATGTATCTGGAAACTGCGTTAGCTTAAAGAATTTCTAATGGACTTCAAAGTAACTTTATTTGATTAAGTGTTTTTTCAACGAAAACCATTTTTTAATTTATTTTTTGAAATCAAAAAGTGTAATAAATCTCGAAAAAACATTTACGTGAATTTATATGGACATAAAAACGGATATACTTACATTTATCTCTTCCCCTATCATGTTAACATCGCACCGCCTCCATTCCTCGAGGTCAACATGTTTCGACTGGCGCCAAACCTCCTCTCTGCTCGGCGATCTCCGATTCACAAAAACCCCACATCACAACATCACCAAAAAAACAACATCAAAAATCACCTCAATTTTGACAACCAACAATTAAAGCCAAAAACTAAACGAAACAACTATCTCAAAATAACGATAGATAACAACCACCTTGTTTGATCCGTTTGTGTTTTCTTTAATTAAAATCGAACGATTCGATAGTGTGATCAAGATCTCGTCGACTTGGATAAATTAATTGTTATTTTCGATTGGTTTTTGTTTTAATTTATTTTTTGAATTTTTATTTGTTCGTGGTACCGAGGCTGTGGCTAAAAACGAACCACAATCGTTAGGGTTTTTGAAACGATTGACCGTGTACAGACGGGAGTTAGCTCGGTATATATTGTATATCCTTGACCCGCGGTGTCCCAGCATGCACTGGCACTGAAAGGGGGCACGGGATTAGTGGCGGAGGCGGCGGTAGTGGTCATGGCGCGGCGGCGGCGGAGCCGGCCATGTTGGACATGCGTCTTCAATTGTTTCGTTACGACATTGCCCGAATCAATAGGGAGAGAAGGGCTGCTACATGGGTTTAGACTTTCAAGAAATTTAATCCAAAAGAAGTTTACTCCTTTTTAATTTCTATGATGTGGTTTAATCAATTATATTTTAAATATTTTTATTATATTTTTATGTTTCTTTTAATATTAACTGTTTGATATAGAAAGATAATGGACGATTTAATGGAAATTAATGTTATACAAGATTGTTTTCTCTCATGATTGTCTCAATATACAAAAATATCTAATAAATGCTAATAATAAACATTAACCTAAAACGCGATATTACTGCCATCTAAGATGAAAAAGTACAAGATAAATGTTACAAATAGAAAACTTAAATTAGAAGAAGATTCCTTTTATATCCACATCAATTATATAATATAATCAAATAATACAACAAAAGATTTATTTATTTTTAAACCCTATATTTTCAAAACTATCGTTTTTACACACCTAGTTTTTATATTTTTAAGAATATTTAATGCATATTGTTAAGGGATGATTTAAATTTGACACTGATGTGAAGCTAGCGTACTTCGCATCTATACATTATCTATGATACGGGTCAACAATTTTCCTAAGTTGACACCACACCAAATTCGTCATTCAAATATCTGTGAACCCTAATAAGGATGAAAATAAAAACTTGGAGAGTTTGAGATTATTTTGATATATGATTCATGTCTGTAGATAGCAATAATTTCGGGTCTGAAGACGCACGGCTAAGAATGTTTCTAGTTCTAGGTCTAGTGTTAGTTCTAGTTCTACACTAGCACTGTTATTATGTAGAACTGACACTATACCTAGAGCTAGAATCATTTGGGTTTAGCCGCATGTCTCTAAAGACGGCTAAACCCGAATGATTCTAGTTCTAGGTATAGTGTTAGTTCTAGTTTTATACTTGCACTGTCACTAGAATTAACATTAGAACTAGAAACATTTGGGTTTAGCCGTACGTCTCTTAAGACGGCTACACCCAAATGATTCTAGTTCTTGGTCTAGTGCTGCATAACAATTAAAACTAAAGCTAGACCTAGAACAAGAAACATTCGGGTTTAGCCGTCTTTAGAGACGTGCGGCTAAATCCGATACTTTCTAGTTCTAGGTCTAGTGTTAGTTCTAGTTTTACACTAGCACTGTTATTATGTAGGATACTATACCTAGAACTAGAATCATTTGGGTTTAGCCGCACGTCTCTATAGACGGCTAAACCCCAATGATTCTAGTTCTAGGTATAGTGTTAGTTCTAGTTTTACACTTGCACTGTCACTAGAACTGACCTAGAACTAGAAACATTCGGGTTTAGCCGCACGTCTCTTAAAGACGGCTAAACCCGAATGATTCTAGTTCTTGGTCTAGCGCTGCATAACAATTAAAACTAGAACCAACACTAGACCTAGTCTAGTGTCAGTTCTAGTTTTACACTAGCACTGTTATTATGTAGAATGCTATACCGAGAACTAGAATCATTTGGGTTTAGCCGCACGTCTCTAAAGACGGCTAAACCCGAATGATTCTAGTTCTTGGTCTAGTGTTAGTTCTACTTTTAGTTCAATAAAAATATACAACAATCTAGCGCTGCATAACAATTAAAACTAGAACCAACACTAGACCTAGTCTAGTGTCAGTCCTATTTTTAGTTCAATAAAAATATGCAACATAGTGATATTTTATGCTAACTATCGCTACTTACCACCTACCAGCCGTCTTAAGAGAGGTATGGCTAAGTGGAATGTTTCTAGTTCTAGGTCTAGTGTTAGTTCTAGTGAGAGAACTAGATTATTGTATATTTTTATTGAGCTATAACGGACACTGCGTTCCCTGTATCGGTTATATCGAGGTTTTTCTGTAATGTTAAATTATATTGACATATTACATTTTATGTGGAACAAAATAAGGTTGCATTTTAAGTGAAATTATAGTATAGCGTTTTAAAGTTGAACAAATCCTTATGGAAATTATAATTAAGGAAGCAAAACAAAACATTTTTAATTAATTATTATTAATGATTTATTATAAAAAAAAGTACATCAAAATTCGCTAATCATTTCCATTTTAAGTACTTAGAGCATTTCACAAAAAGTAAACAACTACAGGACAAAACACATGAAACGTTAGAATCTAACAAGATTCGCTCTCAAATATTGAGATAAAGATGTATGAATTCCGAAATATTTTGTTGAACACCTTCGTCTATAATATAATTGACCTTTATAAATTTTATAGTATAATTTAGTTTTTCTTTTGGTTCGCATAAAATCGGCATATCGGCAGGTAACGTTACATTATTTTCTTCTAATATGCACAAAATCGAATACAACATAACTCTAACACAAAAAAGATTTTTACTTATCAACTACAAACATACAGACACATCACATTAATTAATTTAATTAACAAATTCATATAAATAGTGACAAAAAAAAACTGAGCTTAGATGATGACTTAAACTATAATAATTTACGATTTGTTCGTTTTGGAAAGATTTTGAAAAGTCATTATCACTGGATGTACTAAATTCTCATTTCCGATTATTGTTTACTTTAATTGTTTAATATTTGGTCCTTAATTTGAAATAGAAAATGAGTTAATATTGTTTTCTGTACAAAGAAATACATAAATGTAAAAATCTATACAAAAATAATATAATACATAAATCATTAAAAAAAGGGAGATTCTTAAATAATATCAATTGAGAATAAACTTATAAGGGGTAAATTAAAGCATTATGTAGCAACATAGTAAGAATTAAAACATTTTTGAAATATTTAAAAAATAAATAAAATATAAAAAGTTGGTTAATATCGTAAATAATACTATAATACATCATACATACACTATACATACAATATTAATGAGAATTATAGGCTTGTGATGCTTTTTTCTTCTTGTTTCCACTTTAATTTTTTTCAATTAATTTTATTAATCAATTTTATTAAATAGCATTTGTGTTTTCTTTTCTTTTTTTTATCACAGCTGTTATTTGTTGCAACTTTCCCTCAATTTCAAATTTTAATCAGTACAATTTCCAAAATTTTTTTTAGTGCTTTAAAGTTTAGTTTTAGATTTGGACGTTTTTCCGTTAGTTTCAGGTTCATCCGCCCGTTTTGGACGCAAAATAAAATTGAGATTATGCGCTGTATTTACTGCATAGTAAACGTTTGCGTTTTGTGGAAGAATCATTTCTTTATCAGGTAAAACTTGTGCTAATGTATACTCATCCGGACTTCCCTCCAAACATAATTTATACATCGCGTTTCGAATAACTTGCGGGGTCCGCTCGTTATTACTCAACATAATACTTTTATACAAAACAATCCCATCGGTTTCAACACTATCAGTTTCATAAGTAACCTTGATAATATAAAAATCGGGGTTACTTTTCTGCGAATGATTCGGACTACTTAATGTTCCTGTATTATTTACAACCATTAAAGAAGGTACTTGTAACTTTCCATTATTGTTATTTAACGTTGAAGTATTCCCCCCAGAATGAGAACTATTTAATGAAGTATCCAAAGAAGGCAAAGAAGAACTGCTGCTTGAATTGGACATTTGTGATGATGGACTTAATTTTCTATCAATGCTATTATGAGGCGAACTTGGCATACTATCAAATTCGCAATAAAATTGTGAACTATTCGAGCTTGAATTACTGGCGATGGAATCATTTTTTTGATGACCAGTCTTTTTCTTATTTTTAATAACAGTGTTTGTTGTCGACGGTTCAATTTGACAACTTAATTGGTAAGATTCCCTGTCATCTAAAACCAAAAGGGAATTAAACCAATAATCGAACACAACATCCTCAGATAATTGGTAAGCATTAGCGGCTCCTTGCAATAACTTAATCTGCGCTAAAACTTCAAATTCTTTTCTACGTTTATCGAAATTTATCAACCCATCCGAAATCGTATCTGGAATAGCTGTATCAATCATCGTTAAATCGGTTAAGAAAGTTCCTAAATACGGTATAGTCCCAAAAGAAATATTTGCAGTGTGAGTATTTTGTTTTTGAAAAACTTTCTGTAATTGTTTATCATTTTCGCCGACTGTATCAGCAAATTTCGCAGTACCCTCTCTCATCAATAACTCTCTTTGGGTCCATTGATTATTATCTTCGCTAAAAATCCTTGCTAATTCATCAAACAACTCAATTTTTTCTTTACTAATCGTTTGCCAAGTTTTTTGCAACCGATAAATCGGATTACTTTGTAACCCGCTTATAATCGCTTTTAAACTCGAGAAATTCTTTAAAACTCTCAATTCTTGAGCAATATCAATCCAACAAGTAATAATTTGCGCCCGATCCGATGCTTTAATATCCGGCTCCACCAAAATCGAAGAAATCACACGAAAAGAAACCGCGTTAAATTGATTCACCGTTGCTAAAACGGTTGCGGCTTCGTGTGATCGAGATTTATCGCGTCGAGACCAAACCGCTCCAAGACATTGATGTGGTACAAGTTTTTTGAATAATTCCACATCCATACGAGTTAGTTGTTCGGCGAAATGTCTTACAGGAACATCTGGAAGTCGATATCTTTTCCATAAGACGATGGATTCATTGCAAAATTTTCGCATTGCAAACGCAGGTGGTGGATTTAATACTGGATCGACGCGAGGTTCCCGGCTATATCTATCCAAGCGGTGACGAACTTTCGCTTCTAATTCAGTCGCTGGAAGTTGCTCCTCGCAGAAGTGAACGAGTTGAAGTAAAGCTGGATGATTTGGTGGTTCTTTGAAATCTTCTGGGTAACTATCTAACCATACGTGAAGTGCAGATATTAAAGTCCTGGAATTAAAGACAATTTTAAAAACATGATTTAAATGTGTTAAATTAAAATAAATCAAATTGCTTCCACGCCATTGGGTGTCTCAGAAGCTATAAGAACTATTACATAAAAAACATAAAAAAGTTTGATCTAATTTTTTTGGTTCTAATTTCTAATTGCTCCTAATTACATCTTGATCTCAATATAGCTCAATTTAATTTGTTCTTAATGATGATTAATATCTCTCAATGTCTTTCAATAAGTTTAAATAACTCTGAATGATTCTCCACTGCTTCAATTTCAATTCCTCTCAATAATCTTTAATACCTCACAATGATTCCTACTTTACCCCTTCAAATATTTTCAAACACCTCTCAATAACTAACTCATTTAGTATCAGTGATGCATTAGCGCAGAGATTCACGCAAGTTTTACATGTGGAATTTGGTGTATTAAGATTCTGCTGTTGCATTGCAGAGTGCAGTTGCTTTTTGACAGATTAAATGGGTTTCAAATGAGTTATCTGATTCCCACAAAAGTTTTAATTGCAAATATATGAATTAGACCGCGTTATACATCACTTGACTAAGCGACATTTTATCGTTTTTAGAGATTTTCATGCTGTCTAGTAGGTAAAGGTGCAAATGCAGAATAACGAAAGACCTAAAATACTATTTGTTTTAAAGGATAAAGCTTTAAAAGTCATGAAAAGTCGTGAAAGAAACTTTCTTGTCAATGTCAACTTTAATTTCATCATTATATTCGTAATCTTCATAAAATAACTTTTAAACTGAATCCAAACTTGACGCATTTATCTCAAAAAGCCAAAAAGTTCGAACTTTCAACTTTTAATTTTGGCATATTTGTCAACTTCATAAAAAATCCTTTAAAATGAGTCCAAACTCGACATATTTAACTTTAATATTAATGGAAATACAATCACTTCCGGTTTGAAACGTCAACGTCAATTTTGACATATTTGTCATCTTCATTAAAAAACCTTTAAAATGAGTCCAAAGATGACGCACTTATCTAAAAACAAAAAAGTTAGAATAAAAAACAATAAACCCTAAGTTAGCAACAATGAAGATAGCAATTTAATTTTTAAATATTAATACCAACCTTAATTTTAATTTTTTTTTTTATTAATTTTTATTTTTGTGACAAATATTAGGACATTTTATAAAAATTAAGAATATGTCAAAATGACATTGACATTTCAAACCGGAAGTTGCTTATATCTCGAGTAATATTGGAATTAAACGTATCATGTTTGGACTCATTTTAAAGGATTTTTCACGACGATTACAAATATGTCAAAATTGACGTTGACATTCTTAACCGGAAGTTGACCATAACTTCATTAATATTGAAGATAAATATGTCGTGTTTGTACTCATTTTAAAGGATTTTTAATGAAGATTACAAATATGTCAAAATTGAGGTTGACATTTTCAACCTGAAGTTAGTTATGATATAATAGAAGTTTTATAACTGAAGTTAATCTAGTGTTAGTCACTTTCCCGCGCTTTCTTTTTACTTTTAACGTGTTTTTTGGTCATTTCACATTGATTAAAAAAACATCGTCGATTTTTACCATGATGATACTTGAATGTTTCCCAAGTTCTTTTGTTAAAAAAGAGCGTTCTTAAATTTTAACCTGTAAATTTGTAACACTTCGTCGTTAATTGCATTTTACAACTTTTTAAATTTAACTAATTTTGCAAATTATTAACTAATAATCTGATTTCGACTTTGATATGTGATCATTTTTAACAAAAGAAAAAGAAATATTAAGAAACTTTGTTGTAAAATGGATAGGATGAGGGATGTTAATCTATTTGTAGAGTCTCTGAAGATGGCCTAGGACCAAAACTAGTTAGACTTAAAATCTATATAAAATAGAAACCAGTTGAAAAGTACAAAATCAAACTCTAGATAATTTTCTTCAAAAATTTTTACACAAAACATCATTTTGACATAGTGTTTGTGTTTAAATATATGCCACGACATACAGAAACACCCTGTATAATTGTAAAACGATTGACCAAGCGGATTCTGTGCTTGTGATGGCTGTCATCAGTGTTCTGTGATAAAAATGGACAAGTACTATAGGTCTTATATTTTTAGAGAGATGAAAACGAAAATCTCGTTTTTCTCAACATTATTCAGTTGTCGCTTAGTCAAGTGATGCATAACACGGTCCAATTGTAGTCTTTACAAAGAATGAAGTAGAAATTAAAGAAAAACAGTATGTACACAATTTTATATACCCCAGTTTCTCTTTACAACCTCAATTTAATCAGTTTCTTATAGCTTCTGAGATACCAAAGTTGTTTCGGTTTCCTAAAAATAAACTTTATACAGTTTTTTGTAAGTAATGTTTCATACTTTTTGTGTTGTTCGTGATGATCTCCTTTTCCATTTACAGTGGCGGCCGATTGCGACTCGGAAAGTTCTTCGTACCGTTGTAGTAATAATTTTAACACTTCTTTCGGTGTCGAGAAGCTCCTGTACGTGGCCAAGAACACGTTTATGTAGGTGGTTTCCAGTTCTCCGTCGTCCGTTGATAAAGCTTCGACTAATTTTTTCAAAGTGCCGGCTTTTACGAATCTCACCCGTACTGTTTCCCATTCTAAATGTGATATTTCATCATCGGAATCCTGCAAATTAACAATATTAAAAAAAATTATTAAAATATCGATATAGAAAAGTTATAATAAATGTTATTTTAAAACAATGTGGTTTTTGCTTCTGAATTTTTTTTTTAAATCCTTTTAAAAAATTCAATGATTGTCTAGACATGATAAACTAAACAGAGACCCTATTTTAACTCAATAGGCTTATTGTATTCTCTTTTAAACTGAGTACCGCTACACATATGAACACAAAAACTTCCTTAGCGTATTTACTTGACTATTCTTTAGTAGGACGTGACCGATAGCTCAACAATAGACCAAAAGATTATCACATTCCATCAGTCTTTCCCCGACAAATGAAAATATACAAGATCCGCACCAAGACGTTAAATTTAGCAATAAAAATAGATGATTTGTTTATCAAAAGCGAACGTTCTCTACCTACGTGTAGAAGATAAACCTAAGCGTGTTCCTATATTGGGCATTATAAATAGGCATTCGAAAATTTATGGTGTTTTTGTCCGAGGATTGAAAACAAAACAACAAATAATACAATAAGATTATAAAAGTTTTTCTGAGGATTTGTATCGTCGTGAAATTTCAAATTTCGTTACGGAACAAGTGTCTTCCATATGTTCTCTCTTGATTCTTGTTAAAGCGTTTTACGACGTAAACAGTGTTCGAGAAAACGAAGAAAAAAAGCGTAAACTAGAAATTCAAACAAACACTTCGATTGAAGTGAAAAAAAGAGGTAATTAAAGCGATTAAAGTCGAGCTAAATATTTCTAGGTTATCGAGAATCGCTTTCTCAAAGATTTGATGTGCTGTTCATTTCTTTTTTTATGTTATCACCTTGAAAACTGTTGATTTTAAAAAATAATTACTCAATTTAAGTTTTTAAGATAAGATTTAAAAAATCGTTTTGTTCGATTCCTTCTTTTTTTAGAGATACACCTCTTTCACCTTGAAGAAAGAATGGGAAAAACGTAAACAATTTCGTTAGGTACAAAAATAAAACGTAACTGGTCATTTCCGGCGCGGTGAACAACGTTATAGTGTAGTTGCGGCGGTGATACGCGAATTTAAATCACCAATTTCCTTTAGTCGTACGACGACGAAGCAGAATTGGAAGGGGAATCCTGTTTATTTGGTTCATTTATTGTGGAAAAACAAAACAAGTATAATACTAAATCTAAGTTTAGGTTTTCTTTTTGCATTAAATTATTAAAAACCTTGTGGTTGAAAGTTGGTGATTTCGCAATATTTGTGTCGAATGATAAATAATGAAGAAAGATTATTTGAAATGAATTTCTCTTTGCTATCATAAGCGGAACGAAAAGTATGTTATTGTGAAAATTAATGTGATTAAATTCTTTAGTTAATCAAAGGAGTAAATTTTAAAACAAAACTTTACCTTTTAATCTAACATTTTAATTCAAGAATTTGCGTGGAATGTGATTATTTGCAATTTAAATGTACCATGAATGATTTATTTAAAGATATTAAGCTTAATATACTTTGTGAACTCGTTGCATGCGTTATGTTTGACTCAAAGTATTTTACGTTACAGTTTCCGTGGAATCTGTTCAAATAAGAAAAAAAAGCATTGTTATAAAAAAATAGTGTGCACTTTTATGCACGAAGTTTCGGTGCTACGACGACGTTATGGAAAATAAAATGATCACTACCTCTAGTGGATACAAAAGAGGCTATAAAAATGAGAACAACATCAACAGTCAGGGTGGTGTTGGACCCCAACAGAATCTTGAAGAAATTACTGAACTCGATGAAGAGTTCTTCCACTTCACATCTTCTATATTGTCAATTTTCTACCGATTTTGCCACTTTTGAATTTGTTTTTGAAGAATACTACACAGCATGACATCAAAAGAGTTAAAATTAATTTAATGTTTAACGAAAATTTAACTAATATTACAGTAAAAATTAATAATCTGAATGACAACGGAAGGATGTTCAATACACAACACGAATTTGATAATAATATTGATTCAACGATAATACACTGACAGAACAATGCTTTTTTGGAGTTCCTAGAAATATATAAAATTAATAAATTTATGACAGAAACTTCTTAAAAAAAACAGCGTGTGTGAATCCAATCTTCTCAAAACATTATAAGTCTAAAACGGTATAAAAATCATTTCCTTAACAACTAAAGATTGATTACTAGGGTCGCTACTCTTCATTATCCATTCAAATGGCAGAGAAGCGCGACATCGGACGATGAACTCGTGTTTAAAGTAAAGAAAGATTGTAAGGTATCACTTCATCGTGTAGAGCTTCCGAAAAACATGATAACTCGGAGCTCAACGTGTTAAAGAACATTTCGATGACGCATAAACTTTGGTTATTTCATTTCTATGTTATAATTATTTTAGTATGTGTGATTATTGTTGTAGGATAATATAATTTATCCATTACTAATTAAAAATAATTGATTATAAACTCCACCAAAAAGTTTATTAAACCTGCGGATTTAAACTTTCTGGGCATTACAACAAAAAGTTTCCCTAACGATCCGGATGTGTATAATCTGTTCAGACTTCCGCAATTTCTGCAAACTTTCTACAAAAACCAATTGAAAATATTCCGCTAACAATTTTATTTTTAACAAAACTTTTTAATCCACTCGGTTCGGTGTTCGTTTGACAAAGATAAACCAGAACAAAACCTGATTTGTTAATTTAGCGTTTTACAAAATTGGAATTTCCACGACTTCCTTGAAGCAAAAGCAAAGTAGATAATGATCAAAACTTGTTTTTAGATAACATAAAAAAACATATTTTTTTTAAATTTTGGATACTTACCGAGTGTGGAGAGGAAAGGCTTCTTGTAGGTCTATGATAACGTACTTTCTTAAGGTAAACCGTATAGAGAGCTCCATCTGCTTTCTCTTCGCCCCACAAACGCCATGTGGGCTGCTAGAAAAAAGCAAAAATATACTAGAAAAAGCAATTAATACTATCAAGTTATACATTAAAATAAAACTAACGTAACCAATTTATCAAGAAACACCACAATAATTTATTATTTTAGTCATAAATTAACATGAAAAATGTGTCACATTAAATATAGATAAGATGAAACAAAACATAATCTTTATTTCGTTATAAAAAAGATTCAAAAGATTATAAAGTAAACGAATTCCGAGACAAGATTTTTCTTAAAATTCAATAAACAAACTTCCGGTTTCGGATAAACAGATAAATATTCAGAGTTGGCATGTATTCAGATATTCGAGGAATCGTTCGATATCAAACTAGAGATTATAATTCAACGTTGAAACGACAACGTCGTTTACCCTTTTCTTATATAGGTCAAAAGGTTTTTAGTAAAACCTAGTCACAAATTGATTTATTTCTTCGAATAGAGATCTTGAATAGAACGTTGATTTCAAATAACTTTAAATTTAGATTTTTAAGAAATTATTTTGTGTACAGCAAAAAAACCTCAATATAACGAATTAATACGGAGAAGGGAGTGAATTTACACTTTAAATTGTTTGGATGAATAATTTTAATGTACTAACACTAAATTAATTTCAGTTATAAAACTTCTATTACATGATAACTAACTTCAGGTTTAAAATGTCAACCTCAGTTTTGACATATTTGTAATCTTCATTAAAAATCCTTTAAAATGAGTACAAACACGACATATTTATCTTCAATATTAATGAAGTTATGGTCAACTTCCGGTTAAGAATGTCAACGTCAATTTTGACATATTTGTAATCGTCATGGAAAATCCTTTAAAATGACTCCAAACATGATACGTTTAATTCCAATATTACCCGAGATATAAGCAACTTCCGGTTTGAAATGTCAATGTCATTTTGACATATTCTTAATTTTTCTTAATATTAGTCACAAAAACAAAAATATAATAAAAAAAAATTAAAAATTAAGGTTGGTATTAACATTTAAAAATTAAATTGCTATCTTCATTGTTGCTAACTTAGGGTTTAATGTTTCTTATTCTAACTTTTTTGTTTTTTGAGATAAGTGCGTCATCTTTGGACTCATTTTAAAGGTATTTTAATGAAGATAACAAATATGTCAAAATTGACGTTGACGTTTCAAACCGGAAGTGATTGTATTTCCATTAATATTAAAGTTAAATATGTCGAGTTTGGACTCATTTTAAAGGATTTTTCATGAAATTGACAAATATGTCAAAATTAAAAGTTGAAAGTTCGAACTTTTTGGTTTTTTGAGATAAATGTGTCAAGTTTGGACTCACTTTAAAAGTTATTTTATGAAGATTACGAATATAATAATGGAATTAAAGTTGACATTGACAACGGAAAGTTTCTTTCGCGATTACACCCGAATGTGTCGCTTAGGTTTTAGCTTAGCATTTACACCTTTACCTACCAAATAGCATGAAAATCTCTAAAAACGATCAAATGTCGCTTAGTCAAGTGATGTATAACGCGGTCCAATTAAAACTACAACTACCGTCGATAATATTACTAGTATGACTTAAAAATATTTTGTTTTACTTAACAAAAATCGATGAAGTTAATTTTAACCGACTCATTTAAAATTAAATGCGATTTAAAAACACTCGACAAGCTTAACATAACTTCAAACCTTGAGACCTCTCAAGTACACTAGAAAACTATTATTAGTGAATCACCGTTACATGTTGTAGTAGCTATCCATCAAACAATGGATTTTCTTTATTTCGTTTTTTTAGTTCCATATTAACTTTTCGCCATTGTCAGCGGTTTAAGAAGAATAAACAAAAATCGCACAAAGGTTTGTTTAACAGTTTGTCTGCGTTTTCTCATAAAGAAATATGATACATTAGTATTTTTTGTTCTCAGAAGTTGAGTTACACGTGTGTTATTAATGAATAATTACAAATTGTTTTCTTTGAATATTTTTTTTGCAGAACATCAATTTCCTCGGTGTTATAAAAAATAAATGGGTCTCCTACGTAAAAGGAAATATAATCAATATTTTTTAATGTTTCGAACAATTATTTTAAGTGGCGATGTTTACTACTAAATGACGTCAATTAATAACGTCATAAATGAAATTAAAAATAAACTTTCATTGTTTTTTTTTTTTTTTTCATTCATAAGCCTTTAAGTTTTTTAATTAATCAATAATGTTTAAATTATTTAATCAAAATCGTATTAAGTTATATTGCACTCAATCAAGTTTTACTAAAAGAAAGTTAAAGCTATCATTTTAAAGAAAACATTTTGTAAATAATAATTTCTGTGAGCTATAATTTTTCTTTTCAATTTCTTTGTTATTTGATGAGTCATTAACTTCGCTAAGTACTAAAATACAAGTAGTGAAGAGGCAAAAGTTAAAGTTTGCCGTCACCCTCTGGACGACAACATAATGTAATTGGATAGGAGAGAGGTAAAGCGGGTGCCCCCAAAGCAGGAATGGCAATTATCCGTGTCACGGTGATGGGCAGTTGCTACTTCATGCATGAACTCAAACGTATACACGAAACCACTAAAGTTACTTTATCCACGATGATATTTTTAAAACCTCCCCAAAGACAACAATCACAACCTTACAAAATTTTTCCCATGAATATCATATCATAACTTTACGATTTTACCTTTTTTAATACCAAATCGAAAAATTTTATCTTCAACTACTACGTCGTAAAACTCATAAATCTACATATTTGCGTTCACATTAACGATCGTTAATTTCGATTATAGAATGTCGTTTTCTTCGAGTCTTACAATTTCACAATTGGAAATACATTCGAAACATGTTAAACATTAAACATTTCTTTTCGCTATCTCCAAGTTACATTTCGCACGTGCATAAAACCGCGCGTTACAATAAACGTGACTATTCTCCTCTTATTGTTATTTTTTCGTTCGCTCTATTTCACCGGAGCGCACGTGTATGTGCAGCCCGCAAAGTTGATTTTGTTTAAAACGCGTATTCCATTAATTAAAAGCCTCCTCTAAAACAGAAACAAATTTTATTCGATACACTCCATGTTTTAATAAACAAACCTGTGTTTTCATTCGACCAAATGTTATTATTATTAGTAGAAACATTCTAAAATTATTTAAGAGTGGGATGAAACCGATTAAATTCAACCACTTCCTGACAAGATGAGGAATGAAATTGCTAAGGCAGAGGCCGCTCCTTAAAAATGCTAAAATACTTCGCATTCCATGTCTGCACCGGCAACATAATTTATCTTTACGCGCATACTCAATTTCGCACGTGACTCCTAAATATAGTTAGGACGGTTATAATTGCTTGCTAATTGGCGAATCGCACTTCTACGTTTTCCATTCCCATCACCTCTAAAGCTCCCGTTTGCTAATAATTACGCACATTTTAACGTTTATCTCTATAAATACGGTATTTTTTTTATTGTGAATCAACATTTAGCCGCAAAACGCGTAAATTATGACGCTAACAAGTTATTATGTGGTATTAAGGTTTTCCCGGAAAATATGTTTAATTGATCAAAACCAAAAATACATTGATAATATAAGGCGTATTAAAAATATAAATTACGAACATATGAATTTCTTAGATTTTTTTTTGTAACGCGTTAAATGAAATGAGATAATAAATTTTCTTTAGACATTTCTACGAATCGAGTCACTACACCGAAACATTCCTTAGAGTTACTTCTGCAACTCAACCATTGCGAAAAAGCATGTCACACAAGGAAAGCATGTTTTATCCGACATCAGCAGACCACTTAAATGCATGCTCAGTGTAATCTTTGTTAAATGTTAAATGCCATCTGTGAGTACTAAAAATTTATTAAGTATATTAAAATGAAAGATTTAAAGATTGATGGTTGTAAAAACCATTAATTTTTTTCAGGTAGAAATTGAGAAGGCAGGTGATTTCTCTTTGTATTTTTAGTGTCTTTTCCAGCTGTATTTTCAGGTATAATGCAAGCAACACAAGAACAGATGCTTTTTGGAATAGATTTTTATCTGAGAGGTCGTGCTTATTGAATCGAATTAGATCTTTTCGGTTAACCAGCTGTCGTAAATCTTATTATAAGGTTAGGAACATCTGGAAAAAAATAAAATGATTTAAAATTAAATCGATAAAAATTTAATAAAAAATGATAAAAAAATTAGTCATTTGCATACTATGAAGTTTTCGTTATTAATCAGATTAATTAAAATATTTAAACTAATTTATTACCTTAGGTATTTATAGAAAATAAATGATAAATGTATGATAATAAATTTTTTTATTAAAATCGTTTATTTGTCCTTCCTACTTGCACTCACTTTTACATTCACTTTCACATATCACTATCAAGAAAAAATGGTAGTAATTAAAACCTACTTCTATTAATATCTATTAAAAGAAATAAGTAAAAAGAATGTGTTTACCCAAAATTAAAATCACTTGAAAATGTGTTATAAACAAAAATAAATTGAGCCTAATAAAATTTCATTTTCGTCATGAGTTGTCAAAGGTTAACCACAGCCGCAAAAATATGTGTAATAAATAAGTTATCACGAGTGATAAAAAGAAAAGGTCGTGGAAGTATCAAAAATAAAAAAATAAATCTGTTTTTTTTTTTCAAATGTTGTGGTTTGTAAAATAAATATTGCGAATGCAAAGATGATAACATCTTCATCATCTGGTCATTTTCCAAACCGCTTCTAAATGATAAATTCCAATAAAAAAAATGGACGTAACGACTTACTTTTCGATGTTTCTCTAGATACAATTTTGTCTTTGGGCAAGCTGTTTTTGCAAAATCAGCTAGTTATTAGCTAGTCACTGTTAACCACAGTCTCACTTTGTAAATTTTGGTACTTCAAAAATATTAGGCGAATACAAGCAAACATATAGCAGAAGTGGATGATGTGCTAACTGATATACATCATAATGCAATGCCCACGGGTTAATGCCAAAGGTTAAGTACAATAACAGTATTTATGACTTAAAAAGAACTCATCAATAATAGAGAAATATCACGGTGCTATAAGAATAGTTTGGGGAGATGACGATTTCCAACAGTTTTCGAATTTGGTGCTACAAATATAAGCATCAAAATGACAGGCAGAATAATGAGCATATATGAAGATCTTTGTGTAGATAATTACAATGAAGTAAAGGAAGTTTTGTACTCACAAGAACCGCTGTTAATACAAGGTGGTAAAAAACCGCTTTCAACCTCAATGCCAAAAGAAGGAATTTTTGGCTCTTTTAATGCTTTATGCGAGGGCAATCTACCCTGGACAATACCACAGAACATTTTTCTCATTAGCCAACTCTCAATTTTCAAATATTCCAAGCCATCAAATTAATACATGAAGACCTGAACGGTGGCGATCTTCTCACTCGGTGTCTATATAGGCACACTATTGCGCTACAACCCATGGTGAGGTTGGCGTCTTCTACAACAGGCCAAAATTGTTGGCCTTCAACAGTTGGCCAAAAAAATAGTTTTACGGAGTACAGAAAAGAGAAATTTGCAATAATAGTCATTTGATGCAGTCAAAAGTAATATCACGACTAATAGCAAAGAAGCTCTGACTCTGAAGCTATATCAATATCAACTACTATGAGAAAAATAACATAGAAGTAACAGTTATCACAAGACTTGTATCAACCCAATCCAAACCAACCCTAATATACTATCCTCTCTAAATAATATTTATTGCCTTTGCTTTGCAATCACATAACATTTACAAAAAAAAACCTCTTCTCATTTTTTGAAGTACTTAAACTTCAAATAAACAAAATTTAAGATGAAAATATTTTCCTTACCTTTATATACCATTTAGTTAAAGTCTTTTTATTCGGTTTCCTATTATAGCCCGTACACACACAAAACCTAAACTTGCCACTTTTCGGTGATTGATCCTTATTTCTTTCAGTACAACCCGCAACAACACTCGCAGAATTCGAATAACACTTGCCGTCATAAAATTTCGACTTTTCAGTTTGGAAAAAGTCCGCCTGAAAAGCCACAGTGGTCGAAGCGGTCGGTAACAACATTCTTCATTGACTCGTCAATGAGAATTCCCGCCGGTAAAGGTTCAGGTATAAAAGGTTTTTTTTAAATGGAAAAAGTGGTCGTGTCGCGATCGATAAAAACGAAAACGAACCACGCGATTCGATAAACGACAGACGCCAACCAACTCCGCCTTCGCGTTTCGAACGCGACTGAACCCAAAATCCAAAACAAACCTCCTCGAGGAGTGAGTAATTGTAAAAGCAGTGGGGCGCATGCGAATGTTGGGTTTCGATGCGAATTGTGTGGTTTTACTTTGGTCTTTTGGACTGGATGTTGTGATGATTAACTTTTATATTGATGATAACAAAGACATTATGTGAAATGAAAAAATACTTTTTATATGATTAAGATCTAACAAATATGTTTTAAAAATGTAATCATAAATTGCTTCCACACCCCATATTTCTTGTTTATCTACAAACTCACCAAAATTAATTTTAACCCAACCCATAAAAAAATCTGTTAAAAAAACTCCCCTAGGAAATCCTTGCCGAAGCAAGAAATTTTAAGGTCTAGTGTGAACGAACCTTCGAACGCCATGAATCCTAAGACCCTTCGTACACTCGATGCTATATTTAGCTCCAAGGGGTTGATGGTTCCCCCATCAGAGACGTACAACAACCCCCTAAAACGGGGGATTGATGAAAACGTTCCCGTAGGACCACGTCGACTAAAATCCACTGTAGATGGCAGAGTAAAAGAGATAGATATAGAAAGGCAGGTATTGAAGGGGGAAAATGGGACGGGTAAAGTAAAGAGGAAATGCGAGATGCGGGAAACCGGGAAATTTGGGGAGGAAATTTAAATCGATATAGGAAGCTAAAATGATGATTCACACAAAACGTTAAGGTGTGAACTTAAACGGGAGTCTAATTAAATGAAACAAACAAATAAAGTTTTTGTTTAACAATTATAAAACAGGTGTTTTGTTTTAAAATAGAAGGAAATATTAAAAAAAAAATTGTCGAGGTTAAACTGAAGATTACGTCAGAATTGTATAATTTAAAGTATTCGGAAAATGTTGACCTGTCGGAAAAAAAAACGAAGATAACAGGTACTATTTCCGTTCCGTTCAATGACGTATTTAAAAGGTGGTAGAAAAACAGTTTTTCAAAATAAAAAAAATACAAAAAGCTAAAATTACAACATCATTTCCTAAAAATTCTCAACAACATTTTTTACGACAATAAATCGATAAATCTAGGTTAAAAAAATAAGCGATTTTCCGATCTATCTGTATGGAATAATAAACACGCGGAAGTCGTGAAAAACAAAGCGACAAGAATTCCGATTCCCACAATTCCGGAATCGTGGTCCGCGCATAATTTTAGCCGTGTCAACGTACTTAAAGGGCGTTGACGACGTTTCGAGAGGTGTGTTCCAGTTTCTACGCTCTCAATAGAATCTATAGTGATGAAGGGAACGATACTGGAACGCGCCCAAAAACCATAACTCAACTTTGTTTTCAACTGAAAGAGCTCTTTAACAGGGTTTAATGTTATACGATACTTTATGTCTTTATACGTTTCATGCCCCAAAGGAAATTTACTACATTTAAACAAGATATGTCCGGGAATGTGTTGAAGCAAAGATAACATTAGAGACTACATTAATGATGTTAAGGAAAAAGACGTCATTAAGGAATGATTGGAAGCTAAGAAGATATTGAGAGTGCTTAGAGAATATAGTAAGGATTGTAATGATGTTAAGGAAGATGATAAATGATCTTGAGAGATGTCATCTGACTTAATCTTGATATAGTTTTGCTATTTATCTATATTTATTATCTTCTACTTCAAGAAGATTGCTCATTATTGTTTAAATTGACATTGCGATTTTTCTTTAATTCCCAATTTTTCATTCCTTTACCGACTTTATGATTTTTATCTCGACTTATTACTTTTATTGAATCAAAAAAATATATTATATCCCAATTTCAGTACAATATCTTCCCTTATCTTTACAATTAACAATAAAAAACAATAACAATAGGTATAGATATAAAGTAGAAAAAGATTAAAAGATAATTTTAATTCGTTGGTGTAACACTAATGAACAATTGTAGGATTGTTTCCAAAAAAAGAAAACGTTTGTAGAATCCCCCAATTTAAATCAATAGGGTTGCAAAATCGTAACAAGTAGTAATAGTTACGAAGAATACATTAGTAACTCGATACTTACAAAACACTCATCCCATTCCGCTGGCAAATTATTATCACACGTGCAATATATCTCCATTGGGAACATTTAAAAAACTCGAAACTGACGCCACTATAAACGATAACTTAAAACAGGAAATACTATCATAAAAAAATTCATTCATCTATCGAACGATATAGGTTATAATAAAGTTAGATCATAAATGCCCCGCCTGAAAACGAGGGAACAATTAACGGTCTTGTTCGGGATTAATTGAACCAATTAAGTTATCGGGTTTAAAAGTCGTAGAAGCTTTCTTCCAGTTGTCTGTTATGTGGAAATAACGGTGAAACAGGGGTCGAGGTTGCTTAATAAATTGATGGAGAGGTTTACCGAAGTGAATTGCTATAAAGTGCATCTAATCTTGTTTCTTCTGCGACGTTAAAAGCTGCACTTAGAAACGATATAATGAGCAAAGTGGTTTTGTAATTACTTACTTCATTTAAAAGCCAATAATAAAATTGAATGGAACAGTTTAAAACATAAAACCGTACAGAAATTTTTAAATGTCAATTTTATGGGTTATAAAATAATCAAAATGTTAGAAAACAATGTTGATTTTTGATACATGAGTTTGATTATGAATCAGTTTGTGCTATGTTCTGGAATCTATCAAGTACAAACTTAGGAATACCCAAAAACTATTGCTCTGGGTTCTGGAATCATTTAACCACAAGTTTAGCTGCTTAAGCAAACTTGGAATTGCAGAAGAACCTAATTCCAAAATAGCAGTACTTTCAAAAGCCAAGAGTTTAGTAACCATGTGACTTTTGGATCAGAAAATCATAAGAAATCTTCACATTGCATTGGAAGATCAAGACATTGTTTTCTTCAAAAGTGCCATATAACAAAATGAGTGTAGACCATTTTTCTCTTAAAACAGGTTTCGAGGTTATATAACATTAAATTGTTAATTAACTTGATAATACAACATACTTACCTCCTTGTCATCAACTTTACCTATTTTTATTTAAATGAAACATTATAAATCAAAAAGTTCATAAATCATGTCCTACAAACAGGTTCTCTATTCACAGTTTAAACGTCTAAATTAGAAAATGCCAAGGTTAGAACGAAAAAAAGTCCGCAAAAAGAATTTGACACAAAAATTAAGGTATTCAATAAACGTCCAACCAAAAAGATTTAGTTTTTTGATTCAAATAAAGCACAAAAACTTTCCACTTTCACTGAATACATTTCGAAAATTAAATTACCGTTTGTTTGATTCCCCTGTAATCATAAACAACAATACCATTTCTTAATAATCCAAATTGTAAATAGTAATTACAATCTCCTCTCAATTCTTTTCGCAAATACAAGAAGTTGTTGCAAGAAGTTACTTTAAGAAAACGTAACGTGAGAGAGAGGTTAGAAATGTTCGCACATAAATTAATCGGGAATTTGAGGTTAACGGACACTAAGACCATCTAAAGCAATAAATTATTGTTTTAATTATTGATTGGAATAAATTAGTTTAAATGTAAATGATACTGACCAAGCTATCTGCATCGTTCATTTTTCTTCTTCATTTTCGCGAAAGTCCGCCCAGCTGCGTCGAAACTTTTCCATCCATCACACCACAAAAAACTCAACGATAAAGTTTTTTCATAAATAAAACGATCAAACACCTTTCGCACCGTGCTTTTCCGTTCAAATCATACTAAAACATCTTCAAGGAAACTCAACGAAAACTTTTTATATTCGTAAAACAATTGAACTCGAACAGCTGTCAAATGTCTTATTTACCGATTAAAGCGACCTCCTACGTAAATATGATTAAATGTTTTTTATAATTACAATAACAAACCGTACGAATATGTGATGTTTGATGTTAAACACTAGATAAGGGAGTGATGTTTTCTTTCAATAAAAAAACTTTTGAGAGACTTTCTCTTCCTGACATCACGTTACGTACATTTTTTGCAGGTTTGCCAACTTGAAACGCGCGTATTATTTTTCTTTCTATTAATTTCAATTGTGTATCAATAGATGGTGGCACTATTTTAAAATTTGTGTTTTATGAAGATTAATTTAGATTTAATCGAATAATTAATTAATTAAATAATATTTTTTTTATGTTTATTGTTTTGTATTTAAAGTATCACGACTTTTATGATTAGAAGATCTTTTATTGATGAAAATTTATATAAATTATTATTACTGATAGATGGCGCCATTTTTTAATATTTATTTATAATTTAAAAAATAATTTTTATAAATTATTTTATGACTATAAGGGATAAAATTTAGGATATTAAACACTGAAGTAGGTATATAATTAGAATTTATTTGGTGCACCTAACCTCACAAAAATCTTAAATCAAATTAACCTAACCTAAAATTTTTTTAGAAAAAGTGAAATATTTGCAATAAAATCTTTAATGTAATACTGTTTATAATTATGGAAACTGTAGAAAAAGAAGACGAGGAAAATGATTTTTACAAAAATGCCGAAAATTATTGGGCTGAAATACCAGCGACTGTTCAAGGAATGCTGGGTGGATTTGGTCATATATCCCGCGTGGATATTCAAGGGTCAAAGCAATTTTTAAAGCACCTGTTCCAATTAAAAAAACCACCAGGAAAAACATATGCGTGTGATTGTGGGGCAGGAATTGGAAGAATCACAAAATATTTATTATCGAATATCTTCGACAAAGTCGATTTAGTAGAACAAAATTCTAATTTTTTAGATCAAGCTAAAGAATATTTAGGACCAACCGTTTTAAGTAAAATAGGAGAATTTAATCCATGCGGCTTACAAAATTTTTCGCCCGAAGCAAACAGATACGACATCATTTGGTGTCAGTGGGTTTTAGGACATTTAACTGAAGAAGATTTAATTTATTTTATACAAAAATGCAGGTAATAATGTAGTAAATATTGGTGAATTTGAAATTTATTGAAATTTAAATATTTTTTTAGTGAAAGTTTAAGAGAAAATGGAGTGATTATTATAAAAGAAAATGTAACTTCTTCGGGTGCAGTTGAAGATGATGAAAAAGACTCCTCAGTTACAAGACCTTTTTCTATGTATATGGATATATTTAAAAAAGCTAATGTGAATTGTTTTAAAAAAATAAAACAAACTAGTTTTCCAAAAGAATTATACCCTGTATACATGTTTGCGTTACGTAAAATCACTTAAATAAATTGTATTTATTTACATTTATTGTTTTAATTAATCATTATTAACTTTTGTATTTAAAAATTTATAAAAAGTTTATAAATAAAAAATGATTGATTAAAAAAAGTTAGGTTATGTTTTCCAATAATAAGGTTCATTGTTCATTGTACAATTTTAAAAATAACTATTTAAACTGATTGTTACGGGATAACACCTCAGTTGAAGTTGAAAATACTTTAACACTAACACCGGTAAGTAAAACGATTAATTTGAATATGTAAATAAACAACGATTAGTAATTAAAAATCTCCTTAATATAACATATCTTTGAACTTTGTCTCTTTAAAAACGATCATGACTGGCACTTTTATCCCTGTTTATTATAAAACTCACAGACAACACTTGAATTCCTTGATAAATATTTTTTGTATAATATTTCTTTTGGTGGGAGTAAAAAACTTTCACTGTTACTTATCTCTCCTGTATACGTTTAAACTCACATTCCCCACCTAACGATGCTCCATTTAGAAAGGTTCGACTTTTATTAATCTATTTATATCAACAAATTGGTTAAAATCTTTTTTAAATTCCAGCCCGTATTGTGATACGAAAATGTATGGAAGAGCGATTGCCTCAACGAATAAAGTAAGTTTATTAAAATCTTTTTACTTTAACATATGTTTAATTAAATTTTAGATTTTAAGACCAAAATTGTTGAACTTGACACGAGCAGAGACCAGTATTCTTCCTTCTTTCTTAAACGCCAGAAATGTTTCTCAAAACTTACCAAGATTACCCGTTCCAGCCCTCAAACAAACCCTTGATAAATTTTTATTAACCGCTAAACCACATTTGAGTGACAAAGAATTCGCCAGCACAACAGAATTAATTAAGAAATTCTCTGATGAAAATGGAATCGGAGCGAAACTTCAAAAATATCTCGTTGAAAAAGCGAAAAGCACTGAAAATTGGCTTTCGGAGTGGTGGTTACACTCGGCGTATTTAGATTTTAGATACCCTGTAATCATTCATTCAAGTCCGGCTTTAGTTTATCCCATTGAAAATTTTAAAACTGAGCATGAACGACTTGTTTACTCAGCGAGGTTAATCTTGGCTGTTATGGAATATAAATTATTAATCGATAAGTAGGTAATATTGATTTTTAAATATTTTTTAATTTAATTTTGTGTTTTAAGTGATAAAATTCCTACTGATATGATGGGTAAAGATCCTTTGGATATGAATCAATACAAACAAGTTATTGGAACTTGTAGAATTCCAGGGTTGAAACGTGATAAATTGGAGTATTATCCTACCTCAAAACATGTTGTGGTTATGCATAATAATCACGTAAATAATTTTTTTAAATTTGTTTAAGTAAAAATAATAACTATGTATTTGGTTTTAGTTCTTTAAAGTGCATTTATTTGGCGATAACAATCAACTTATTAGTGAAAACCAACTGTTACAACAATTACATGATATTATGGAACAATCTGTTGCAACAGCTCCTCCAATTGGAATTTTAACTTCTGATAGTAGGGATAATTGGGGGAAAGCTTATCAACAATTAATTAAAGGTAAATTAAGGATGATCTTCTTTTTCTTTTACTGATGGCGTCAGATAAATCTTGTTCCTATTCCTCCATCCACTTCTTCCACTCCCTCTGGTTCCTGGCTAATTCTTTTATATCTGCTAGAGTCTTCACTATCTTCTTCCCAACTTCTACTATTCTAACCTCTCACTTCTTTCTAGATCTTCCCCTTCTTTTTTTATCCTTATTCTTTGCTTCAAATACCTTTTTTACTATTGTGTTATGTTCCATTCTAATTATGTGGGCGTACCAGTTTAGTTGTTTTCTCTCTATTTTGCTGATTATCTCCTCTTAATCTACTCCCAGCCTACTACTTCGTCTTTGCCACTATTTTCCGTAAAAATTTCATTTCCAGTGCTGTGATCTTTCCTTCTTGTTTATCTTAGAGTGTCCATGATTCACTAGCATATGTTAATATTGGAAGTGCCACCGAGTTGTACACTTTCATGTTATCTTTTTATCTATCTCCTTCTTCCCAAAAATTGTTCTGTTTAGAGTATGATATACTTACGCTGTTTGTTTTCGTTATTCTTACATTTACGTCTAAATCTATCCTTCCATCTTGTGATGTTATAAAGCCCAAGTACTCATATATTTCTTTCAGGTTATTTCTTATTTCCTTTTTATTTATTATCACAATTTTACATTTATTTACGTTCAATTCTAGGCTCATCTTTTCAATTTCTTCTGTCCATATATCAACCAACTTTCTTGCCTTTTATGGTTCTCTGCTATCAGCGCTATGTCGTCAGCATATTTGTAAATGATCTATTTTTACTGTTCGATATGTATTTGTTCTTGTTCTTGTATTTTTTATCATTCTGTCCATTAATATTATAAATAACAAGAGGCTTAAGCTATCGCCTTGTGTTATTCCCTTGCTCATTTTAAAAGTTTTTGATGTTTTTCGCTTCATTTGTACTATGCCTTTGACTTTCCTGTACAGGTTTTCGATTATTTTTGTTAGTTTTTGTAGTACCATTAGTTGTTCCAGACACTTCCATATAATACTATGGTTAACCATGTCAAAAGCTGCTTTTAGATCCACGAATATTAGGTGTAGTTTATTGCCCGTCTCTACTTTCCTTTCAAACTTTTCTGCATAAAAATCCGCCCATAAGTCCAGAATTTCCCTTGTATTTGTCTTTATCTCGTTGTTTTTATCTTTGACGTCTTTTATTTGTTTCCTTTAATCTCCCTTCAATTTTCTTATTTAATTCCAGAATTTCTTGTTATTTAATCCGTATATTTCACTTAAGCTTATTCCAAACTCTTCCCAACTGTTCTTTTTCGCCTCCCTTATTCCATATTCTTAACTATATCTCTATTCGTTCTATAGTTTGCTCTATCGTCTTACGAATTCGTTCTTACAGTGTCATACAGTGTGTCCTCTTTCTCTAATTATTATATTTTCTCATTCGACATACCTCCATAGCTTTATTTCGCATTATCTCATTAAAAATTCTCCTCCTTTCTTCCAGTGTTAAATTGTCTGTTTGTTCTAGTTTTTGAAATTCGTTGTTTGTTTTTTCTTGGTATTTTAGTCTTTCTTCCTCCTGCCTTAGTTTACGGATATTATATTATCGGATATTATTAATAGTTGATGACTGCTATCCATGCAAAAAGTCAAGGCCCCTCACTTTAGAGATAGATATCTTCGCAACCGTTCGATAAAAAAAATTACGACAAAGTTTGTTGTAACCACTGAACATTTCTACGTAAGATATGTCAATTTAAAAATGTTCGAATCTACGATTTTCTTTTTATCGCGAGTTAAATGAAAAAAGTACTCGATTTTTTACGGTACCGGCAACTTTGCGATTTTTTTTCTCGAAAACTATCATACAAAAAAATTTGAATTTTGAACAGGTGGTAGCCTGATGTGTTCTTAATGAGTGACATATTTTATTTTTTCGATATTCCATACAGTTTCGCGGAAAATCGCGGTTTCGTAAGACGCCGTTATGTCGAAAACGGCTGGGTGGATTTTCTTGCGGATTTGACCAAAATATGTCAAATAATGTCGGTTGTCGGATTCCGTTATCAATTTTTCAAAATTAGAGCTTCCTAATTTTTTAAGAGCGATTTAATGAAATTACAAATTAAAGAGAAACAGAAAGAAGCTCTGCAGGGTGACGGGGATTCTGTCCAATTGGAACAGATGGTGCGTCCCAGACAGGACGTCGCGCCTTATTTCTTTATGTAGGTAAGATAAAGGCGCGACGTACTGTATAACAGCGAAATAACTGCATCCTACTAAACGGCGATTTCCCGCGAAACTATATGGAATATCGAAAAAATAAAATATGCCCCACAATACGAAAACATCGGTTTACCACCAGTTCAAATTGGAAATTTTTTCGTCAAATAGTTTTGGAGAAAAAAAATCGCAAAGTAGACAAAGTTGCTGGCCGCTATAAAAGAAAAACCGCGAACCCGAAAATTTCCAAATTATCATGTGATACGCAGAAATGTTCACTGATTACAATAAACTTTACCGCAATTTTTACCATCGAGCGGTTACGAAGATATCCATCTCTAAATTGAGGGGCCTTGATTTTTTGCAAGGACAGTAGTCTGTAGTTGGTTCCCATTTCTCCTTCTGCTTCAATCTTTACCTCCTCAACTCTGGTTTGGAGATTCTGGGTGTATGTGATATAATCAAATACTCTTAGCATTCCTTTCTTCCGCCACAAACGTATATTTATCTTGCATCCTCTAACTCCACACAGTTTCTCCAAACTATAAGTCGTTTATTTGACAAAATTCTAAATTAAGGATGTAAATAACATTATTTTGTTAAAATTGTTTTTATTAAGATCCTGAAAATGAGGCGAGCGCAAAAGAAATACAAAAATCTTTATTTTTGGTCTGTCTCGATGGGCCGATGTCTCCACTTCCTAATGAAAATAGAAAGACCATTGCTGGGAGACAATTATTACATGGAGGTGGTAGCAAGCAAAATGGTGGTAATCGTTGGTATGATAAAACGATACAGGTAACTTTTTACGAGGTTATCAATGAATATAATTTTGTTATTCCATATTTAGTTTATTATAGGGCAAGATGGGTTGGTTGGGTTAAATTATGAACACTCGCCAAGTGAAGGACAACCTGTTGCTGTTATTTCAGATTACATCTATGAATCTATGTAAGTTTCGGACTAAACTCATTGTTTTATCACCTTCATGGGTATTTTTAATTTTGTAGTAAAAAAGAATCAGCTAAAGGTAAACCTGATGTTCCTTATAATAAAATACCAGAACGTCTTCCATTTAATGTAAATGATGAAATACAAAAAGCAATTTTAGTCGCTTCCAAAAACGTTGATGAGTAAGTTAATAAAAACATTTAAACATTAACACTTTAAAATTTTCTTTTTTAAGACAAGCTGATGGATTAGATTTATTCTGTCTTCATTTTGATTCGTTTGGAAAAGATTTTATTAAATCACAAAAACTCAGTCCGGATAGTTTTATTCAAATCGCTTTGCAATACGCGTTTTACAGGTAAAGATAAAATAAAAATTATTTTCTATTAATAACAACATTTTTTAGAGTACATAAAACACCCGGGGCTCATTATGAATCAGCAGCAACCAGAAAATACGCACACGGTCGAACAGAAACGATTAGATCTTGTTCGATTGAATCCATCGATTTCGCAAAAACAATGTTGGACAACACAAAAAGCAACGCTGACAAAGTAACCGCTTTAAAAAAAGCTATTGATGGGCACAAAAAATATACGGTTGAGGCTATGAATGGATTTGGAGTGGATCGTCATCTTTTGGGGTTAAAATTGGCTGCTATGGAACTTGGTGAAAAAATTCCTGAAATTTATTCCGACCCAGGTTATGTTCGTAGTGCACATATGAGGATTTCAACGAGTCAAGTAGCGACTAAATGCGATGGATTTATGTGTTTTGGACCTTTAGTACCGGATGGTTACGCTTGTTGTTATAATCCACGCCCCAAAGATATTAATTTTGGAATTTCCGCTTTTACCGCTCATCCTGATACTTCAGCTGTTAAATTTAAAGATGCTTTGGTTAACAGTTTAAATGATATGCATGATATTCTCGCGAAAACACAAAAATCAAAAATGTAAATGTGGATTTGAACAAAATATATATTGAAAATTGTGCCTTATTTGACGAATTTGATGAATTTTAATGATATGTTATAAATGAGATGTATTTTATTAATAAATTTTTTATAACTAATTTCATTTTATTTATTTAGTATTAAAAAAAAACTCATCACTCCTGTACTGTATCTTTAATAATAAAATAAGAGGCTAAGTCGACAATAAAAATAATTAAAAATACAAATTGCAATACTTCAAAAAAAAGAATGATAGTAATTGTATAATAAAAATAGTAAAAGCAAGGAATTACATTTTTCTTTTTTTGATTTTTTTACAAAAAAATGTATCGGAATTTGTTGTCTCTTAAAACTTAAAGTGAATTTTTATTTAATTGAACACTATGCTCGTTTCGTATCTGATAAAACCCTAACAATACATCCAACTCCACCTACATTATAAGCTTTTTCATGCCAAACCAATAGGTGTCCACTACTTCCTTCCGAAGGCATCTCAAAACCTTTATAAACATATTTCATTAAAACATCTATTAATTCTATGTTCAATGATTGCACAGCTTCTTCTATTTGAGATGTTTTTATTGCGAGGAGGACTCTTAATGTAAGACTTAGTGCATTATCCTGAAAATGTTATATATTTATTTAAAAACTTATCTAGAAATTGATAAGAAAAACAGGAAAAATTTTTTTGTACTCACCCTGAGTGTTTGATTTTTTGACCCCAATGGAGCATTTGTTAGTACTGTTCTTAAAGCATCAATATGTTTTCCTGTAAGAAAAGAGTTAAGGAAAGCTATGCCGGTTATAAAAAAGGCGATTTCTCAAAAACTGATTCAAATTTATAAGTTTTAAAAGGATATTTGCTTAAAAGGCCGATTATTTCACTTTCATCGGGTCCTGTGGGCCCCCCTTGGTCGGCATCTTCTTCTTTAAAATTATCCTCGTTGTACTGATCGACATCGATCTTTCTAAACGCTGAACTTGACGTGTTTTTTGCCATTTCGTCTTTTAATTGTACATAGGAAAACTACACCCAGTTTTGTAGGTTAGTTATCTGTCATCGTGACGTCAGACAAACCTAATTTGCAGATTTTGCAATACTGACAATAGCATAAATTAAAAAATTTGGTATCTTAAATTATCATGCATTAATTTCTTAATAAATTAATTTTTTTGAATTTAATATAATAAAACATTTATTTTTAAAGAAAGATTAAACTTAAATTTGACTGTTGGATACTTTTATTTTAAACTTTGAAAGTTTACCAACCTTCTAAAAACAAATTCTCTACTTCTTTTTAGTTGTTGACAGCGTACACGCAAAAATGGTAAGGATAAATCTTTTAATATCTTTCTAATAAATTATCATCTAAACATACAAAAAGCATTTTTGGCTTAAAAATTACCCTAATTTTCAATCTTATTGTTGATTTTAATGGAATTTTAACAAAAATGTTTTTTTGGTTGAGGTTATGTTTTGACTTAACCTTACTATATCATTCGCATAATTATTAAATTTTTGTTTTTAGGCAAAGCTAAAGTGTTCGGAACTTAGGACGAAGGACAAAAAGGACCTTCAAAAACAATTAACCGACCTTAAGACCGAATTAACAAATCTTCGTGTCGCTAAAGTTACTGGAGGAGCTCCTTCAAAATTATCCAAGATGTAAGTAAGAACAATTTATACAATTATATTGGTTAATTTGTTATTGTTATAGTCGTTCTGTGCGAAAAGCAATTGCCCGTGTGATGATTGTTATGCACACAAAACAAAAGGAGAATGTAAAGAAATATTATAAAGATAAGAAATACAAGCCTTTGGACATCAGACCAAAAAAGACGCGTGCTATGAGAAGGGCTTTATCTCAGCATGAATTACGCATTAAAACAGCCAAGGAAATCCGTAAAAAATCCATTTATCCACCAAGGAAATTTGCATTGAAAGCATAAGTTTGTTATAATAAACAATAAAAAAAATATTTAAAATATGTTGATGGGTTTTATTTAACTTCAGTTGGTGTCATATTCAAAAGCTATATTTTTTTACAATATTATCGCCATTAAACTCTGTTTTGGGTTATGAAAACTAAATCAACCATAAATATGAAAGAAATAATACATTTAATTGATTTGAATACAACAAATTAAATTTGACAAAATCATGATTATGTACTCAAAAGTTGAACTTAAGTACATAAACAGAACATAATGGAATTAAATCTGCTAATGTATTTTGTGCTTTATGTAAATAAAAATGTATATTTAGTAATACCGTTTGTAGCTCTACATCTAAGTAGCTAACATATTTGTATATAGACAGTTTAATAAAAATATTTCTAATTTTAAATAATTTTTGGCACAACTTATATTAACAGTAATTATTTTTGAATAATTTTACATCAAGTATAATTTGCTAAGTGATTAGTACCAATTTTAAATTGATAAATTAAAAAGAAATCATTAAATATAATTTGCTGCTGATTTGATAGCTTTGTAGTAAAAAATATTTTCAATTTAAAAAAGGTAATTTTAATTTAATTTCTTTTGTACTGGCCAGTAGAAATTTATCTTAAATTTGTACAATTTATAAAAAAACATTACAAAAAAAAAGTATTATTAACAACTGGTCCATAAAAACGAATCTATATAATTACAGTCTTTTTTTTCTGACTTTGATAGTGGCTTTAATCAACTAATAATATTAATACTACATTTTCTGTTATCTAATATTCCATAAATGGAGTGATGTCATTGATAGAGCCCATTTCTCTTAAGACAAGATCATCACAGCCTTTTTAAATTATTATAATTGGTTATTTATGGAATGGTAACTTGTTTATTTTGAGCGACTTTGGCACATTTTTATTTAAATTATAGTAAGACCCAAATTTTTAAGAAATTGTTTGTTGCAACAAAAATAATCAGGGTCTCACTTTTTATAACAAACCACTTTGAATTAAATCAATTAACTAATTAAAAATTAATTCTTCATACACCTCATTCTTAATTATGTTACAATTTTCGTCTTTTTAATCATGTAAACAATAACAGTATTTTCTTAAATTTGGTTGTGTATCCACAATACACCTAGCTTGATCTCCATACATATTAATCCTACTAACATCACTTAATTTCAAATTATAATCGTTCGTTGTAACGGGATGTGTTATGCTAGCTTCGTAAATTCCATCACCGGGTGTAGTTTTTACTTTTATTTGATACATTTCTGTTAAAACTTTCGTTGAGCCAGATAAATTTGGGGCGAAACCATCTCGATCACTGGTTTGTTTAAACTTCATTAATTTATCGTTTGCTTTTAATTTAGTAACACTCATTACATCTGAAACGGTAAGTTCCGCACAAATATCTCTATTTTCATTAGTATAACCATTTACAGTATCCAAGAAAGCTTTTATTAAAAGCGGAACTACTTCATCATTAGGGTTTAAATCGTCCCAATCTAAACAAGCACACCAATGTGGTTCAATGTAAGCATTAGCGCAAGTGCGAGTTTCAGAAATCTAAAAATTAATTAATTAAACTATGTTAAAACAAAATTCTAAATTAGTCTTACGCTACTAAATAACGATAAAGATCGATTTGATAAATTTCCTTTTATTGGGCTAGTTTTCTCTAAAATATCATGTAAAGTTGAGTGTATGTCGAAAGGGGTTGTTAAAACATGGAGATTAGATACAAAAGTATCATAAAGATCTTTGTGCGTTGTTTTAAACCATGGTGGGAATCTAAATGAAAAAAACGGCATTCGTTCTTCAAGTTTTCCCTGCAAAGTATTTCGAATATCCGCAAATCTATGACCATGATCTGCCATAACGATTAAAATTGTGTTATTTAAAGCACCACTTTCGTTTAAATCGCGGAAAAAGTCTACGATATCTTCATCGGCGATTCCAACTAAATTGTAATCATCATGGGAAAGTTCGCCATGAAAACCGAATAGAAATTTCGGTTTTTCTTTGTAAACCGAGAAAAACTAAAAATATTAAATTTGATTAATTAATTTTTAAGTTATATTAATATTTAATTTTTTATTTAAATAAAATTAAATAAGGGAGATACCCATGACGAAGTGGAGGGAGTACTATATGGGGTTACTGGGGGGAGTAAGGAAAGATGGGTAGAGGAGTTGGTAAGGGGGGAACAAGGCGAAGATGAGAAAACAGAGGAGAAGGCAGCCGGAGAACATGGGGTCCAAATGGGTGGAGGCAACGGTGGAGACGAGGGAGAGGTTGTGGATGGCGTTGAGCAAGGTATGGAAGGGAGAAGGGTTTCCGAAGATGTGGAGGACCGCGATAATAAGTCGCTTGTACAAAAAGGGAAGGAAAGATACAGTGGGGAGTTATAGGGGTTGGGTTGGGTACTGCTTAAGAGACTGGAAAAAGAGATAGAGGACAGGGAGCTCCTGCCAGATGGCCAGGCAGGGTTTAGAAAGGAAGCGATAGACAATGTTTATATAGTGTGACCCATTTGAAAGTGGAGCACCCTCGTAAAATCTGTATTTATTACCCGATTTCAACAATTTTTTTTTGAATTGTAGAGCGTAAGAAGCTGTACCTTAGGTCAAAGTGTCATATTTTTTTAGAAAAAACAAGGCCTACTATTTCACTTTTTAGGTGCAAAAAATGAAGAAATCATATTAGGAAATTTTTTACAAAAAATCTGAGTACACCACTGCATTAAGCGCCGTTTGAAATGGGTATATACCAAATTTCATCAAATATGGTTATAAATTAACACCGTTCAGACAGTCCGTTTGACAGAGTAAATAGAGAGAAATTATGGGAGGAGATGGAAAGAAAAGGGAGAACAACAAGGAGGGAGGAGATATTAGAATGTTGGCTGCGATGGCGAATAAGTTATGGGACAGATTTGGGGATGGGGCGAGAGGATTTTTGGGAAAGATGTGGGTAAAAGGAAATTAATGTTTGAGAGCTTGATAAAAAGCGTAATGATGTATGGGGTGGAGATATGGAGATGGAAGAAGCAAGGACTCTTACAGGATGTGCAGACCAGGTACTGGAGGTGAGTGTTGGGGTTGGCTAGGGAGAGTTTTGAGGAGGGGGTGGAAGGTGAGGGCATTGTAAAATCTTGGGGAAGTGCTACAGACAGATTGAGGCAAGTAAGGGGCGTTATGGGTAGTGAGAAAGGGAGGAATACTACAGATTGATGGGGTATTCAACGGAAGAAGTGAACAGGAAAAGAAAAGAGAGGATATATGGAAACAACTGGAGAGCAGGGACGGGGATGTGTGAATGCAAGAGAGAAGGACGGCGATAAGAAAAAGCAGATACAATCCAAAATATAATGAAATTGGGATAGAGGGGCTACTAAAGTACCTGATGACTACTAACTGATGAGATTTAAGTGTGGGAATGAAGAAAGGGCCAACAGATATTGCATGGAAGATGAGGAGAGGAGGTGCAGGTTGTGTGGAGAGGGCTGGGAGTCTCTACACCATCTACTGGTGGAGTGTAGTGAGATGAGAGAAGAGGTGATGGATTGGAGACAAGTGTTGGGGGAGAAGGCGAAGGGAAGGAGATGAATGGGGAGGTGGTGGCAGCAAGGGTACATAAGGTGATAGGGAGAGGCTGGAGAAAAGGGTAGGATTTTGATTAATTATGGATAATGTTGTTCTTTTTCGTAATATGAGACAATAAATTATTATTATTAATATTTACATTTTTGATATGGTTCAGCATAACTTTATGTCTTGGAATTTCACCATCGCATAAACGTTTCCATTTGGAGTAATATGAATTACTTGCTAAGTAATATGGTCTCATATAATGATCTGTTGGTTGTTTCTACAAAATAAAAATAAATAAATAAATTAAATCCTTTGAGTCATACAAATATATCTTATCAATATGTAGAAAGCATTAACTTCCCACCTTAAATCCATTCAACCGATATGTGTAAGTCCCAGTACTAGGTAAATCCTCGAAAAAGGCAGTAACATATCCATTTTTGCTGTAATTGTACCAAATAAACGGATAAACGTCGACATATTGTGTATTTAAGTATCGTTTCCTAACATCAGGCAATTCCAGTTCGGTGAATCCTGTTAAAATAGGTGTTAAAGCCTGTGGTGTACCATCACCTACAATATTATAACTAAATCGAAATTAAAAAAGAAATTTTTGATTAGATTAAGGTACAAAAATACAGTTAAGGTGTTAAATTACCCTTCTAAAACGTGTGCGCCTAATACATCTACAAGATATTTATAACTTAATGGAAGTTTTCTAATAAATGTGTTTCTAGACACTGAATCAAGTCCAAACATTAAGACGTTCATTTTTAGCCCGTTTTTAGGGGTGTAATTCCATCCAGTTCGTTGTAAAATTTCTGGATCCGCACGAATAGCTGTTTTTATTGAAGACCATTCATTCGAATTTGAATTACATTGAATTTTTACCTTTTAATAAAAAGAAGTGCTACAAGCACTAATTATTACTTAATCATGTCATATTTACCACATCGCTATTTCTTAATGTGTATTTATCTTCACTAATATGATATTCATGCGCATCTCTAACATTGTGATCACTTACTCGTTTTAAATCTGTAAATTTACACTTAACCCCATCCATCATAGACTTAATAGAATCTTTGATGAAACATTCGGAATCCTGTTAAATAAGAAATTATCTTGTTAACATCATTTTGTTTAACTTAGAACTTTTTTATTCACCTCACAAAGAACCCAGTCTGGATTATCAGTGTTTAAACAAGAAATTTTTGGAACCTCTTTAACGAATTTCATCATTTCGGGTGAATTAATAGGAAGAACAGGTTGCTTGCATACAAATTTATTATCTTCAGCAAAAATTGCCTTTTCCATAAGAACCCTAAATTTTTTTTGGTATTAATCAATTAATTAGTCAAGTTAATCTTCCTTAAAACTTACACTCTTTCATTTTTTAATACTTCATCTTCCACAGTAAACATTTGGGTATAAACGATATACAAACAACATATTGCTAAAAAGATTATTATTAACTTGAGTGCCGAATGGCGAAATATTTTCAACATTATTTAAGTTCAATTTAAAAACATAGATGTTAGGTTATAATTAATTAATAAAACGGGGTTTTCTTGTAAGTCACCGTTAGATTTAGAAGTGACAAAATGGAATTGAGCTACGAACCCGAATCTTATCGCTTATCATTTTTATCGCTAAACATGTTTTTTGACTATATAGTTTGTTTACTTGTTGAGTTTATTGGTTACTAGGTATTGGTGTTTTGAAGGTTGGTAATTAGATTAAATTGCTTAAAATATGTTTATTTTACTTAAATTATTCTTAATTTAAATTGTATGAGTTTTATTATTAAAAATCGATTTTATTATTTCATAAAAAGAAATGAAATAAATTGAATTAGAATAATATTTAAAATTAATTTAAAGGGTTGTCACTTTGACGTGCTTTGACGTTTGAAGTGTCAATTTCATGTTATAGGTTAAGAAAACATATTGTAATTATTTGATATTTTTATTGTACTTATTGTTAAATAAGGAATTTTATTATTTAAAACTTTTTTTTGATTTATAACATTTAAGTTATAATAAATTACATTTTTGTATGAATTTATAAAATTAAAATGCATTATACTAAATTAATATTGCATGATTTAAATGCATATCATTTCATTAAAACCACATTTAATTTTTTCTTGGTAATATATAAGTAATGATACTTTATGGTCTCTGTCCAGAAGATATTTAATACCTTTAATCCAATATTACCTTTTAGTACTGTGAAGCAAATATTTTGTGCAGTTGAAATGTAATTTTGTTTCATTTTATACCCATATCTGTAAACTTTTGATAATGAATAAATATATCGATACAAAATTATGTGTATGTGATGTTGATAATAAATTAAAAACGATTCCTTTAGAGGAAGTTTCTTATCATGAATCAACTGGTGATTGTTGGATGGTTATTTGTGATAAAGTTTATGATGTTACCAATTTTTTAAAGCAGGTAAAACTTTTTAAATAAATTAAATGTTTCAAATATTAAAATGTTTTTGTTGTTTTTTATTTAATTATTTTTTTAGCATCCAGGTGGTGAAGATTTATTAATGGAACATGCAGGTAGAGATGCAACTTTTGCATTTCAGGGAGCTGTACACTCAGATTTAGCAGAACAGATGTTAAAAGAATACTTAATCGGGGAATTACCATTAGATCAGCGTCTATACCAAAAATAAATTAAGCAATTTTTTAACTGACAAAAAATATTATTGATTTCTAAAAAAGGACATTGTTTTCAATCCATTTGCGTCTTTTACTTTATCTTTTACATTATTGTTGATTACTCAACATTCAATTTGCTGAAAAGATTCCTATTTTTATTGTTGAGTAATAAATTCATCGAATTGAGTAATAAATAAAAGGTTAGAATAAAAAGTTGAGATTATTTTCTGTTCTAATCAACCTCTAAAAGAGTTTCAAGTTCAATGCCACACTCTTATCAAGCGGTAACATAAATATTAAGCGTGTAATCCATCGTTACTAGGCATTTTTATACAGCTATTCTTGTTTTATTGCAAAATATGTATTAAGAAATAGACAAAGAAGCCGAACAATATTTTACGTTTAATTCTAACATATTTCTGACGCAAGTAAATCCAATATTGACGCAGATACAATAATAAAATAGATTTTTTCAGCTAACTCAAAAATATTGAAAAAAACCTGTGCAAATTATCTTTACGATGTCGATATTATTGTTGTACTTGTAAATTTGAACTTTATTTCAGTCTATATGTTTCTGTTTTGAATGGAGATAATATCTTTTATCCATACTCAACTCCCTGGCTCAAAAATGCTCATATTAATATCAACTTTTATAAGCAATTAATTCATTATTAAGGGAAATTTCATATTTATTATATCCTTTACAAATTTTCTCTGCGTTTGTTATACAAATTTTGATTTCTTAGAAGATTTGTTAAAATTGATAAAAACTTTTTTAAATACCAACCAAAAACAAATAATTGTTTTCAAAATAAGTAGGAATGAGAGACTAAATTATCATAGCAAATTACGTTAAAATATCTTCAGATTTGGATCTTTTATCAGTTCATTTATCTTGAGTCTTTTGATTCTAGGCTTCTAAATTTTGATAAGTTAATTGGAGGTAGCTGCAAGTCTTAGGATTCTGTGGGAAGAACACTATTAGATAAAAGATGACTTTTTTTTACTAAAATATGGTTTATGGGAACTAAAGTGTGTGTCTTTATATCTTGTAATAAACACAATCCTGGAAACCCCAGATCAAATCACCTACTCTGATTAGGACGAAAAGTTTTTAGGTTCAGTAATATTGCTCAAGAAATTTGGAGCATGGAAAAGTTCAAATACTTCTAATGTACAAGGAAGAGTTTATTTGCAGTTTTAAACTGTGAATGTTTTAGTCCCATATGTTAAAACTGGTTAAATCTAAATCTATTCTTTTGGAGATCATATTCGGGTTACTTAATTGGCGTTTTGAGCTGCGATTATAGAAACGTCCAAATATGAAAAAAATGCGGCTTTAACAAAGCCGTATAAGTTAACACGTATTTAAAAGATTTAATTTAATAAAGATAATAACATTAATATCAAAGAGAGAGAGGAATTATTTAGAAATGCTAAATAAACAGAAAAAGATGATAATTAAACGTTTATCTACATCCGGTTAAACCTTTAAATTTACAATATAATTGAATGAAATGAAACTTTTTTGTTGTCTCTATTGCGAAAGATTTTATTTTCGGATGTTTATGCTTCCCAATTTTTTTAAATGTTGCAATAAAAGTCGGGCGTTGTCCAGAGATAATAAAATATTTTTAGATTCGCAATTTAAGAAATTTATGTGGAAAATTAATGTATTAAATTAAACAATAATGATTTTTCAAAAACGTGTTTATTAATACTGTTCTTATACCCAAATAAAATTATCGTTTACACAATTTATAGAAATAAATAGGATAAAAAAATAATTTCGAACGAATAAATCATCACTCGGGGATATCCGACAACTTAAATCCATTAACCGTCCTAAATATCCTTTCAGAAATAGGTAAATCTCCAATATAATATTTTTCAAGCATTTCCACGGCAGATTTACTATGTCCAGTTCCTCTAAACGCAATCGTAGCGTCTTTTCCGGCGTTCTCAATCAATACTTCCCATCCACCAGGATGCTAAGAAAATTGATTTTATTAATAATATTAATTTTTTATAATTAATTTAATTACCTCCATTATAAAATCGGTTAAATCATACACCCGATCATAAATTATCACCCAACAATCATCAATATCATCGTGACTAGCAACTTCTTTCAGTGTAAAAATTTTCTTTCGTCCACCACCTTCCCGAGGAATTCTTCCCGCGGGGATCGTATTATTCCAAAATTGAAACGGTTCAAACACTTCAGATATTAACTCCATGACGATCGTAACAAAAATATTAGAGTAACACGATAAGTGTCTTACTTAAATACACATTCGTTTATTTGTGACGCGTTCACAAAAATTGTGAAAGATCCAGCTTTGAGTTGATTTTCTGAATTCGATAAATATATTAAAGACCATCACGTGTATACTCGTCTAGTCAATTTAAAGAGGTCATCGGTATCATTTTATTTCCATAAAATAGTTAAAAAAATGTTCATTTAAAAGATAAACTTCACTTTAAGAAATAACCATTTAAATTTTATTGATTTAAAATTATTGTATTAATATAATTATTGATTGTTTAAAAAGAGATGAAATTGTTGCATCATTTTATTATCAATTTTCGAAACACGCGATTAAATTTATTCAAGTTTGATGTAATTTGACAAACAAAGTGGGGGATACAATAAAATTGACCTTCTCCTAGATTGTAAACAAATAATTAGTGAGTTTAATGAACTTTTAGGCTTTGTAATAATTATTTTTTCTTCACAATTAATTAAGAATATTTTTAATTTAGTAAAGAATTTGTTAACATTGATTTACAAGTTTTAAATTAAAAATATTATGCGCTTATGCAACCAAATATACACCACGTTGGTAAAAAAAAAATTTTGATTTAATTTTGAATGATTTTTATATGTATAACTTAAACCAATACAAAAATGATCTATACTTTCTAAAATAATCTAATTAATTCAAATTAATCTACAGCAAATTTATATTTTCCTCTCATTTGATTGGGTAATGGACATACTCCAGGACATGGTACTTGACCAGGAATTTGGCAAATACAAGATCGTTCGCACATGACCCCAAAGTTGGCTGGATTATCCTTTTTCTCTCGAGCTATTAATTCAGCTGCCAAAACTTCCGTTGTTTTCCCAACAACCTTAAGTAAATGACTAACAATCTCCTCTTTGGTTTTACCATGCACATCTATCAACATTTCTTGTCCACTTTCTAAAACATCACCTTTTTAAACTAAATTAAAACAGCAAAAACAATTACCATAAAAACATCGTATAAACGGCGAAGGCGTTTTATTCTTAAAAGTACATATTTGTACATTGGGATTTTTATATTGGAGTTGTGGCAAGTACCAAAACACGAAGTCTCTAAACAGAAAAAAATACATTTATAACAAATTTGTATTAAATCATCTTATTAAATTATTACTTCGTCCCTTGATGATGCTCCCCAGCGGTGTTATAATTAACGGTAAATATCTTAATTTGATCCTTCAAAACTAATTTACCGGCTTCTAAATATTGCATAGTCCTACGAATAGGAGCTCTACCTTTCATAAACGGCATTTTGTTTCGATTTTTTTAATGAAAGTGGCTTAAATTAGAACCATAACCTAAAAATTAATTCTAAACTGTCAACGTTGAGATTTGTTGTATAGAGGGCGTCTCAAAATTTTAATCACAATTTTAATACATAGATGGCGGCAAAATAACCTCAAAAATGAGTTCAAAAATATTTATTATCGAAGTTGTTCATATTTCATCAAAAAGTAGATTTTTTGTTTATATTTATATCTAATCAGCTACAGAATAAAATAAATAAATACTTCACAAGGATGAGAACACTGTTGGAGGTAAAAACTTTGATAAATCTTTAATTTAAAATGATTTCTGATTATCTCTTTGTTTTATGCCGATTATAAGGCTTGTGGTTCCTTTCATGTCGCTTAAAATTGTTCTTGTACTTTATATTATTAGAAGAGGTGGTGATAGGTTGCTGTTTGTTCTGTTGAAATTGAGATATTACAGGAGATTCTGTTGCTACAGTCTTATTTATGACTAATTCGCTGTTTTGGGAGTGTTCCATCAATTTTAATTTAGCCTCAATCGCTTGGATTTGTGTTTGACGATCAGTTTTCTTTTCCGGTTTAGACATAGCTAAAGCTGGGATATTTAAATCAACTTTCGGTTTATCCATATCATCCTTAAATTGTTGTTTATCAAAATTTTATTAAATAAATTGAAATTGATGTTATTTACCGTATTCACACTGTTAGCCCAAGTAACAATAATCTTCTTTAAACCAACGGCTACGTTATGCAAGTTTGTAATGGCAGTTTGAGCATCGCTTTTATTTACGTAGGTGACAAATGCGTATCCTCTAGGTTGGCCAGCAAGTGGACCCGAACGGTGGAATAGAAGATCAAACTTTTCGATTTCACCATGTTTTTGCAGCAATTTTAAAAGTTGATACCAGTAAAAAGAAAAATCCGCATAAGTTTTATTTAATACACTCAAGATAGTTTTACTTACTCACTTATTCTCTGGTCCAAGTTACCTATCCACAGCCGTTTATCATCTTGACTTGATGTTACTACTTTTTCCTTAAAAAAAAACAAAGTTTATTTAAGAGTAATCATATTTTGTGGTGCCTTACTTCTTGTTTAGTTGTCATTTCACTATTTTTAGGTTATTTCGATATGGAAGAGTATTTTATTTCGAATTATTGTAAATGGAATACCACAAATTGAGTGTTTGTTATGGACACCTTGGAGTCTAAAAATGGAAACGTTCAATATTTTGGTGGAGATTGAGTCATTGGAGCTTTCTCTAACCAATAAAATTAAAGTTTTAGAGAAACTGCAAAATTGGTTCAGTTCTGTACTAAACATTTCTCAATCCACCTTTATAACCCCATCTATTGACGGATTTACTTAACTAAAAAAATTTAAAAAATAAATAGACTAATTAATCATTTATTTATAAAAAAGTTATACATCAACAATTAAAAAATCATTGCTTTTCCCCAAATCCATAACCTTAATTACTTCATAAGTCAAATATGGAATAAATATAGTTAAAATTAAATAAATAAAATAAGGAATGGGTGCAGTATGACCAAAAGGATAAAACCAATACCCTCTCCTTGTAGCATCTCTTGTATGATGAGAAAAAAAAGCTGTTGATATAACAAAAGCGGCCCTCTGCAAATTTTGGTCCTTGAAATAATAAGAAAGCAACAATAAATAGGCAGTTAGAACAATTGGAATGCTTGAGCAATGAAGAAAAGGTCGTTTATCCAAATTCGTTGCATTCTAAAACCAACATAACCAATTAAGACAACTAAATCACAAATATCCTCCAAACTTACTTTTAAATTAAATGATTTAGCAACAATGAAGTGGTCCACATCGATTAATGATGCAATGCAAGTACAAACAACAACTTCTAATAATGTATAAAATGAACTTCTGCTTCTTTGATTAACACAAACTATGAGCCAAGATAATCCTCCAACAACAGCATGGGTTGCATTATCGAAAATGGCTTTGTTCAGCTCCTTTTGTGATTGTTCAGCCAAGACATCTCCAAAAATTGATACTAAAACCACCAAAGAACTCAAATAAATGTTTTTGTAAATCGGAGATCGTGAAAAACTCGTTAATAATTTTGAAAACAAACTCATTTTGCACACATGTTATCTATTTCATATAAACAGATGTTTTTGACGTGTCGTTAAAGTAGATTGCGATTTGGTGATATATGGGTTGTATAATTTTTATAAATAATTTTATTGTGTATTTTCTTTGTTGTTTTTGTAATATTTATCTAAATCTACGATTAAATATAAAATGTAATGCGTAATTTAATCGATTAATTGACTCCCACACGCTCATTTTTAGTACCTTGGTGCCGTTTGGAACTATTTACCGATCTAACAACTTCTGCGCATCTGTCAATCTGACATTTTTTTACCTCCTCCTCAAAAATCACGTCCGGGGGCTTTTATTATTTTATTTTCTTTAACCATTATGGTAGATGATAAGGTAGAGATGAACAACGACAGCGATAACTACACAACGGCCAATCCAAATGATCCTAAAAACGTACAAGAATTAACTCAATATGTAAGCAAACAATAATGAAGTATCGAACATAACCTCAAAAAAAAAAATTTTTATTCCAATTTTTTCTTTGTACTAGGTTCAGAGTTTATTACAAACGATACAAGATAAATTCCAAAACATGTCGGAGCAGATTCTTTCTAGGATTGATGAGATGGGGAATCGAATCGATGATTTAGAAAAGAATATCGGTGATTTAATGACTCAAGCTGGGGTTGATAGTACGGAAAAGTAGAAATGGTGTGAAAGTGATTGTGAATGTAGATTTTTTTTGTTATGGATGTTATTTGATATAAGCACGGTGCAGGATGTATGCCAATTATTTAAAACGCACCATTTGAAAGAAAAAAAATCAAATCATTTTTTTGTTTTAGGTTTTAAGTTGTAATTTTTAATTTTTTTCATTTAATTTTTAAACCATTTTTATTGCATATCATGTGTTCATTTCATCTTGTAAGTTTTAAGTTTATCAAAAAAAAAAAATGTAATTCTTAATATTTAAAATAAAATATGCAATAATCATAATACAAAAAAATAAATTTATTCATCTATAATATAAAATTAAACATTCTTAAATTTTTAAGCTATTGAGGTGAAAACACCATCTCGACGTTTGAGATGTTTGTCATATTCATATTGGAAATATTACCGGTTTCATCCATGGGCATTAATTCTGATTCTTGTTCACCTCTTTTAGCAGCTATAGTTTTTAATAAAGCTCTACCATTTTCTTTCGTCTAAAACAAAAATATTTAATAAATTCAATCATTCAAGAAGATATGACTTACTTGATCGATTTCTAACAATTTATTTGCATACATTTGAGCTTCATCATATTCTCCTTTGTTCATGTGGTAATGTGCCAAAAATTGGAGGGCCATACAAAATTCGCCTTGGTCTTCATAAGTCATCGAGTTTTTCAATTCGATTTTACCCACAAATTCAGCATAAGCTGCAGCAGCATTTACTTGATGATTCAACTTTACATATAACTTAGCCAATTTAACTAAAGCCATTCCTTCGATGTCACCAAGGTTGCATGCTTTATAATAACATTTTAGGGCATATTCAATTTTGTCTAATTTTTCGTATGTCTCTCCTAAAGCCACCAACATTCGGCTATCAACCGGTCGTAAATGTTGGGCTTGTTTATAGTAATACATACAATAATAAGGCATTTTTAATATTTCATAAGTTTGTCCTAAACCGTACCAAGCACGATAATCTCGTTTATTAATTTCAATGGCGTGCCTATAACATTGAATCGCTGCGTTGGTATTTTTCATTTCCATGTATTCGTGCCCCATTAGTGTCCAAGCTGATAAATATTGTGGGTTTAATTTTAAAGCCCTTTGAAAGTACAAAACTGCTTTTGGATGATCTGAACGAATACTATAATAATTTCCGATAATACAACAAGTTTCAACGCGATATTTATCAATGGCCACTGCTGTGTGTGCCAAATAAGCTAAATCGCTTTTTAATTCTCTTACATAAAGCAAATTTGAGTAAGTGTCTAAATTATCTAAACGATAAGGATCATCTTTTATTAATTCTTTAAATGCTTCTATCGATTTTTCTAGCTCTAAAACAAATTTATTAAAAATCTAGAATTTTTTTTTATATTTTAAGGTATAATTCAAGAATCATCATGTTGCTTAAAAATCGACCCCAATACTTTCTAATTCTAGATCTAATGTTAGTTCTAGTGTCAGTGATAGGTAGCGCTAGTTCGCATAAGATATCACTATGTTGCATAATTTTATTGCACTAAAACTAGAACTAACACTAGAACTAGAAAAATTCGAGTTTAGCCCTCTTGAGAGACGTGGGGCTAAACCCGAATATTTCTAGTTCAAGGTGTTGTGTTAGTTCTAGTTTTAAATGTATTTAGCGTTAACTTGTGGTATATTTTTATTGAAAGAAAAGTAGAACTAACACTAAACCTAGAACCAGAATCATTCGGGTTTAGCCGTCATTAGAGAGGTGCGACTAAATCCGACTGTTTGTAGTTTTCGGTCCAGTGCTAGTTCTAGTATTAACACAGAGTCTATTGACAAACAGTCTATCTAACGACAGGTAGTCGGTCGTTATGCATCGAAAACCTAAGAAAAACACGGGTATTTCATCCGTAAATATACGTGTTAAGTGAAAATAACCTTATCTGATTAAAGTTAAATTCGTAATCCATTCTACCAGTAATATCGTTAATAAAGGTTTGATATTAAAAATATGTAAACTTTCTGTACTTTGAACTGGTCGTTTATTAAAATATATTTATCTGACTAGTTTCAGCTTAAAAGCAATCTTCAGTGATAAAAGTCGAATAATTCAAGAAAATAACATTATAAAGATTGATAAATTTAACTCCAGAATTATTTAATTCTAAAATTGAAATTTTGACAAACTTTTTACAATATTAAAAGTGACAGAAAAGTTTATTTTCTTGAATTATTCGATTTTTATCTCTCAAGATGACTTTTAAACTGAAACTAGTCAGATAAATATATTTTAATAAACAACAAAGTTGAAAGAACAGAAAGTTGACATATTTTTAATATCAATAACTTTACTTTTAAGTTTATCAGATTGATTTCTTGCGTGGCTATAAAATAAACTATTTGTAGGTAAGGTGTTGACCGGTTTAATAGGAAAATGCATCAAAACTTTAATGTGATTTTTTGATATGTTCTACACTTTTCCGCGTTTTCCTTTTATTTTTAACATATTTTTTGGATCATTTCACATTAATTAAAAAAAATCGTCGATTTTTAACATGATGATTCTTGAATTTTTCCTATTTTAAAGTTAACCTCTTCTATTATGATGTACAATGGCAGTTTGTGCCATCAAAAACGAACTTTTATGAAAACCTTGATCATGCAAGTTACAATAAATTTCTAAACTCTCATCGTTACACAAATGTTCTAAATAAGCGAAAGCAAGAAAAAAAGGTTTCATCCAATGGTTCGCAAAAGTCATTGACATTAATTTATTTTTATTTGGTATCATTTGAGCTAATTCTTGCCAAGCACTCCATAAAATTGGAGTTGCATTTACAGCTTCATTAAAAACATCGATAGCTGTGTTAGTTACTTCAAGACGTTTTAACACAACCCCATATAAATACAAACAATAACCATCCATTTTCTTGTCATAATAATCCGCTTTTAAATCGGCACATAAATTTTTTAATGCTGCATTATTCATCGGATCCGGTGGACAATGAGAATCGGTCATATTATCTAATTTCTTTTTTTCAATCGATAAATATCTAAAATTAAACAAATATAATTGGTGTTTATGCCTAATTTTAACGGATTCACCTAGAATAAAAATGTAAAAATCTTGTTCTTAAATTAACACAATTTTTGGTATAATGAGCACATCGATCGTATTCTTTTAAATCTAAATAAGATTTAGCCATAGCGTAAACATCGTATTCGTCGTCGTAAACGTTAGAAATTTGATTGTAATCTTCCGATGGTAGTTTTATATAAGATAAAGAAAAATTGAGTTCGGACAACCATTTCACAGAATGTATTAACCCCCGCTCCGAACATTCTTTAATTCCTTTAGCTAAATCAAGCTTCACTACATGCAAATCTAATTTGTCTACTGTAATATCCATTTTATTTCTCTACTTTGCTTTGAAATTTGTAGGTTAATTTTTAATTTTTAAGGTTAACATTTAGGTATGAAGTTAGCTGGAAGTGAATAAAATCAAATGGACAAAATGAATGACGTGAATTACAGATTATGTAAAATTGATTACATTTTTCATTAAAATTAATTAATTTTCTTAATATTTATAAATAAAATTAGCGAATGGTTTTTATTTTTTTGAAAAATTTTAAATCAGTGTGACCACCCGTTTTTTGGTGACAAAGAGATACGACTGCGTGATTAAATTAATCAGTTTTATGAATTAAATTATTAAAAATTAATATTAATTAGTTAAAATATTGAAGCCGCAAACGCAATCGTAACGTAATTTCTGTGAATATTAATTAGTTATGATTTTTGTGTTTGTACTATTAAGACTTAAAATGACTTGATCCGTTTTCATAAGGATTGTAAGTAAAAGTTGGCGTCGATTCATTTTAAACTCTCTATATGTTAGAATTAATTAGGGAATTCTGTTGACAGGGAGCCATAACCTAGCTTTTGTCAAGACGTTGGGACGCGTGTTTTTGTACCAAATTTATACGCGTAAAACTGAACATTTAGTACAAAATATCGTTGCAATATGAAATTATACGCTTGGGTACACCTTCTACTATCGATAAAACATTCGTATTTAACTACATCTACTAATTTTGTTGCAGGGTGCAAACAGTTCTGGACAGCTTGGTTTGGGACAAAAGTGCGAAGCGGTTTTGGAGCCCACCGAAGTGGATTTGTCCAATTGTGGTCTTCAACCAGAGAATATAGTTTGTATAGCAGGCGGTTCTGGCCACGCGCTAATTTTAGATAACAATGGCCATATTTATTGTTGCGGCTTGAATACTAAAGGTCAACTTGGCATTTCTGATAGTAATGGTCGTTTTGAGGAGATTGAAATATTGAACGGTAGAAAAATTGCTCATGTGGCTTGCGGGTGGGATTTCAGTGCCGCATTATCTGATAACGGCAGGTTGTTTGTGTGGGGCGACAATTCTTACACTCAACTAGGACTCTCTAAGAGTATCACCTGTACTGGGATTCCGTCAATGTTACAAGTCTCCCAAAAACTGGCAACCGGCTTTAGTCATATTAGTTGTGGTTTACGTCACAGTGCTATGATTACTAAAGATCAATGTCTATTAGTTGCCGGAAGTGGATTGAAGGGACAACTTGGGTTAGGTGATAACATTAGTGACGACAATTATTTAAGTATATCGAAAGTTCCTGATTTGAAAGATGTAGAATCTGTTGCCTGTGGACAAAATCATACCATAGTGTTAACAGCCAATGGCACATTGTTGTCATGGGGCGAAAATAAGTTTGGTCAATTAGCAATTGATCCGGAAACAAAAAATTCTTTTGTACCATCCGAAGTTTTAACAAATGAGTCTTTTGAGAAGGTCTTTTCCGGATGGACTCACTCTGCCGCTTTAACAAAAACCGGCGAAATTTTTGTTTGGGGGAGAAATAATTACGGACAGTTGGGTTTCCAAAAGACTGTTGCACACAAGCCGGAAAAAATACCAAACTTCAAAGATGTAAAGCAATTGAGTTTAGGTTCTGAGCATTCTTTAGCTGTTACTAAAGATGGAAAGTTGTTCAGTTGGGGATGGAACGAACATGGAAGCTGTGGTACAGGTGATACTAACAATGTGATGAAACCCACCCAAGTGCTGGTTAATCGCAAAGTCAAATTGGCTTTTGCTTGTACTGGTCAATCTTTCGCCGTAGTAGAATAGCTGCAATTCATTTTTTTCTTGTCTTTATATTAATTTTTTTTTGATGAAAAATTCATTTGATACTATAATTAAGTGTATAAGTATTTTTTTAATTCTTAATTTAGTAACTGTATTTTTATAATAAAAAAAATAATGCACGAAAATATGTGTTTTTCTTAAATCCTCAATAAACATGTTTATCAATGAAGATTAAAAATTAACTCTTGAGATGATGCAAGACAATCCCAACCAATACTTCAAAGGCCGGCGATAAGATAGTATCTCTTAATATTTAAAGTAAACAAAATTATCTATATATTACAACATTAATACCAACATCTCACCAAAGAGGTTTTGATTCAAAATAAAAACTTACATTAAAGGTACTTACATGTTACATAGCGTTATTTAAATCACTCTTGCACACAAATTTTCATGGCTTCTCTTAAAACAAGTTCAAACACGTTCATTTTACCCAAAATATTGATGTTAGATTTTAATTTCTTCATAGTTATTAAATCCACTAAACAAAATACAAGAAATGATCTCAAACGTGTGTTAAACGATTATTTGGGGTTAAACCAAAGTTTCAATAGACTGAACATTGTGAACTTAACCTAGCAAGTACGCGGTAATTTACTCTAATAATGACTCATTCTGCGCAGCCATGCTTTTGCTTCAAATAAATGTTATCAAACTCTATAACAATGAAGAAATGAGTCAAGCTAAAAAAACGAAAGATTGATAATTTTTTTATTAGGAAATGTACTTGAAATAATAAGAAAAATATGATTTGAAGGTAATAATATTGGGGAAGGTTATGGATTTTGCGTACTCAGTTATCTTTACCAAGGTCAATGACCTTTCATGTAGAGAAAATGATGGCAAAGAACATAAATGTTACGTAATGTTGGGCCAGCTCAGAGTTGCTTACTAATGTTAATGGTTTTGAGATACTAACTTGAGATATAGAATATTGTGTAATGTCGCAAATCTAAAAAATAACATATGCTTATTTTAATTACGTTCCATGGAATGTTGCATAATGTTAAGGTCCAACACAATGACCTAAAATAATCTTAGATACTTTGCCCAAAAGAAGATGATTGGCAGAAAAGTAATTTTTTATTTCTTCAGCTTGCATTTGTGCATGCACCATATCTCCTTTGATTTAATATCGTTTTAATCATATCACTAAAAATTACGAGTTCTGCGAAAACCACGCTTCCGTTGCAGAAACGGTCTAGTATAAAAATAATGAATTACATATATTTGCTCAACGTTATAACTTACTTGTGTTAATGGGTGCAGAGAAGATGCTGCTCGTAGCAATGAACAAACCTTAAACTTTGCTATAATGATTCTTCATTAAACTTAAAAACTGTATTGTTTTGAATAATTTAATTAACAAACTCAACACACCTATAAAGTCGTTTTTATTACCTACCATTGTGTCCATTGTATCTAATGTTGCAGGTGGGGCAAATCTATCAAGTGAAAACTTTATTTTGTCAAAATCAAATAATTTCAAAAAAGTTCTTTATTTAAAGAATCGATATGACAGATTAGAAAAATCCTACGGCATAGAAACCTGGACCTTGACAGAAGCCACAACTAAAAATCTGAAAGTCTTTGAGATGTTGCTGTATAGACGAAAGTTCAAAATACCATGGATAGCTCATATATCATGTATACCACCAAACGCAGAAAACTGGAGAATCTGGGATTAGTCATGAGAAATCAACACCGATTTCCTGCTCCAATCTATAATGCAAGGAAAAGTCAAAGGAAAAAGGGGACTTAGCAGAAGAAGAATCTCGTGGCTGCGCAACCTTAACCTTAGAACTTGGTTTGTGACAACCATAGCAGCATTAAAAATTATACACTTGACCTAGAAGTAGAAAGTATCGTGTTTAGCCGTGCGTCTTCAGAATGTGTTAGTTCTAGTTTTACAATAGCACTATCACCAGAACTAACACTGGACCTAGAACTTGAATCATTTGGGTTTAGCCGTCTTGAGAGACGTGCGGCTAAATCCGAATGTTTCTAGTTCTTGGTCTAGTATTGCACTATCACTAGAACTAACACAAGACCTAGAACTAGAATCATTCGGCTTTAGCCGTCTTGAGAGACGTGCGGCTAAACCCGAATGTTTCTAGTTCTTGGTCCAGTGTTAGTTCTAGTATTGCACTAGCACTATCACTAGAACTACCACAAGACCTAGAATTAGAATCAATCCACTATCACTAAAACTAACAATAGACGTAGAACTAAAAACATTCGGGTTTAGTCGCAAGTCTCTAAAGACGGCTAAACCCGAATGTTTCTAGTTCTAAGTCTACTGTTAGTTCTAGTTTTAATTGTTATCCAGCGTTAGAATGTGATATATTTTTATTGAACGAAAAGTAGAAGTAACACCAGATCTAGAACGAGAAACATTCAGGTTTAGCCGTGCGTATCTTAAGACGGCCGAAAACTCAAGGTGATCATAAGGACGTACATTTTTTCCAAGCAATGCATCCCAATGCAGCTTCCTGATAAACTATCTAAGGGATTATTGCCATGGTTACAGCGGTTTTAAGCGCTCTCATTGGCTAAGAGCGCCAATTTATCTATCGGATAAATTTATCAAGAGGTGGTAAAAGTGGGCCTAACCTATGTTGCATTTTATGTGGGATAGAGCAAGTGCATAGTAGTTTCGTAACTATGGTTACTGCATTCATCTGTTGCGAGTTATATGAAATTAACTCTTTTAACGTCTCAATTCGTTTTTGAGAGAATAATTACACCAAATAACTTTCATGAATCATTTTCAATGCATCTTTGTTTGTTTTATAGTTTTTGTTGACTTTAAATATTGTTTTCTTGCAAAGAAAGACGAAGTCACAGTGTTTACTGATAAAACCTACACAATAAAATACTAACTGTTGTACACTGTGTTAATTAATTATCATACCCGACGTCATCATTGCAAGTATGCAACCAATACTGTGATATTGGTTGCATACTTGCAATGATACAAACAAGAACGTTTCTCATTGTGCTAAAGTGTTAAACAGGAAGCTTATTATTACACAAAGGAGTACATGATATACAAGTACCTCTCTTTAAATTTGTAACATACAATCACTTATCTCTTCAACAAAATTTATTGGTATTGTTTCGGTTATAAATGCATTTTTGTTATCAAAAATAAACGCATTAAATAAAATTTTATTTATTTTCTGTTATTAAAGCAGTTTATTATCAAACATTAATGAATCATGAAAAAATAAGTAAATGTGGTGTACAAAAAGAAAACGTGCATTTTTTTATTATGATTATTATTTATCAATAAGCAAATTAAATTATTAACTTTTTAAATCAAAAGGGTCTTATCCTTTCAAACTACTCATTCCAGCGCGCATAATTTCATCAACCAATAATAAATTACTAGCGATAACCGAACAAGAATTAATAATTTGCTTTTTGACAATATAATTATCATAAATTCCCGCGTCTTTGGGAACGATGGGTTCTCCAGAACTCAAATCAAGTCCAATCGGCTCGGCATTCAATTTCGACTCTTCTTGTAATTTCACAATGGTATCCTATACAACAAAAAAAAAATTAAAATAACATCAACTTAAATAAATCCAACACTAACCTGAGAATCATATCCGGAATTTGCAGCTAAAACTTTTGGAATAACCAAAAGCGCCTCTGCATAAGCAGCAACACCCAATCGAGATTTTCCTTTAATTGTGTCCTTAAATTCCATAAGTTCTTTATAAGCTGTTACTTCAAAAGCTCCAGCTCCAGGAACTAAAGCTCCATCTTCAATGGCGTTATTAACAGCTTTTAAACCATCACGAACCGCATCCTTAATAAGAGTTATGGTGTGTTTATTTGGACCTTTCATTAAAATAGTAACCGACTGAGGTGTTTTACAGTCTTCCACAAATGTGTATTTAGTTTCACCAAGAACATGCTCATACACAAGCCCGGCATAACCCAAATGAGACTCATTCATATCATCGAAATGGTTCATTGCAGTTCCCCCACAAGCTAAAGCTAAACGTTCCATATTACGACGTTTAGCACGGCGCAATGCCATGATTCCCTCTTTGGCTAACATGTCTAAACTCATTGGGTCAATTCCTTTTTGATTGATAACAACGAAACCTTTATCCGTTCCATTACATAATTTGCGTTTTAATTCAATAACTTTTTTTACTCTTTGATCGATAAATTCACGTTCAGCGTCAGCTAATTTTTCCCGTTCTTCGGCGGTTTTGTAAAAGAATCCCGAATTAACCTCACTTTTTTCATATTCCATACTAACGTTACAAGTTAAAATGTAGGCGTTTGTAATTTGCTTTGGCATATTCGGGTGACGCGAACCGTGATCTAACACCAACCCTTTAATTAATTGGGTGTGGATTTCAGTTTTATGCCTCATTTCCATTAACTCAACCATGTGTAAATCAACCGGCTTATTATCAGTTTTAATATTTAATACGGCATCTACGCAAACGTCAGTTAAAAGATCGGCTAATTTCGGGTGAACTTTCGTTCTCAAACTAGTCCTAGCGACGTCAATTAAATTTTCGCGAGACGCTGTTATTGGAATTTTTATTTTATCGAGAACTTCGAGGGTTTTTGCGCGAGCTTTATCGAAACCTTCGACTAAAAGGCGGGGGTGGAGACCGTCGGATATATAAATATCAGCTTGTTTTAGGAGCTCCCCGATAATTAAAACTATTGAGGTGGTGCCATCTCCGGTGGTGTCGTCTTGAGCCGTTGAAGCGCGGGCGATTAATGAAGCTGTCGGATGTTGAATTTGCATTTCATGAAGGAGTACATTACCGTCTTTCGTTATCTTTATGTCCCCAGCACCAGAAACCAACCTATTTTAAATATAAACGAATTTGATGAAGCTAATTACCGGTATACATAACCTTAAAGTTAACATAACCTATAAAAATTAATGAATTGTTTTTATTTAATGAATTTGAAGTAATTTATAGCAAATTACGTTAAGAAATGATAGATAAAGCGTTAATTTATGATTAATATATGTAAATTTAAAGGAAAAATAAATCATGTGGTTCCTTACATTTTCATGGTTCCTTTCGGTCCCAAATTTGATTTCATTACATCTTGGATACCTTTTGCAGCTGAGATGTTGACGGCAAGGGCCGCTGCGGCTCTCGCGACCTCGGCTTTTGGATTTAAGAGACTTATTGCTGCCATTTCGATTTATTTTCAGAGAAAATTCGAGAAAAAGTAGAAAGACCCACCTAATACACGAGATTAAATGACAGGAATGAAAGTGCGATGAAGTGTTAATAGATGGCGGTATTAATAAATCGTAATTGTTTAATTTAATTAAATATGAATATAAATTCTTTTTTATTTAATTATTAACTGATTTATTTTATGATGTAATTTTTTGGAATGTTTTTTTATAATAACGAATTAGTCATAATGAAAACGAAGATCGTTTGTCATTTTTTCGTTGGCAACACGTCAAAAATTACCAGTAAAGAAAAAATATAAGCTGATTGTCAATCAGAAAAAGAAAAAACCAGAAAGAAGATATTCCACACCCCACAAAAAAAGAGATGAAACAAACTGAATAATAGAAAAATACAAATTCGAAAAAGCAATCACAAAATTCAAGTGTCACATCGAAGTGAAGTTTGAAAATTTAAATTTTCGCGGTTCGACCGGTTCGAAGGGAGTTTCCGTTTCGTTCGGGTGCAATTTCGACGTTTTTCGTTGTCAAACGTTAACCGAACGTCGTTCGGGACGTGATTATTTTTTTTCAAGCGTTTTTACGTAAACTAAGGTCGACTTAGAAACCCGTGGTACGTATTAAATTAAAGTATTGACTTTGAATTTGACTTGGCCCATCTAATGAATACGGACACCGTATTGTCAGGTCTCGTGGAGTCCATATTGGCGTAGGAATATTACACCTTGCGGCGAGCGCTGCGATCCTTTTCCGTTGCAACAAACGCGAGTGAACATGTCGTATGCTTCTGATCGAAGGTAAGGTTTTCAAATTTGCCATAGACACGTGTCTTTAATCGAGACGATTTACTGCACGTATAGATATCCTTTTACCGGCTTTTCGAAATCTTAGTAAAATCTTTTAAACCACGTGAGAGTTAGTTTGGGAACAATTTCTAGTCTCCTGTTTCGGCGGCGACGTTCAATGCAATGCCAACATGGCGTGTCTCAACCCATTCACGTTTTATATTTATAAAACTGATCAAATTTCATTTTAAAACCTCGCCCAAATCGGTAACCTATCACTTTACCGGCACTTTTAGTTTAGTACCAGTTTGGTCTGTAAATTAGGTGACAACAACTTCAACTTCTTTCATGATTCTTTAAAAATTCTTTTAAGTACACCTTGATTTTCCACGTGAAGTTTTCTACGAAATTATGTAATGAAATCAGCAAATTCTATTTATATACAGGTTGTATGCAAAATTACTTCGCTTTTTGCCAGGATTTTGTGTACAAACAGTTAAAAGTCTTTCAAAAATAACATTTATTCCTTAACCTATTTAGTTGTCAATCCTACACATCTTTATATAAATAATCTCCTTTATTATTGATCAAAATTGATTCTTACCCATCCAAGAAGACGTTAAAAACACATTAAGAAACAACCACATCATTAGTAGAATTTTTTATTAGCTTCATATCTTTATTAACTATTTATTGAATTATTTGTTTTAATCATTAAAAATATTTTTTAGGCCAGAGGAGTGGTCTGGTGAAAAAAATGGTCCCGAAAAGGAACCACCAACCTATGATGGACCACCAGGAATGGACCCAGATGGTGTTATCGAATCCAACTGGGAAGAAGTGGTTGATAATTTCGATGACATGAACTTAAAAGAGGAATTGTTGCGAGGTATCTACGCGTACGGTTTCGAAAAGCCCTCAGCAATTCAACAACGAGCAATCATCCCGTGCGTTAAAGCCCACGACGTGATTGCGCAGGCTCAATCCGGTACCGGAAAGACGGCGACGTTCTCGATCGCGATTCTTCAGCAAATAGACACTACCCTACGCGAGTGCCAAGCGCTGATTTTAGCGCCAACGCGCGAACTCGCCCAACAAATACAGAAGGTGGTGATCGCGTTGGGAGATTTTATGTCCGCCCAGTGCCACGCGTGTATCGGCGGAACGAACGTACGCGAGGACATGCGTAAACTGGAGACGGGTATCCACGTCGTTGTTGGAACGCCCGGACGCGTTTACGATATGATTAATAGGAGGGCGTTGCGTACCCAGCACATTAAGATGTTCGTTTTGGATGAAGCCGATGAAATGTTATCGAGAGGGTTTAAGGATCAAATTCACGACGTGTTTAAAATGTTGAGCTCAGATGTTCAGGTCATCTTGTTATCTGCTACTATGCCGCCGGATGTATTAGATGTTACTAAAAGTTTTATGCGTAGCCCTATTCGGATCTTAGTTAAAAAAGAGGAACTTACATTAGAAGGTATATATTAATTTAAATCGATTAAATTAAATTAATTACGTTTAATTGTTTAGGTATTAAGCAATTCTATGTTTACGTGGAACGGGAAGACTGGAAGTTAGATACACTGTGTGATTTGTATGATACGTTATCGATCACGCAGGCCGTGATATTCTGTAATACCAGGCGCAAGGTCGACTGGCTCACGGAAAACATGCACAAGAGGGATTTTACTGTTTCGGCTATGCACGGTGACATGGAACAAAGAGAGCGTGATGTTATTATGAGGCAATTCAGGACTGGGTCGTCTAGGGTACTAATTACGACTGATCTATTGGCCAGAGGTATTGATGTACAGCAGGTATCTTTGGTCATCAACTATGATTTACCTTCCAATAGAGAAAATTATATTCACAGGTAAATTAATAAAGGAAGAACAAGTCAGATTTATATAAAACTTCAATTTTTTTATGTGTATTCATATTGTAATAGCTAATTAATATTAATTGTTCATTTTATGAAGGAACTGATTCTTATGGAGTGTGTTAGATTAAAATTGTATGGAGTGTTTTAGCCATATCAGTTGTTATTCAGGTTAGTTGTTCCAACCCTCTTATAGTGGCAGAATATTTTTGGATATTTTCAGGACATCCTCTTTGTTAACATGATTAGAAAGACTAAATTGTAGTAAATACAATGTATATAGTAAATACAAAAAGTCTAACAAACAACATCATAAACATTTTCATAATAATATATTGGTAGGTAAATACAGATGTTTGGAAAATGCGTCTATATACAGGGTGGTTCAGTTTTTAATCAGGAAACTTTACTAGGATGTAGTACTTGCCAAAATAACACAAGTTTTTTTTTATATAACGGTCGCAACTCTCTTGTTTTCAAGCTATGAGCTGTCAAAGTTGAGCCAAAAATTTATATTTTATCTATTATTTCGGGTATGAGTAAACCACAGAATTTGAAATTTTATATGTATTAAACTTCCCTAGCGCCCTGTAAGGGGATGAAATTCACGACCCCTTTGATTTTTTTATAACAACTTCTTAACGCCATGGAATATTGACATAAAAAAATATGGGTTGGGTCTTTAGTTTTTTCCTTAAAGATAATAGTTTTAGCGTAAAAAAATAAAATATGCTACACTGTACTGTAAAGCGCTTCTATTATTAAAAAAAAAATTTTCTTTATAGGTGGCTATGGAAGTTGTGCACTTACTAGGATCTAGTACTAACTAAATAACACCAATTAATTGTGATTTTCATAAGAAAAATCATAAATAAGATTAATGCCTGTCTGAACAAATTACGTTGTTTTAAACAATATTAAAAAATTGATACTCTTGCTTAATAACAATCAAAAATTATTAATAATCAGCAATAATTATGAGGATTCAGTGTAAATGAAACTTACAAGTTCTCAGAGCCAACTTTTAGAATAATTTTAGCTAAACATAGCGGTACATGACACGATATTTTATTTTTTTACATGGAAACTATTAACTTTAAGGAAAATAATAAAGAGACAAAAAAGCACCACTAAAGACTGAGCTTTACAACCCATATTTTTTTATGTTAATATTCCATAGCGTTCAAAAGTTTCCCAATTAAAAACTGAACCACCCTGTATTTAAAGAGTGGTTCTATATCAAAACTCATAAAGATAGGTTTATTAATATATTATACAGGGTGATTCACCTAAGAACCGACACAGAGCAGGGACATGTAGAGGTCAATAAATTAAGATGATTTAACGCAACTTATCTCTATACAAAGTTATACCCCTGAGGAGTTATAGGCCTTCAAAGCTGGCTCTTAAATTTTTAAAACATTCAATATCTTTGTAATACATTAAGCTAGAAAAACCAAATTTGGTATACATTATGAGTGTACCAATGGTATAAATTAGTAGCAAGATGAGACCAATTTAGGCATTTCAAAGGGTTGATTAAGGGTGATGGTCCCCTAAATGTTGACAGATTTTTTTTAACCTTTTGGTGGATTTAATACATTATTACTTCATTTCATGTGCAATTTAATCCTAAAACTTTTTTTAATCTTATTATTTTTTAAAAAACATTGTCGTTTTCATAAAAAACTCAAATAACTAAACCACATTTCGTTAATGCTACTTAAAATCATCGAAAATTCAGTAGTCGGCTGTGAAATTGTACGTCAAACTTGACAAATAGGTTATAAAACCTTGTCAAATAATTTTATAACCTATTTGTCAAGTTTGACGTACAATTTCATAGCCGACTACTGAATTTTCGCTTCTTTTAAGTAACATTACGAAATACGTGTCTTTAGTTATTTAAGTTTTTTAAGAAAACGACAAAGTTTTTTAAAAAATAATAAGAATAAGAAAAGTTTTAGAATTAAATTCCACATGAAATGAAGTAGTAATGTATTAAATCCGCCAAAAGGTTAAAAAAATCTATCAACATTTAGGGTACCATCACCCTTAATTAACCCTTTGAAATGCCTCAATTGAGTTCAATTTGCTACCCATTAATACAGTTGGTACACTCATAACGTATACCAAATTTGGGTTGGGTTGGGTTGGGAAAATGTAGTACCTTAAACCTGCTATGTTGGACTTCATAAATTATTTATTTTTTTCCCTTTGATTATCATATTTGTCACGTCAAAATATCCCTGTACACCATATTTCGGCATGCTAAACCTTGCCGTTTTTGAAATAACGCTAAAAAAAGTACTTAAAAACAGTTATAAAAGTAATAACGTATAAAACTAGACTAACACTAGCACTAGAATTAATACTAGACCTAGAACAGAAAGTACTTCTTTTAAGACGGCTGGTAGGTTGCGTATTTTTAACATTCGGGTTTAGCTGCGTAAAACTCAAGGTTGTCATAAGGATGTCGGCTTTTTCCAAACAAAACTTTTCCTTTGCAAAACTACCCAATGCCTGTACTATTAAGCTATGTTGCATTTTATGTGGGACAGTGCAAGTGCTCAGTAGTTGAAATAGTCCCATATGATATCAGAAAAATCTATATCTATTGGCTAAATTGTTGAAAAAGATCACTTTTATTGTCCACTATAACCTTGGCAACTATCCACTTGATAGTTTATCAGAATGATGATAAAAGTGAGCCTACATCATTTGAGATAAGTTCCAATTATAGACAATCTACATGATATTGTATCAAAGAGATTTCTCAATTATTTAGCAGAAAAATATATTATTGCATAAATATTCCTTGATAATTAAAATTCAAAATATATTAGTACACATAAGAAATATTAAGCTTTATTAATGCTGTGAAAAAATATTATGTTTGTAATAATTTTTTATGTATATTTTTCGATTAGGATTGGTCGTGGTGGTAGATTTGGTCGTAAAGGAGTGGCGATAAATTTCGTTACAGAGGACGACAAGCGCAACCTGAAAGATATTGAACAGTTTTACAATACGCATATAGACGAGATGCCGATGAACGTGGCCGATCTGATCTAATTTGGCGGATTTGCTGTGACCGACGACGTTGCCTAGAGTTTCCTATGGTGTGAGTATCAGCTGCTCCTCTCGTGCATCGACTGCGACATATGTGATTATTGTGCGCCATTACGTCTCTTTAGGCCAGCGCCTTAGGCCCGTCAAATAAACATTTGAAAGTGTGTCTTTTTGAAAACAAAAAAAATATTTATCGTTTAGTTCTCTTATATTATTTTTTTTCTATTTACCCCATAACTTTTCTCTATTTTCCGTTTATAATATTTTTTTCTTTTTATCTAATTTTTTTCGGTTAATCACCCTTGAGATAGAATTGTATTGTATTGTAATAGGTTAGTACTAGTGTAATATTTCATAATATAATTGAGCGTGTGGGTGTGGTACGTTTAACGTTGGGGGTGATGAGAGCGCATCGGGATCATAGGTTTTGGCCTATCGTTTATTCAACGATGGGCTGGACCTTTGTCTTAACGCGGCACTTTCGTCTCCGCAGGGGTTTAGTTGGATTCTGGAATGGTTATTTTATGTACAAACGGTGTAGGCGAAGAGACCAGCTGAAAATATTTTCAATTAAATGTTGCTTTTTTGTATATCTTGACAAAACAAAGAATAAAAGTGATCCAAACAACCACCCTTTCGATTTTCTTTTTTTTTTACTTTATCTTTCTTTGTTGTTAATTATTGTTGATAATTCCAAGAAACCATGCTATCCCCGGCGAATAATAAGATTATTTTCATGTTTTCTTTCTTTTTTTTTTTTTTTTTGATTGTTGTTATTTCTTATTTCAGGCGTTGGAGGTCGTCGATATTAACTAATCGGAAATAAAGATCGAAAAATTTCCACAATACCCAGCTGTGGTTTTGTTCACAAAAATAAACCCATCACTAACTTACTTTTTATTTTTAATTTTTCAACGTCTTAAACGGATATATTTTGCATTAAATAAATTATTTTACCGTAATATGACACCAGTCACTATTTTTTTTTATTTATTTATTTTCAAAATCGATTTTAATTCTCGGACACTCTAGAACATTCCTAATAAATGATTACTTAATGAATAATACGGAAATATAATTTGATTAATAAAATCCGAAGAAAGAAAAATGAATTGAGTTTTATATCTATATTTAAGTTTTAATATGAATCAAAATAAATATACCTTTTACTTTAATATTTCCTAGAAAATGTATTTATAAAAATTTTTTGAAACACTGAATCATATTCCTTGAAACTATAAACTTCATTGAATTCTTAGAATGTTTCAACATTATTATCTTGATTTAAACGGAATTTTATTCAGGCGAAATTAGCTTACAAGAGTCTAAATATAGATTTTGATGAAATTCTGCGGAAGAAAGAATTTTGCAGGCGTGATACATTGATATTATTAGACAATTTCATCATTTGTGTGCTTCTTAGCAACCATCGACATGGACAATATTTTCAATTGGTGCTATATGGGAAAACCAAGTAGATAAATATGTTATTAATGCTACATGTATCACGTATAAGAAGCAAGGACCAATTGGATAATAATATGTAGAATTAGAATTCATGAATAATGAGCAGAAAACTTTGACAATTTAGACTTTAGCAAAACCTGAAACCACCATATCTATACACATATCTATTGCACACCGATCTTTAATCGGCAGTTCCCAGTAAAGACACCTATTAGATCTGCAAGTCTGCTACGAGCAAGTCCTAAGATATGAGATAATAAACTTAGCGTGTCTGACAGCTTAATCCTATGTTTGGCCATCGCAAATGATATACCAATTGCTGGCTCTGGCCCCACAAACGCTTTAGCGCTGCCCTCTCGTGCTAGCTCATCTGTTGCTTCATTGCCAGTAACCCCAGAATGTCTTGGGACCCAGATCAGAGATACTCTGTTATCACAACTCAGTATGCAACTCATGTCAATAACAAATACTTCCGCCTGGAGTACAGTACAGTACGTACCCAGGCTATAAGCTTGCTTAATCCGAAATATCTGCTAGTATACCTCTGCCCCGATCTTTTCCAGCGTTTTTGATCCATCTGTGAACATGCAAATATCTGTCTGAACCAGAGAATTTTCGTTTTCGATCCAAGACTTCCTCTCAGGCAGTACAATCTGGATCGAGCATTATTCACTGGTAGTGATCTCGTCAACTCCGACGGGATTGATAACACAATATCACAGCTTATAGTGTTTTCCGCAGCCCATTGATAGGACATGTCGGAGCAGTTTTGGGCATGTTGCATAAACCTGTAAATGGTTATACATAGTTTTAGCTTAGCTTTTTCAATAACAAGTCTGGTAAAGTATTAAAAATATTTACGTTAAAACAAATCAACATTTTTTTGTACATGGTATGCTTTTATGGTACATTGCCACTAAAATCTAAAGATTTATATGGAATCTTCTTATTCGTTCCTTATCTTCTTCTGCGATATCTGCTGTACAGGGTGGTTCAAATGCGGACATATAGGCTATCTCGGAAACTATAAGAGTTAGAAAAAAATAGCTTACATGTCATGATTATTCGCTTATTAAATTCGTTATTTTTTTATGATTACAAAAATATGGGGTTAGATAGATCTATTTTTTATTGTTTTAGAATAAAGCTAAAAATAAAATTTTATTTTAGTGTCGTCAAAAAAATTAAATTTACAGTTTCCTGTAAATTGTAACTAAAACGACGGTTTTACGATATTTTCAATTTTGGCCTCTAGTGGAAAAACAAAAGACGATAACGCTTTGAGGTTTTCGGCATTAGCAGTATCTCGAAAAACGAGATCATGACATGTAAGCTACTTTTTTTCTAACTCTTATAGTTTCCGAGTTAGCCTATTCGAACATCGAATTTGAACTACCTATACAAGCAGAGGTCGAGCATAATCTATTGCTACCATTAGTTTTTTGGGCTTCTTATATGATTTATCCAAAATATGATGTATTTTCGCTCTAAATTATTCATTTCTATTGATTTGATAATGTATACCATACAAGTAGATGCAGATTACCCATCACATCCCCACTTGCACATTAATGTTAATGTTTAGCTTAGTTTCTGTAAGTTATTTTAAAAATTATTTTAGTGGTGTGATCTAATAATCAATAACAGTTATCGATGGAGCTTTACCATAAGTTTTAATTTACTACTTAGTACTAACATTTGTGTTCCTAACCTGATCATTAACCCATAATCGACGAAAAAATGCATTGAAAAATAATTTTAAAGTCACAAACATAAAAGATTAAATAATTTTAATAAATTGATGTTATAAATTATCTTAAAATGTTTATTTTAAAAGAAAGATGTTTTTAATTGAAGTTATTTGATGATTATAAATTGAAATGTTTAATATTTTGAAGTTGGCAAAGACGATACGACACGTTCTTTTAAGGTAGGGAAATAATTTTTAGATAGTTGGCTAGTATCATTTTGCGCATGTCATCTGGTCGCTTCCGCTTGAGCTGTCTGCTGATCGAGGCTTTTGCGAGAGCTTCAGTTTGCCGTGCGGCGAGAACCGTGCCTGGTGATACCGATATAATAATACCCGCGGTTTAACGTTTCTCCTCCTCTATCTCTCTCTTATCTACTATAACACTCTGTGAGTGCCGTGTTAAATCTCACCTCAAATTTATTAACTAAATAACCTAACTAAAAACGCCGACAATATGAGCTGGAAAGATTACGTAGACAAACAGCTCGTTGCCTCCCGTTGTGTGACCAAGGCTTGTATCGCCGGCTTAGACGGCAACGTCTGGGCTAAAAGTGATGGTTTCGAGGTAAGTTCGAACAAAATTACCCCGATTTTTATTAAATAATCAATTAAAAATTATTATTTTGCACCCATTGAAAATGGTGACTATAAAAAACCGGTTTTACAAAAAAAAATTCTTTGCTTTAGGGGCTTGGCTATAGTAAATTTTTTTTATTGCACCAAAGGGGTGCTTCGTATGAATGGAGTCCTTAAAAGGGTACATTTTTGGGTAGTTTTAATTGTTTTAAGAGAGATTTTAGGTTGTAAGCGATGACTCAGGTTGAGAAACTTGTTGAAATTACGATGAATTTCGCATGCCTTATTCACAAAGCCGGTATTTTACACAAAATGGCGGCCGTCCTGATCTTGCGACGTGTTTCATTCGTTTAAAATTTCGAAACGATTTTGTTTTTTCATTGTTGCCAAAATCAAAATGTTAATTCTAAAATAATCAAAAATTAAAATCATCATTTCTAACAAGGAAAAAATGTTTTTTCCCTATTTATATGTAAAATATATAAAATTGTTTGGTTGCTTCATATCTTATTTTTATCTTTATTGATTTTTTATCAATATTTAATATTTTATGATTAATAAATATTACTCACACTATTTTTTTTTATTAATCTTTTTTTTTGTAATTTTTAGGTATATTATTTTGAACCTTAGACAACAAATGAAGTTAGTTGTCTATTTCAATGTAAGGTTAAGGCCACGATAGCGCATTGACCGTCGCGCTCGCTAATCTGTACGATCAATAGTCTCCTCTACACATCTAGTAGACGGTGTCTGTCCCGTTTTTTCCCCATTTTCATCCACGGCGGGAAATTTTAAAACGATTCTCCTTTAATCCGGCCTTTTGAGGCCGATTAACCAGTTGTTGACCACCGTAATGATCTGTTTACGTTAGTCACGGCTACCGACCACATGTTTAACTATACAAAACTGGACTTTTAGAAATCTAATTGCTTAAATTAGAATTAAAAAAAACTGTTTTTTGGGAATTTTATTTCTAATTAATTAAATTAATTAAGATATTATACAGTTGTCACCCCTCGTGCATGTCTAGAATTGCACGGGCGGTCATTGAACTGTTAGATAAAAGAGAGTCCCCCGTATCACGTTTTGGCGAACGTAGAAATTGCGTCCGAAATGTATTAGGGATTCTTACACAAAAAAATAAAATTTTATAAAATGTATTGATAGATATTTTTGTATATCAAGGCCGAACGATGAGTCACGAGATTATTTAAATTCTTTTCCCTTTTTTGGGGTTGCCCTAATCGTAATGTTATATCGGTTATGATTCATCGCGATTATTAATAAATGTATCCATTTTGAAACTGAATGCATTGTGCCAAATGTGGCGAAACTTTTGCAATTTTTAGTATTGCACGAATTTGATTGATTCAGACTGCGAGACGTACCTTAAAGGTCATCGTAAACGGCGTTGGGCGTTGTCGAGTTTGTTTGCGCACGCGTACGCGATATCAAATTGTCAAAGTGACAGTTTAAATTTGTTTATAAGTTTGTTTTTTGCAGGTAACAAAGGATGAATTGGTAAAATTAGTAAGCGGTTTTGAAAAGCAAGATATCCTGACGTCGTCGGGTGTAACCTTAGCCGGGAATCGTTACATTTACCTTTCCGGTACGGACAGAGTGATCAGGGCCAAGTTAGGGAAGGTTGGCGTGCATTGCATGAAGACCACGCAAGGTAAAGTTTAAATAGTTAACTGAGAGAGAGAAAATGAGAGTGTGTGTGTGCGAGGAATGTGAAACGCGTTTCTAAAAATAATAAACGCGGCGGCGGCGGCGGATTCGTCGTCGTTGTCTTTTAGAGGAATATTTGGTGACTCTTGTCGTGTTTATTAAAAGTTTTCTTGGACGGTTGGCGCCGGATCAAGAAAAAGGCGTCCTGCTTTTTCGTTTTGGACCAGTACAACAGTCGTCGTCGGCAACTTTCACGTTTCAAATGGGTCAATGTGGTGGCGAGTTGACCGTGTGCAAGATTTATTGTTCTTGATAATACGATATGGTTGCTTTTAAAAAAATTAAACGAAATTGGTTTTTTTCATTCTTATTACTTTTAAAATTAAATTTTATTTTCCTTCAATTCTTTTATACCGAATTATCTTATCAAGACAAAGAACATAATCAATGTTTGTTTTTAACCGGTTTAGGAGGAAATAAATTGGATTTTATCAATTATTTTATATATTTCGTTCTTTTTTTCACTACTATACAGCATTAATTGTCAAAAAGTGCAGCTACTAAACTTGGTTTATCTAAACAGTTTAAAGCGAGGCGCTTATTTTGTATAGTTGCAAATGGCAACATATATGAGATAAATCTTAGATTGATATGGCATCGCTCAAGATAATGTTTGCGTGTTACATGTTGTTGTGAAGAAGATAAATTTAGTTAACCAACTATGTATGTAGCTAACTACTGGTCTCCTTGATACTTACAAATGTCAAGGTCACTCGATTATTAACGGTATACATTGCTTTATGTGGAGTTATAGTTTACACATACAGTTTGGCAGAATAACACTGGGTTGTTATTTTACAAGGCACATAAAATACAGCCAGAAATCACTTCGAAAATGATTAGCCTGCAGACCAAAAGATTCCAAAACTTTCCGTTACTTACCATATGCAAAGGTCGTTAGACTATTACAAATAACCTTCGTTTAATAATATATTTGCTTCACAAAGTATATTGTAGGCTACGTTTCGGATGTTGTCTCGTCTTACTGCATTACATGTACAATATTAATTGACTATTACTAAATGTTACTTAAAATGATGTATTTTCAATGTAAAAAATTCGGCAAATTGACACCATAATTAGGAAGTGGCTTGAAGCCAAATACAATATTATCGGTTCAAACGAATGTTTGTAAATAATTGTGTAGTTATTTCATGGTTGAAATATATTACTATAATAACTTAAAACAACTTCATTTATTTGAATATACATTTTGCTTAATTTTGTTATGTTATTATGAGTAAATCAGCACGTCCACACTTGAAAGTTTGTGACGCAACTGAGGTTGCTTGAACAATAACGTTCACAAAACCTTTTCTGTTTGTTTAAATTACTTTCCTAATAATTTTCCATTGAAAGAATACAAGTTCTATCTACATCAATGTTTAGATATAGCAATATTTTTATTTCTATGATAACAAACTAGATATTACAGAAATGTTTATCAGGAGTGCTTTAACTGAATGTTACAGCACTTAGCAGAAGGTTTGGGTTGACATGGTATTTAGAACCAGTTTTTGGTTATTATGGATAGTCTTGGCCATAAATAATTAGGCCATTCTCTGTAATGAGGTGAATTCGTTGCCAATTTAGTATTGATGTTTAGTTGTGACCTTGACTTCTCAAGCAAAATTCTATATTTGATATTCTGAATTTAGCCAAGGTCGCGTGTCGTCAAAGCGTTGCAATTTAGTGTTGTCTAATTTAGTATCGGCAAGACAACAATTGTTGATAATTACAAAGGAAACTTTATTAACTTAGACTTTATTACTCTGACCACTTGCTGCTTTAATGCTGTTCGGTGTATACACAAACATCTGGTTTCGCTTCACTAGACTTTTTTTTCACAAGGATAACTTGTTTGTATTTCTTGATTATCGCTTCCACATCTGGTTTTGCTAGTTGGACTTGTATCCAACACCAACTAACTCATTGAGGAACATACTGTGTTAGATCAATAAAGGGAAGAAAATTCGAAGAATCCATTTCACAACTTTTAATGCAAGATAGAACGATTTCTTAGGGATTGAAAGCTCTGCATTGACACCAGTTTTTTTTGTATTGTTTGTTAACGGCTGATGCTACTATGATTAGAACTCTAGTATTAGATCATAAGTTTCATGATGTTGTTATATCTATCTCTTAACAACTTTACAGTTACTAATCTGTATATTTTACTTTATATATTGGCACGAAAAGCAAATTTACGTAAAAGGTTACTCCAGTTATATACTTTGCGTAATTTGGTTCATGGATTTTTCAATAAATGAGCTGTATCATGATGTTGAGCCTGAATTATCGATTGTTATAGAGCTATTTCAATTAATCGAATTTAAAACATTTACATTTTGGGTTGTCAAAAGAAAAACAATTAATATAGGTTAATATTTGAAGCTTTTACGATAGGGTTGCAACTTTTACCACAACTTGGGTTGAACACGATCATCTGTTGTTCCTGGATTCCTGTTTTCGAAACATAACTTGTACCTAGGTTTTTTCCGTTTTGGCTGTACAGAATTATCGTTTGTGTAAACAGCCCAACCTAAGTTGACAGTTGAGATTGCATATTTCAGAAGAATGTAATGGTGCCAATCCACTACATCGTCGTTCATGAGATCAATCGCCACAGTATCGCTCGCTTCATATTTATTATCAATTATAGGTATATCTGATTCATCTCTAGATGGTATTGGTTCTGCTCAAGGTCAAAATTTTTGAAAACCTGGTTAATAGAAAGCCAGAAAAGGTGAAGTATAAATCAGATGATGAATTCTATGAAACCTAGGAAGAAGAATTTTTCTACAGCGAACCTTTACCTATCCAGTAAAGGAAGTTGGTTATGCAATAACTAAAGTGGAACATGAAGAATTAATTGTTAATGGACTTTTTTAAACTGAAATCGCTCCAGACAAAAAATTTCTTTTACTTAATTTTTAATATGCCGGAAATAAAAAATTATATGTAGAAAACACATAATATTAATGGATGAACCAACATTAGATTTTTTTTAATAGTGTGTGGGATATTATCGTTATTATTTATCACATCCTCTCCCACTCGAATTTATTTCAAAAATATCTTTGACGAAACCGTTGTTTTTATTGCCTAGTTTTTTGTGTCCCGATTTTCGCACAAATTTAGGAAATTACCGAAATACCCGGAGTGAAAATATCTCTCTCGATCCTCGATCCGTTGCCAAAATACGCGAATTCAAGCGTAGTAATTGCTTCTATTTATATCTAGAGAAAAATTCTTCGTTTTTAATACAAAAAAAATTACTCATCATCAAAAATTCTCAAAAAAAAAAGTTTTTACTAATGATAATAATGAATAATTTCGTTTTGTTGCAGCTGTTGTAGTTTCCTTATACGAAGATCCCATCCAACCCCAGCAAGCCGCGTCCGTTGTAGAAAAGCTAGGAGATTACTTAATAAACTGCGGTTACTAGAGGTAAATTTTATTATCATTGTTATCTTATCGTCAGTTTTAATTATTAATAGCGCCAAGTTTTAATTATGACGCTAATTTATTTTTATCGTAATTAAAATTTAAAAGCTGATGATGGTGTAGTTAGAAATCGGTTATGTCGCGATTATTAAAAATATATTGAATTCCCAGTACTTCTCAAGTATTTCTGTTGTTATCTTTATTATTAATCTTTTCTTAGAATAATACTATTGTTATTTATTTTCGAAATTTTAAATCGTCGAAGTAAACAGTATAAACCTCGATATAACGGATCTCGTGAATTAAATAGAGTAATTTCATGTTTATAGATAAATTTGGGGTATTCCCCGAGTATTGTTTATACGATGTATACATCAAGGACGATAGTTCTAGTTTTAATTGTTATTCAGCGCTAGAATGTTTCTTGTTCTAGGTTTAGTATTAGTTCTAGTTTTAGTCCAATGAAAAATATACAACATTGAACTAAAACTACAACTAACACTAGACCTAGAACTAGAAACATTCGGGTTTAGCCGTCTTATGAGACGTTCGGCTAAACCCGAACGATTCTAGTTCTAGGTCTAGTGTTAGTTCTAGTTTTAACTGCTATACAGTGTTAGATTGTTGTACACTTTTCAATGTACACTAGAATCATTCGGGTTTACCCGAACGTCTCTTAAGAATCCTAAATTCGAATGTTTCTAGTTCTAGGTTTAGTGTTGGTTATAATGATCTAATACTAACTCTATTACTAGAACCAACACTAGATCAAGAACTAGAATCATTCGGGTTTAGCCGAACGTCTCTTAAGACGGCTAAACCCGAATGTTTCTAGTTCTAGGTCTAGTGTTGGTTCTAATCTAATGCTAACACTATTACTAGAACCAACCCTAGATCAAGAACTAGAATCGTTCGGGTTTAGCCGAACGTCTCATAAGACGGCTAAACCCGAACGTTTCTAGTTCTAGGTCTAGTGTTGGTTCTAATGATTTAATGCTAGCACTATTACTAGAACCAACACTAGATCAAGAACTAGAATCATTCGGGTTTAGCCGAACGTCTCTTAAGACGGCTAAACCCGAATGTTTCTAGTTCTAGGTCTAGTGTTGGTTCTAATCTAATGCTAACACTATTACTAGAACCAACCCTAGATCAAGAACTAGAATCATTCGGGTTTAGCCGAACGTCTCTTAAGACGGCTAAACCCGAATGTTTTTAGTTCTAGGTCTAGTGTTGGTTCTAATGATCTAATGCTAGCACTATTACTAGAACCAACACTAGATCAAGAACTAGAATCATTCGGGTTTAGCCGAACGTCTCTTAAGACGGCTAAACCCGAATGTTTTTAGTTCTAGGTCTAGTGTTGGTTCTAATGATCTAATGCTAGCACTATTACTAGAACCAACACTAGATCAAGAACTAGAATCATTCGGGTTTAGCCGAACGTCTCTTAAGACGGCTAAACCCGAATGTTTCTAGTTCTAGGTCTAGTGCTAGTTCTAGGTCTAGTGCTAGTTCTAATGCTAGTGTTAGTTCTTCTTTTAATTGTTATTCAGCGTTGTCAGAGGTTCACACGTTTAAAGTGCAAATTAACAATTTTTTCATTTAACAGATTTTTGTTGTATTGAGGTTTTATTGTATTAAATATCTTGTTAGTTCATTGTTGATAATAACTTGAGATTATTTGTTTTACAGATAGTGCGTCGGCCGCGATCGTCGTCAAATACAGCGGCATAAAAAACAACAAAAAAAAGCAACAAAAACAAACTAAAAAAAAACTATGTATCAGTAAAATTTTTCCATCTAATTCAAAAAAAATATACTGAAAAAACACATAAAAATGCCATAAATGAGTCATCCGCAACCGTGTGCGTATTAATTCATAATTAATAAATATTAACATTAACGGGTGTGTCAAAAAAATTTATTTAAAAAAACTAAAACGTTTCTCCGCGCGTAAATGCTACATATACATGCTAAAAGAAATAGTTTTCGATTTTTTTTTGTTATATTTTGATTTATATATAAATTTTTTTTGAATGAACGCCGCTTCGATATAGAAGAGAAATAAATTTAAATTTAGTTGTTAAATTTAGGTCAATTTCGTTTGGGAAATTTTACAGTATGCATTTTCTTTTACTACATTAAAGTATTATACGATTATTGTAAAATTGCTCAAACGAAAATATATAAAAAAAGAAACGGGAAATTTTTGCGTGTTTTTTTAATTAATATTATATCTTTTTTTTTTCGATTTAGACTGTGGTCATTATTAAAAAAAAAAATAAAAAAAAAAGAACTAATATAATTATTACGATAGATTTTTTTTAAGTAGTGCCAGAGTGCTGTGAATTTTTTTAAGTCCCCCTCTGCGTAGAAATTAATAAGAAAAATGCGGGGCAGGTCTAAAAAAATTAAACGCACACCTGATTAATAATTATCATGTCTCGTATCGTCTTTATTTTTTATTTTTCACCGCTTTTTTTTATTGACCATCATCGTAATATTACTATCTTATCAACTATACGGAAGAAATAAGAAGAAAAAAAACAATTTGATACTGAAAATACAATATTAGGGTTTTTAATAAAAAATCTCTAGTCCCGCCAATTCTTCTTTTCTATTTTATTCGACCCTCAACCCCCTTTTATATTATCATACAAATATTAAAATGCTACAGTCGCGTCTCTCCTAATTTTTTGACCTAAAACAGCTTACTATTAAAAAAAATTATCGGAATAAAAAAGTAATAAACAAGATTTAAAGGGGGAAAACCGGTCATTGCACAAAAAAAGAATAAGAATTAATAAATAAAAAAGTAATATAAGTACATACATATTTTTTATTCCGATATACGCTTAAAAAAGTCTCCAAGCTTCTTGTATTATTACGTCTTATTATTAGTATATTTACTCTCCTCTTAAATAAAAGAAAAAAACGAAGAAAAAAAATTGGATTTAAGAATTCGGTGTGATTTTAAACGTATGCGTCGTAATAATAAAAAAAAATATCGATTAAGAAACAATAAAAAAAAATTAAAACAATGGATACAAAAATAAAGCCGAAAATTTGCACTAGTTTTTTACGTCACAACCAGCTGCTTGTGATATTTGTCATCAAGGCCGAAATAAAAAGATAATCGACCAAAAGAATTAATTAATTAATAATTAAAAGGTAAAAACAAGAGTAAAAGGATAATATCTATTAAAATAAAAATGCTTTGAAACTGAACCGAACCCGAAAAGGCATCGTTAAATGCTCAGCCTGGAAAACGCAGGATAAACGCGTCATTTTGTTTTGCTTTTTCTCTTTTTTGGTCGTTGGAAGAGGAGATAAAAAAAGGAGGAGGAGGAAAACGAGAATAAGTTAGCTTTGTAAATTTTTTCTCAATTGCGAGGGATTACTGTGTCTAAAAAAAGTGAAATAATAAATTTGTATTATATAAAGAAAATTGTTTTTTTATTGATTTTGCCAATTACAAGAAAATTTTAATAGATAAGGTAAGTGCATTTTATTATTTTTGTTATACCTGACATAATGCAACTAATTTTGATCCATTTTTGCAAGTGTCTACATGATCAGTCTCGAGCTTTTTCTGTTTCTTTCATTCATAAAAAAATTACAGCCAAAGAACAACTTTCGTAGATGCCTGTCATGTCTGCGTGTCTGTAGAATAGATATAAGGTATGTATGGAGAATCAATTTTATAGTTTCTATGTATGCATCTTGAGACAATATTAAATTGAAATATGTAGTAAAATTATTCGTGAAACTTGCGTATCTGATACTCGGAATGAGGAGTTGTGGTAGGCCGCAAGGACAGCTTATTTTGCGTGATTACATTAAGTTACCGATTACAGTATAGCAGTATGGTATTAGCTTTTCTCAATACTGAAATTTTCGAACATCGGGTTTAGCCGAACGTCTCTTAAGACGGCTAATCCCGAATGTTTCTAGTTCTAGGTCTAGTGTTAGTTCTAGTTTTAATTGTTACTCAACGTGAGATTGTTGTATATTCTTACTGAACTAAAACTAGAACTAAAAAGTTTCGGGTTTAGCCGTGCGTCTAATTGTCAATGAAACGTCAAATTAAATGTCAAACGAAAATTTTAAATAAAAAAATATATTTGGATTATTTACATGTTAATTAATTTATAAAAATAATAACGATAATTAAGTATAAAAATAATAACGATAATTAATTATAAAAATAATTTTATTAAATAACACCAAATTTTAATAATTAAACGTTAATACTAAAATGTTAGGTTGGTAAATATTTTGAACTAAAATAGTATGAAACGTCAAAATTGACATTTAAATGTTAATTATCTTTTTATAGGTTATGTTAAAAATCGTTATGTCATAAGTTATAAAAATCATCAAATTTCAGCAAATTTTTTTATATAACGGACACTCCATTCCCCGTATTAATTCGTTATATCGAGATTTGACTGTACATTTATTTATTTAAATGAAATAAAAATAAATTAATTAACTTTAGTTCTCCACTTAAATAAATGTTGATAAAAGTTTTGATAAGATACCAAATAGCAAAACACGGTTGTAAATTAAATATATTGAAAAAACGTTTAAGAAATTAAATCGAATAAAACAAATTGATTTAGTAACGTTTTAATTTATTTCTTTTTGTTTTTAATAATCGAGTTTAAATCAAAAATTCTCATTAATATTAATACACCTCACCGTTCTCAATGAAAAACGACTACAATCTACTTAAAAATTCTAGGAAGTACACGTCCAGTAGCGTTCCCGCCGTCTTGTGTTAGTCACTCGGTTTCGTTACATCCGGTTTGGAGCTTTTTTTCAATTTAATCCAACCGGAAATGATAACAAATTCGTGTTTTAACTTTTATATATTATTTTTTAATAATTTCTGGTTACAAAATTTTTCCGCAAGCCGATAAGATCATAACGCAATCTTAAAAAGAATTACTTAAAAACAAGTAAAAGTAAACGGTTGCATAAAAAGGAAATAAAAATTCCTTAGTATTGAAATGAAATCCTATTTGCAAATTTAGCGTATTTAGAATAACAACCTTGAATAAATTTTAACCAAGTCGACTTTTATTTATAACATTATTTTAATTAATTAAATAAAATGTTTGAATGACGTATCACCATCTATATTCAATTGTAATCTATTCATTACGATATTGACTTTTGTGGGGGCGAGTTGCAACGTGGTGTATTGAAATAGGGTCGTCAAAGTATTATTATTTTGTTGGGATGAATGCTGGATGAATACAGATGGGGCAGAAACTGACACGAAAAGACTTTGTTGTTGGCTCTCTGTCTGGTTTTGTGGGCTACGCCCATGTCTGGATCGATGAGCCAGACGCTTCATTTGGAATTTTACTCAATTTTAACTGAATGAGTTTTAAACTTTAACTATAAAAGATACCCCTTTATACCCCAAAATAGTACAACAAAAAAATTTGGTTTTAATTAAAATTTCAATTATTTAATAAAATAAAACGATGATGTACTTAAAATATTTTCTGTAAGAAGATATCTTAATGGTTATTTGACTAACTCGTTAAACAACAACAAGATAGGAAAGAAAATGAGCACTTCTTATCAAAGTCACGTTGTTTACAACAAACTTAATATCAAGAAGAAAAATTTAAAACTTAACTAATAAAGATATATGTATATAAAGTAAATAAATATAAATGATTTTTATTTTTATAACTTTTAATGACATAACGATTTTTAACATAACCTATAAAAAGATAATTAACATTTAAATGTCAATTTTGACGTTTCATACTAATTTAGTTCAAAATATTTACCAACCTAACATTTTAGTATTATCGTTTAATTATTAAAATTTTATGTTATTTAAAAAACTTATTTTTATATTCAATTATAGTTATTATTTTTATAAATTAATTAACATGTAAATAATCCAAATATATTTTTTTATTTAAAATTTTCGTTTGACATTTAATTTGACGTTTCATTGTCAATATAGTTCTAGGTCTACAACATCTTTAAAGTTATTTAAAATTCGATTTTCTTTAATTTAAAAGCAAATAAAAAGTTAAAAAATAAAAGTTCAATGTGTTATAAATAAATTCAACAACCGTATTTAGTTACAAAAGTAATCAAACTTGGTATTCTTTGTTCAAACAAATCGAATGAATATTTATTGTTTACACCATTGAATATAAAGGATAAAGAGGACTTACCTTATTTGTTCAAATTGTAAAGGAGGTAAATGGAAAAGAACTGACAATGAGAAAAACAAATTTTTATATTTGAAGCATTAATTGTTTATTTACACATTAGTAACACAGTTTTCATAAATTAAAAAACATGTACAAACCTACTAACTGTACAAATCTACAAAAAAATACAAATAATAATTATTAAAAAAATTCGACAATCCAACATATTTTCTACAAACACAAAAGTTACACAATAAGCCCTCTAAATACGTTCTTTTTTGTTCTAGTTTTGATAATTTTAAAAAATAGTTTTTTAATAAAAATAATTAAATAAAATTGTTACAAAGGGATGTAATGTTTATACCTACAAAAATATATGTTACAATATACTGTGTGAATTTCTCCGTTAACTCTGTATGTTTTATTATTATTTTTTTAATTTTTTTTTCATCACTAACTTTGGACAACATCGGCAAAAATTGTAGTTTTTATTCTAAAATTGTTTTTTTTTTGTTTAAATTTTTAGTATTTAGTACGTGAAAGTGTTTTTTTTTATTTTTAATACGATCGACTACTTGAACAATACAAAAATTTTTCGGGGCACTTTTTGTGAACGATACTCCTTGTTTATAATACTTTTTTTTTGTAATTATTTATTAAGAAAAGCGGTGTGATTATATTACAGTTAATTTTTTTTTTTAATTACGATTATTTGGTTTTAGTCCGATTTTTTTTTCTTTACACATAGATCAACTAGTAGTAAGTAAGAGTGCTATTTTAAGTAAATAGTACGATTTTTTTTCGGTGTATTTATAAAGTGCATGATTTCATTTACTTTTTATACGATTTAGATTTTTTTTAGATTTTCGTTTATAGTTTTTTTGTGATTGTGATAATACATCAAGATTTTATTTAAATATCAAAATGGAGAAATTAATTATTTAAGGTTGGTTACACATCACTATGAAGTTAGCTAATTTTCAAGGTTAAGTCTCAAATCGATACTAAAATATTTTTATCGTCATAAAAATAGTATGAATTAAACAAAATAATTATTTATTTAACGAATATAATATATAAATAATATTTCTACAGTGTTTCCCCAAAATACTTGATATATTCTTTAAAATTGATTTATATTTGATGTCATTTGATTAATTTTCAACCCCTAAGCGCTAGCCATCATTTTATTAAAAATTCAAATGGTAATGTACCTACTTAATGTAGCACGTCGTTGGACAGAATAATTTATGCCAAATTGATTTTTTAAAATTGGTTCATAAATAACTAAAATATTTACTAAAAGTGAGGTTATGTGAAAGTCTAATTGTCAAATACAAATTATGACAGTTCTGAGGCTCACAAAAATTTATAAGAAGTTTTATTTTCTCAAATAAACATGATGATATGTAACTAGATGGTGTTATGCAATAATGAGTCAACTCAGATCAAGAAAAAATATTAACTTGCAAAGTGCCTTTCTAATTGTAAGTGTCTTTTAAAAGTAAAATTATGCGCTATCTAGTGAACACATTGTGAAGCCACATCATGTATAAATCCAATTTATTACTTTGTAGGAGATAAAATAGGTAATAAATAATATATTTAAGAATAATAACCTTTACAAGTAATAATATTTTTAGATAAGTAACCTTTAATTCTATTGTATCAAATTTTTTAACTTTTAAATAGTTTTTTTTAAGTGTATGACAGATGCAAGCACCAACAGAACTTACAATCATGCTGTGAAAGCGTTATACAGGGATAACGCGACAGAGGTTCAGGTAGGAAAACTCACAACTGATGCTTGATGATCTCTCCAACAATATTCAAAATCTATATCCACTCAACCTTAAAACATTGGAAAAGGAAATGCAACCCGATGGGTGTACACCATGCTTTTCGCGGACGACCAAATAGTTTTTGCAGAGGACGAAGAAGATATGAGATATATGTTAAATAAACTAGAAGAAGAATACAATATATGGGGCTTGGAAATGAACAAAGATAAGACCCAATACATGGTAATTGGTTAGAAAAAAATAGATCCAGGATATCAATGTAGAGATGAAGAGGAGATTTTTAATTACAACATATTTGTGATCGAATAAAGAATGTAATAGTTACTCTTATATAAAACCTAAAATATACTTCAACAATTTTAATAACCTTAAAGATCTAAAGGAGAAAATTCGAATTCAATCAATCACCCCGGAAATGATAGAAAACATTCAATAAGCCTCTTTGTTTCCCGATTAGGATATTGCCTCATCGTTCATGGACACCAATTAAATATTTATTATCGTTTATTATTCGTTAAATTATCTTTTAAATTTGTTGTTTTAATCATCATTTATTTATATTTTTCGGCTTCTGTATATTGTCTACCTATTTATTTTGTTTAATTGTGTTTGACAATTAAATGTTGTTTTATAATTTATTATTTTAAATCGACTCGCATCGTTGTTTATTCGAATAACAAAGTTTTTTTAATTTTTTAATGTATGGGGTGTCATCAAATAGAAATCAACTCTAATTGGGAAACATTGCATAATGATATTTAAATAAATCTTGATGTACGATGCATATTTTTTCTTATTTAAAATAAAATCGATGTTAATGAAGATCGATTTTTTACAAAAAACACTGTTTAGAAAAAATGTGTAAGTTTTTAAAGAAATTAATTTTCTTTTAACACTTTATTTTGGGGATTAAAAATTTATTTTATTTTAATGAGACACATCTCTATATCATTTTTTTTTCTCTTATTTAATAATTTAATTTTATTTTTCTTTAAAAATTTTTTTTTATCGTCTTAATAATCGGCAGTATTTTGTGCGTTTCAACAAAAAGTGTTTTTTACTTCTCTTCATTTTTGATATGAACCACGTAGATCTTTTACTTTTACACAACCATTTCTTTTCGCCATCGATTTTTTCTCACCTAGAAAATTCTTCGCTGAACTCTTCAGCAACAACAAAAAAAGGAAAAACCTCTTGGTTTCCTTCTCAGAATAGAAAATGGGTTGAGAGTTTTCACTCGAAATACAGTTTAAAAGATGTTATCCGTTCAATCACCTTTAGGTATAACATTTTCTTTTCTCTCGTATCTTTTAAGTTGAATAAAATCGTTTGTATATTGTCGCTAATATTTAATACCTGCGTTATTTTTATTTTTATTGTTTATTTTTGAAAATGTTGTTTTTAATGTAAAAAATCCTATATACGACGAAATCTATGTGTTTTATTATTTTATTTTTTATTTTAAATACCATTTCTTTTTAATAATTACATATTAATTCGATAATAATATGCAAAAATTATACAGACATTAAAAAGTATCTACAACTATTTATAATGTAATAATTATAATTTTATTGATGTAATTATAGTTTAATTATAACTTTTTTGATGATTAAATTGTATAAAGAGGACAATATATTAAGTAAATAAATAATCGATCAATATATTTTTTTAAAGATTCGCAATTTTTCTTATTACTCGTTTCTTTTTTTTAGTATAACTCGAGGTAACTAATTTTTATAAATAAAAACTTACTGGTTAGTGGAAATGCAACAAAGACAACCTGTGGATTCGCAATTCTGCGTGGATTATTGTTGTTCTAAAGAGTAATGTCTCGATCTCTTCCAAAAATTCTTGAAAAATCCTTTTTTCTTTTGGTTTTCTTCGCCTAAACAATCAAATAAACAATTTTTTTATTTCCCCAGAGAACAACAAAAAACTAAGTAAATAAGATAATAAAAGCGAAAGGTCATCGTTTATTCGTTGATAAAAAGACACATTCGCGCAAATAAACTCTAAAACGAGATGAAGAAATTTATCTTACAACGATTCTTATCTTAAAACAATTTCTTTGTATTTTCTAAGTTTTATTAATCTCTTTGTAATACTTTCTAAAGTACATACTCATTTAAAAACATGACTCATTTGAGGACTAAAGATTCTTAGAAACTCAGTACATTTAAAAATCTATTTTTAAACTTTTTAAAAGAACTCGTCTTTAGTGGGGGCATTTAGATACCTTAATCTAAAAAAAGAACAGATTACAAGAGTTCTAAAAACGTTTTTATCTATTTTTAAACATTTCCCCAAATATAACAGTTTCAGTTCGAAAATAAGCCCCCGCAAAGGACAAGCGAGGTCTTCGTCTTTCTCTGTGGTGTCGTTCTTGAACGAACCACATGGTTCTATTTTTAGGCATAAAGAAAAAATTGCGTCTGCGTTGGTCTCAAAAAAAAAGGATAATAAAAAAGAAATTTGAAAGCCAGACTAAAACAAAACTTACAACATTAATAAGTTATTAAAATAATTTTTATTATTTAAATAAAATGTGAGGTTATGTATTTTGAGGTTTTGAAATTTATTTATTGAATTTCTCAAATATAATCGCGTTTATTGACAAAAACGTGTGTTATTATCTTATTTTAACAAATACTGTTTATAAAAATAAATATAAATTGTTATAAAATTCCTCTTTTATAAATCAGATGAATTTGAGGTTATGTTGCTTTTAAATTGTGATGCATTTCCAAAATAATAAAGTTATTTAATGATGAAAGCTTGCTTTTTCAATACTTCGCTGTTAAAACTAACGCTCATAATAATATTTTATTTTAAATATTAAAAATAACCATTAATTTCAATAAAATTATGAAATTTTTTATATAATTTTGAGTTGGTAGTTCTGAATTCCTAAAGAGACATTACATTTCAAGATGTCAATGTCAAAAAAGTTTTTGACGATTTATAAAAGTGAATTTGTGCATGTGTTTAAATTGATTTCAGGTAAGCTTTAATAAGAACTTACTTTTCACTGTTTATTTAAGCCCGTTTTCTGTACTATTCCTTAATAAGAACATAAAATCTTATTGTCATTAGATGTTAATGAAATAAACATTATTATGGAGAACATATCGATTTCCTCATAATTATACTTTCAAAATTTAAGCTCATAATAATATTATATAATAAACCATAAAAATAACCACAAATTTTAATAAAATTAATTCATTTAGGGAATTGTTATGACATTATTTTAAGTTGGTAGTTCTGAATTAACTAACACATTAAATTTCAAGGTGTCATTGTCAAAAATTTTTATTATTAAAGTTTTTTTAACGATTTTTACGTGGATTTTTCCAGATTGTTTCAATTGATTTCAGGTAAGCTTTTATAACAATTCCCTTTTCATTGTATACAGAGCATCTCCACTAATGATTAAATAAAACATAAAAACTTACTTCTAATGTAACGAAAAATAACATGGGACTCAGATAATTTTATAATTATTCAGATAAATAAACTGCATCTTATATCTTCACAATTATAGGGCCGTAAATAAATAGAAAATACACAATTTTAATTAAAATAATATTTAAGGTTATGGTGCTTTTAAATTGTCAATGTAAATTGACAAGTAGAATTTTAGATTAAGGTGTGCCAACTTTCTAATAATTAAAATAAGAATTTTAGTGTTTAAAACTATAAATAACTTGCTTTATATATTGCAGAAATCCTATTTAAGCAACGTTATCCTTTGAAACATAAAGATCAAAAAATTATCATAAATTAGATATAAAAAATAAATTTTAATGATTTTAAGATGACAATTGTGGCTTGACAGTTAAATTTTGATACGTCAAAATATATTGTGTACATTAATTATTTGATTTTGTCTTTTAAGCCTTGTAAGTACACCCGGAAGTAACAGATGGTATGAATATCGTTTAAGAAAACACCAGCAGTGTTTAATTTTTTAAAAGAATATCACTTGTGTGGTTGCATATTGTGTTACATTGTTTTCTTTTAGATACGGGCATTAAAACCATCTTGTAGACGAGACTTTAAACTTTTAAAAAGATAATTGTACGAAATACAAAGAAGACTTTGTTTTAAAGATTATTTACTGGTTCAATGTGGTTAAGTTTTTCACTGAGGTTCGATTTTACTGCTTTAAAGAAAATAAACAATTTTGGGGGTTGCGGTTAAAATGTCTATTGAAAGGGAACCAGCATTACTACTCCACCCACAACTTTCGCTTATTATTGATCCTGTCGCACGGTTGGGAGGTGGGTGAACGAAATCGGGGATGTTAAACTGGAAACAAAGGATTTCTCGAACCCTAAACTGAAATTTTGACCCTTTTATACATCCGGGGAAGAAATCTTTTTTTTCTTCATACTGTACCCGTTTTTAAAGGACATTTTAAAGTTGTTACTCACCGCCGTTCTCGTGAATCGTTGGGGATACCAGCTCTTTATCTTTCTTGGGTTCTTTTCCGTTGTTTCCTGAAGAAAAAAAAAAATAAATAAGGAAAAACACGAAATGTAAATAGACCTTTTTTAGATTAGGTTTTATCGTGTTCAACCAAACTTCCTGTTTTAAGAAACTAAAGGTTTTCAACAAATTACTTCAATTTAACCAATTTATATAAAAAAAAACAAAATTATTTTTAAATCTTTTATGATTCTCTTAAATTTTATTTATAGAAAATTTGTATTACTCATTTCAGTATTTTTCCATAGATAAATCATTTATTATGTTATTTAACGCTTCTTATCTCTGTGAATTATACGATAAAAAAATAATATAAAATAATTTGATATTCAAATTGAGTCATACTTCTCAAAGATTTCTACATACCAGCGGTATCTTACGGTGAAAAGTTGAACTACACATACCAACTATTCTTTTTATTAGGATAGGAAACTGTATTACCAACATACGTCGGTAAAGTAGACTTACGTTTAATTTTTTTAAAATATAATTGTAACTAACCTTTTCGAATTAATAAACTAGTAACTCTTCTTAAAGCGTCTCTGGGAGATCGTTGAAAGAATTTTGGTGTTAAATTCGGTGGTAAAGTTAAAGGTTTGCGATTTCCATCCCAATGATTTTGTCCGGGTGCCAAACGGTCTAAATGTTCAATGGAAGCTGGTCTTCTTTGTCTATGTTTAGGATACCATCCCCGCCCGGGACCACCGGTTAACCTCAACAATTCCCCGCCAACAACTCCCTGTTCTAAGCCCCTTCTATAACCTCCAGTAGAAACGGTTCCTAGTGTATGAATGCTAGACATAGTACTACTTTGGCGTGGTGTGGTTTGGTTTCCGGGGACGTCGGGAGCTCTTCTATGTGGTGTTCTGGGAATATCACAACCGCGAGCGAAAATTGGGGTTTCCGGTAGAGAACAGGAAGTTTGTAGGAGATGTTCTTCTTGTGGGGAATGAGAGGAACGTTTTTGGAAGGTTCGACGTTTATCTTGTAGTTCTATTGGTAAAGTGCGACGTTCTGAGGTGGTGTTTCGGCTAAAAGAGCGTCGACCGCGAGTTCCAGCATCCATAGATCGCGATTTTAAACTATTTGATAAGGAATTTTGATGTGGAGGAATTGTTGGTGGCTCATTAGGCAAAGTATCAGCTCTTTTTGAGTTAGATTGTAGAATTTCGGAATATTCATCATCTTCTTCAACCGGAGAAGGTGGTAAGGGTGGAAATTCATGTTGAAGCACCTCAACTCGTACAGGAAAATCAGCTGAATTAGAAGTTGTTATTTTACTTTCACGATGAGCAATTAACATTTCTTTAGCACTTTCTGATTTTTGTATGGGATGTTTACGTGGTCTATACGGACTGTTTTCAATTAAAAGCTGTCGATAGTAATCTTCAGAACGAATTATCTCATCGTGGCTGTTAGATTTTTGTAAATCAATAAGTTTTTTCGATTTATTCGATTTTTTCTTTTCGGCGCTCAAGTTTTCTACACCATTAAGTTGTAATACGCATTTATCATCTTGTAAAATACTGGAAACTTCGATATCACGCCGTTCTAAAAGCTCTGAAATGTTTTGTTCGATTTGTTTTAACGGTGACATTTCCGAGTCGCTGTTTATCTGTGGACTTTCCGTGTCTTCTTCCTCCTCAACGGTAACGGCCAATTCCCGTCTGGGTGTTAATTCTTCGGCATTTAAACTTGGTAAAGATACAACTCTAACAATTTGTGGTACCGCTGTATTTAAATCGGCGGTTGTTTCGTTAATCGGTGGGGTATAATGTTCGATGACTCCTTCTTTAATCAATGATTTTATATTATCAAATGTTGTGCTGTGTTTTCGAAAATCTTGATAATATTTACTTGGTGTGCTCGATCTGGAGCTTGATAAATCTATGCTCAATCTTGATGGAGATAAATCTTGGCTCATTCTGGAATTGTTTAAATCAAGGCTAAATCGACTTTTTGGCGAATTTAATTCTTGACTCATTCTAGATTGAGAACTTAAATCAACACTGTATCGGGAATTTGGAGTGTTTAATTCCCGACTTAGTTGCGAATTTAAATCGGTTGAATATCTCGAATGTGGTATACTCAAGTCGGAACTTAACCGAGAATTTAGAGAAGAATTTGAGTTGACAGAGCTTCCCAATTGCATCAAAGCTTTTCTATCTTTTTTCCCTCTTCTTATTATGTAAGTACTAGTACCGGAAATATTACCCAATTCGGGTGGTAAAATAATATGATCATCTGAATCTGAAAATGGCGATGTAACTTCATCTTCAGTTGTACACGGTGGAGGATCAGGCCAATCATCAAATTCCTTCAACCGGTTTGGAATTGAACTCGTACTGGAATGCGAACCGCTTTTACGCCTTCTTCTGCCAATAACTTTTGTGCTGCCGGGGGTCATTAAGGCATCGTCCGAGTCCAAAGGAACTTCCCAGGCGATACTAGCTCTTTTATTCACAACCGGTGGCGGAGGAGGTAACATCTCTTCTAAAGAATCGTCCGAAAAATGTTCATCATCCGCCATTTCACTCATTGGTCGACGAGCTTCCTCGAAATCACTTGAAAGATTATCCTCGCTACCCCTTCGACGCACTTCTCGGTGACGTTCAATGACTGTTGGCACAGTTCTGGGAGGAACTCTCGTTGGCGATGTAATTGGAAAGATTCCATGTTGAAATGGAAGGCTTCCGTAACGATAGTTGGGAGGCGGCGGCGGCGGTTGTAAATTGAAATCGTTGCTTTCCCAACCGTATGGACGTTGATGGCGAGTTTTTGGCTAAAAATAAAAATTAATTTTAATTATTGTATTAAAGTTATTCGCTTAAATTTAAGTGGTTATTGGAAACATTAAACATTATTCTTTTGTATGCAGGTACAAAGAGCCGAGAACATTGAGGTTGACTAAATTACCAATTTATTAATTTGTGAGAGAAAAATCTTATATAGCAGAAGATATGGATCTGTAATAGTGGTATATATCATAGTGGTTATGGTGGCATTACCCTACATTTAGACTCCAGCTTTTTACCAAAGTGCTGTAGAGATTTTATGAATTAAAGATTTTCGCTGGAAATGAGAAATGGTAAAAAAATCCAAATTGAAGACTAATAAAGGAAAACTGTTTAGAAAGATGTGCTTAGCTCGTTACAAGTTATCAGGATGTATCTCAAATGAATGGTTATCTCCTAATGTCTTGGTCAATAAATGGCAAAAAAACAATAAGAAATAAGCTGAGTAGCCAATCCGTCGACTTTAACTTTTTTTATGTTTAAGATGAGATGGAACTCATAGCTGGTAACTGACTTAAGATGGGCTGCAGAATCTGCTGAAAGATAAGAGTATTGACACAAAAAGGACAAAATTCCTCCATTACAATTCCAGTTAATAAAAGTATATCATCAGTCTGGATCTTCGACCCTCTACGCTTCTTGATAGTATCAATCTTTTGAGGATTCGGAGCATGCTCCTCTATCACAACATTAATGTATCAATTCTTTTTTTGTCTTGCAATGGCATTTTAGAGAGGTTCCATAGAACTCTCAACAGTGGTTTTTCAGTCCTATTTTCTTCGGATGTCGCTCTCACTTAAACCTGTGTTGTCAATATATGAGTCTAGGTACATAATTTGGTCTACAATTTAAGGTTTAAGGCTGTGGAAGGGGTAGCAAAAAATGCCAATATTTGGACATGCAACGGGCAGCGTCATTTACAATATAGAAAAATAAATAATAATGGAAAAGAGCCAAAACGCACAGCACAATTTCAAGTTAACCGGGAATTCAAACATCACTGGTCATCACGGCATCAATCTGAAACTACTTGCCCAGTGGTTTCAAGTAAAAGTTTAGCATCGCAACTTTCGTTTAAGTTCATGAAACTAATTGCTCTTCAACCAGAACGTATCCAAATGAAACCATAAAAGAAACTAAAAACTAAAATTAGAATGCGTAGCGAGATAAACTTTAGATGAGTTGTGACTAAGTTTAGCACCTAATTAACCAAAAAAGCAAGAATGCTTTACTAAACGCAACTTTATCAAAGGAACTAAAGGATCTGATCCGTAAAATTTAGAAAGCCTTTGTGATTCAAACATTTTAACGACTTCCGCACTTAATAAATAATAACCCCCGCACGCATAACGATAAATTAAGTAAAATTATGAGAATCAAAGAAGGAAAACGACAACAATGAAATTATTTTTATTTCCCAATTGAATCGTGGTAATATTTTATGTTCCACAATTACGAATAATTTATATAAAAAATATGAATTGCAAAACTTTTTTTTGTGCACTATACCATTTCTAAAGTAAATGTTCATATTGGATTGGATTCTTTGTTAAAAACAGACGCATCAGAACGATAACTCTCCCCCAACAGAGGGATCGTTGCTTAGTAACGATCGAGATCCACCTGCGAGAGGAAACCTAAAAGCATCGACTGGTGCTCTTTGAAATGAAATTGTTGGGTAGAAATGGCAAAAGATTTCAAAATATATTTCACATGTCGCGTGTGTTCGGTGCAGTCACGAACTCACGACTAATCGGAGAAATTCCGGGAACGTATGCAATCGTAACTTTTGAGATTTTTCATTCGCTCGAGGAAAGGACCTTTTTCACGTCGAACATCTTCCCCGACTTCTTTTAAACTTTCATTAGTCATTTAATGCGACAGTCGTGTGAACTTGTATTCTGAAAAACATTGTAAGTTTGAAGCTTTCACTTTAAGTTCTTCCAGTGAATAAAAAAAGAATATAAAGGGGAAACGTTAAAGAAAAACATCTTTTTATTAGTTTATTAAAAAAAAATTACCAGTGTTGTTTGTGTAGCGGTATGTTTAGGATCGGGTAGTCCATTTATAATTGGCACTTCACCATTTTGGAAGCTCTGTGGCGGTGGAATCGTATCATTCCTATTTGGCAACTGAGTCAAAGGGAAATATTTCTGCCTGTTTCCATTTCTCTTTCCAGAATGCGCAGGAGATACCCTACTAATTAAAAAAAAACGAAATAGTTTTTGAATCTCTTTGTTTCTAAACAAGCTTACTTTGAGAACAAAGAGGCTATAATTTTTTGAGCCTCCTCTGGTGGGGGCGGGAAATCATCGGGGTCTTCGGGACGGATCATAGCGTCCTCCTGGTGGACGGGAACCTCGGTTAGAGCGTTGAACTGCAGGTTAAACTTGGCCTTTCGGCCGTTCATGCTGTTGTAGCCGTCGTCCTCCGATTGGTGCCCGAGCGACGGGCTCTCGTCGTCAGGCGTCGAAGACACATTTCCGGTGCCCGAGGGGTCTTTTGCTTGATTCGAGGATCCGGAAATTTGCTGCGGTCAATCGTTTTTAATAGGGGTATAGGTCTTTACGGTCTTCCACTTACGTTGGACACTTGGTTCGCGTTCTCTACGTCGTCAAACTCTGATAACACACTATCCAGGAGCTCGATTGATCTTTGAACGTCATCCGATCCACTGAAACAGAAAAAAAATCATTATTATAATTTATTTATTGAAAATAATAAATAAAATTCGAACTCGTATTGATATTTTGGTATTGACGAGAATTTTACTTGATTATGATTTATAGCCCACGTACAAAAAAAAAGCGACCATTATATAAAAGTTCGATTCGTGGTTCGAATTTAATTCCGTTTTTGTGGTTTTTCCCATTTGGTGATTTGCAAATTGAAACGGACGAGAATCAATCATATGCAGGTAATGGAAATGGTGCTCAGTTCATTAGGTTCTAAACCGCTTTAGCGAGAATAACTTTGCGGATGAGGGACGTTTTAAGCCCCCACAGCATCAATAATCAGTTATATTAAATCATATTAAAACATAAATTGCATAATAATAGTATTCAGTTATAAATTATATTGTTGGATTAGATCAAGGACGGTAAAATCTAAGAGGAGTATTTTTAGTTCATTAATTTTTACGGTTAAAGCCGAATGTTTCTAGTTCTAGGTCTAATGTTAGTTCTACTTTTAGTTCAATAAAATAAATATACAAAAGGATCAGGTCTAATCTGAACTGTCTTAGACTACAGGAGGATCTTGATCTTGACTACTGTCGCCTCAACAAACTTTACCTAAATTATGACAAATGCCAAATAATTTCATTTACTTGAAAACGTTATCCTCTCAACTTTCCTTACAACTTTAACGGTACTGTTATCCGGTCTACGGATAAAGTAAAAGATCTTGGCATTATATTCAGAGTTTCTGAACTTGAAGGATTTTCTGAATTTTGGGACATTTCTGTACTTTACGGGGTTTCTGCATTTGAAGGCATTTCAGAAGTTTAGACGTTTCTGTACTTTGTAACATTTGAGGTGTATCTGATTCAATTCTTTCCGAAATTACTAATTTTTTAGCTATCTTATTGCTTGAATCAGTGACACTTTGACATTATCAGATTTAATTTCTTAAGTAATGCTTCGGTATGTTCGATCTGTTCCGTTACTGATTCAAGTATTTTCAAGCTGGAGCTTGACTCAATAACTTGCGTAGTAAAATCAACTTTGATCTCTTCAGCAACTAAAGTGGTTGGAATTTCAGAATTTTCGGTACTAATTCTTAGCATTTCTAATTTAGCCGTTTCAATTGGTGAAGAGTATGATGAAGTATCACTTACACTTTCAGTGGTTTGGCCGATCAAGTTCTCAACTGTTTGAACTGGGGTTGTGTTTTTTTTTTTGTAATTTGGTGGTGTGGTGTCGTAGGCGAAATAGCGTTTAAATAACTTAAACTGGCCAAAAAACCAGAACGAGATATGGTTTTAGTAAAACTCGTTTTTGATCTTACAGTAGAAGAATCGAAAGTATTTGAAAAACTTGATGTGGTACTCGTTTCAGTAGAACTTTCAGAAGTAACTTCAAACAATGATTCAGTACTTGAAGATGTGGATGATTCAAGTTCTCGGTTTCAATTGAATTTCCATTTAAGTTTATGATTTTAGCATCTGGATTAATCGATAAAGTAACGGAACTAGTTGTAGTTGGAGCAGAAGTTGTTGCAATAATAGTTGTTGTAATAGAAGTTGTTGAACCAGAAGTGGTTGGAAAAAGTGGAAGAAAAGGTAGTTTTTGGCGAGAACTACAACTAAATCGGTACTGGGCGTAGGAGAGATCGATTTCGAGATAGCTAATAGTTGGGACATACTGCGTTGTTGGTCAGTTTCTTCGTTTAAGAGTTCCTCGATCACTCCTAAGGTGTTAACCTTTATCAAAACTCGCCATTAATTCAAATTCTTAATTCTTATAACCAGGGATATGATCATGTATCTCTCTTTGACGTTTCTTTACACTCTTTTCGAGACTGGGTTTAGCCGTACGCCTCTTAAAACGGCTAAGCCCGAATGTTGCTAGTTCTAGATCTATTGTTGGTTCTAGTTTCACACTAGCACTGTTACTAGAACTAACGCTATACATAGAACTAGAATCAGTTGGGTTTAGCCGCACGTCTCCAAAGACGACTAAACCCGAATGATTATAGTTCTAGGTCTAGTGTTAGTTCTAGTTTTACACTAGCACTATCATTAGTTTATCACTAGTTTTAGTTCTAGCACCATAACTAACACTAGACCTAGAACTAGAGACATTCGGGTTTAGCCGTCTTTAAAGACGTACCCCGACAATTAAAACTAGAACTAACACTAGACCTAGAACTAGAAAGTTTCGGCTTTAGCCGTACATCTTCAGCCTCACTGCTAGTACTACTTTTAGTTCAATAAAAAAATACAACAATCTAGCACTGAATAACAACTAAAACTACAACTACATACCGTCCTTGATTTATACATCGTGTACACAACTTGGGGAATATACCGATTTTATACATATTGTGGGTTATAAATTATTTATTATTGATTTTTGTTTACATTACGATTAGGTGTGTTATCTTTATCGAAAATATTATCAGGTTCAAGTTCGTTGTGGGAAAAAAACATTAAATGTTTAGATTTAAGGTTTGGTCTATCGGAAAGTCTATTGTATTGGTAACAACATCTCAACAACCTCCACGTAAGTACGTATTTGTGTCGCGTAGGACAAACTTGAAACCTGCGAGAGCAACAAGTTTTCGCTCGATTTCGGCGAAAAATTCTCCGGCCATTTGTGTTGGAATGTAGGTCAGTTGGGACGCGACAGCGCAGGGCCGCACCGGAAATTTTCGGAATCATACAGAATCAGATAAATTGATGATGGTGTCAGATTTCTTTTTACGTGTAAAGGAACGAAAACGTTTTGACTCTTTAAATCGAATTTTTTTTTAATTAAAAATTAAATAAATTTTATAGATATTTTTTTGTGAAGTCTTAGATTTTTAATTTAAAGTTTTTTCGAAACCTTTTTGATGACATTATCACGAAATTACATTAAAACCAGAAATCGTTGAGGTGGAATAAAGTTAAATAAAGTTAATTGATAATAAATACGGTCCTGAAATATCGACCATCCTGCAGTTGCAGCAAGAATAAACAGTAAAACCCTGTCCTACGAAATGCTGGGTTATAAATCACACCAGGTTTAAATTCAATGTCCCATACCCTGGAATGTCGCGTAAACAATATTTATTAATTGCACTATTTTTAATACAACCACACACAGAACTATAATATAACTGTTTGCGGTTTATCACCCTCTCTCTCTCTATCTCTTTGCGAAATATTGTAGTTGGAGTATTCTCAAGTGAAATCAAAATCTAAATTACCACGATTAGATTCAGAGACATTGCCGTATCGTGAGAGGGACAATCCGGTTTGGGAATCTTGGCTCTTTAATGACGCTAATTAAACGTGCGGCGGAATTGTAATATGGTCTAGGAGACGAGGATCCCACCTGCCCGTTTGTGCAAACATTGATAATTGCTTTCGGCGGGGACGTATTAACTACCACATTGCTCTGATGCATTATCGAGAAATTAATCAAAGTTACGTAATTGCTACCGGAGTTGCTTCAGTTTAATTTAAATTCGACGGAGATTATCGCTAAAAGCCTTTTTTTTAATAAAAAAAAAAGATTTTGTCTTAGATAATTAACAAAAATCACTCTAGATGTCTGCATACAAGATCTTTCATGTCAAGTTTACAAAACCACAACAAAAAACGAGACACGATTTTTATTCTTTTTTTGCGAATGTCGCGTGTGAAATATTTATCAGTGGGGGTGCTCAAAAAAAGAAATGGGACTAAATGGAAATGGAGTCATAAAAAATAACCTACACACGTTGGATATAGCGGTTTTTTTTTGAATCATATGTCACGAATAAAGTGTATATCTCATAACCAAAAAAAAAGGAATCTATTTTGTAATTGTTTCAACTTAAACTGTTTAGTTGATAGTATTGAATCTCAACCCCAATGGAGTTCGAGTGAATTCCTAGTGTTACTAGAACTAATACTATACATAGAACTAGAATCATTCGGGTTTACCCGTCTTGAGAGACGTGCGGCTAAACTCGAATGATAGTAGTTCTAGATCAAGTGTTAGTTTTAGTTCTAGAAATAAAACTAGAACTAACACTAACAATAAGCCCAGAACTAGAAACAATCGGGTTTAGCCGTCTTAAGAGACGTGCGGCTAAACCCAATTGTTACTAGTTCTAGATCTAGTGTTAGTTCTAGTTTTAATTGTGATTAAGTACTAGGTTGTTGTATATTTTTATTGAACTAACTCTAGATCTAGAACTAGTAACATTCGGGTTTAGCCGCACGTCTCTTAAGACGGCTAAACCCAAATGTTACTAGTTCTAGATCTAGAGTTCGTTTTAGTTCTAGAACTAAAACTAGACTAACACTAGACCTAGAACCGCACGTCTTCAAAGACGGCTAAACCCGAATGATTCTAGTTCTAGGTCTAGTGGTTCAATAAAAATATACAGCAACCTAGCACTGCATCACAATTAAAACTAGAACTAACACTAGACCTAGAACTAGAAAGTTTCGGGTTTAGCCGTGCGTCTGAAGACGAAACTTTCTAGTTCTAGGTCTAGTGTTAGTTCTAGTTTTACACTAGCACTGTTACTATGTAGAACTAACACTATACATAGAACTAGAATCATTTGGGTTTAGCAGTACGTCTCCAAAGACGGCTAAACCCGAATGATTCTAGTTCTAGGTTTAGTGTTAGTTCTAGTTTTACACTAGCACTAACACTATACAGAGAACTAGAATCATTTGGGTTTAGCCGCACGTCTTCAAAGACGGCTAAACCCGAATGATTCTAGTTCTACGTCTAGTGTTAGTTCTAGTTTTACATAACACTATCACTAGTTTTAATTCTAGCATCAAAACTAACACTACACTTAGAACTAGAAACATTCGGGTTTAGCCGTCTTTAAAGACGTACGGCTAGAAAATATTCTAGTGTTAGTATTGGTGCTAGAACTAAAACTAGAACTAACACTAGAGCTAGAACTAGAAACATTCGACATTAGCCGTACGTCTTTAAAGACGGCTAAACCCGAATGTCT